AAGTTGGATAATAAGCATATATCCTTTAATAATATAAAGTTGCATAGAGTGCTAATAATTCAATCTATCTATATTAATGCCACTATGAGAATAATCATATAATTAATTATTCAAATAATACTTTTCAATAATAATTCTCAGATTTTTTAGGTTACTTCTAATAATATTATAATTTTATTTCCAAATAAAGAAATTTAAATAATGACGCTTCAATTTACGAATATCTTCACTTTAAATTAACAATTAATTAGTAGATTTTTCAGAAATATTCAATTCAATCCAATATAAATTGTTATGAATACAGAACTATAATCTTCTTTGTTATATATCAACAATAGACATTAGGTTATCAGAATTTCGATTAATTAAAATAATATACCAATACCAATTTCCTTGATTCAAGCTAATTTCACAATCTAATAGATAAATTTAATAAATCATTAGTTAATATTATCATATCTATGTAATGATAGTCAAAATCTTTGCTTTTCAGTTTGGAATGTGTAAAATTTGCAAAAATCCTATCATGTAAAGAATCTTTATAGTTTGAATATTGATAATGTAATAAAAATATCATCTGATAGCATATTCCTATATGTTACTTTTAGTAATTACACTGTTTATGCTTATAATCCTTCCTTACCATACCATTAGAGTTTGTATTATATGCTAAATTTTTCTTCACCAATTCTATGTAGTTAGGCAATTACAAGTTATTATATTTATTAGCCTCAATACTAATATTTATATTCAATGGTGCTGCTTTCAAACAATTCGATTTATCAGCTTTATAAATTTTAAAAGTATGAGACATCTGTGGAACTATAAGATTAAGTATTTAACTATTCAATAAGTTACCCATAATATATTTATAACTATACTGTAACTTCAGCATTAAATGACAAAGCCTTTTAGTAGACTCCTAATTAAAGTATTATTATATATTCAAACTTCACAGTTTTTTTAAATTAAAGGAATTTATCAGTAAGCTTAAGTTTTGATAATATTATTCCTGGATCCAAAAATTTCTCATATCCAATGAATTTAATTCTTGATAGACAGGTTGGATATTGCGGATCTGCCAATCTTACGTCAGCATATGACTTTAACAAATATTGCAGTTTAACTTAATAATACTTTCAGTAGTCTAGCAGTATTCCCAATTTGAGCAATTTCTCCTTAGTTACTTCAATAAATAACTAATGTTTTGCTTTACAGAATAACTCGCACCTATAAATTGTAAATAGTGGCTTAAAATAAATCTCAAATTTTAATTATTCAAATCTGAAACAAAAGGAATGTTTGAAATCAACATCAAATGATTACACATTATATTCGATTTGTGAAAATAGTACTTCGTAGTATTTGCTTAATTTTACTTTAAATTGTGAGGGCAATATCGTTTTAGTTGATACTATTTAACTTCCCCAAAGGTTTTAAAATATTTAAAAAATAAGCACTCTTTTAAACTAAATATTTATTTTAGGTACCTTCGAAAATTCTTTATAATAATTGTATTGGTTCAACTAATCTTTCAACATTATATTGGAGATAGATAACACGAATGAATTTGCAGAAGAACTCTTTCTATGTAACGATTTCTCTATTGTCTAAATAACACAACGGATTTAAAATCCTGTACCTTAAAAAATAATATTCTTCTATGCTTAAGCTTATTAAATATTTGGTAGAGTTATGCTAATTGACGATTCAGAAATCAAAATACAAGATTCAGCTTCTGTTCTAATTTATTATTGCGATTAATAGTAGGTTTGTTATGAGCCATTAATAACTTACTCTTTGGTTTTAGTTATATAAACATATACTCAAAGTCTAACGATGCTTGTGGGTAATATTTATTTTAGTTCCGTAGTAGAAATAAGAATAAAATAGTTTTAAAAGTCTAGCTATTAACCTTATGAAGGAATTGCCATCAGAACTATTCCTAATTATGGCAATTCAAGTAATAATGGAATTTCTTTTTATTAGAATGGGGTGTTGACTCAACAATTTCAATATAATAAAACAAACATAATTGGAGTTTATTATTTGAATCATCTCTTAGATAGAAATTTATTAGAACCCATTTTGATGTAAGGTTCATTCAATACTCCAATAACAGATTATGCAATGATTGTCAATTAATAATATCAATATGGAACATCCTTATACTTTTATAATAAATCTATATATAATTACTCAATAGGTACCTGGATTGTAAAATTTGTCTTTGCTAATACACGATAAAATTATTTGGATATTTCTATATTTTGCTTAAACGAATTTTAAAATGGTACTTACAACATTAAATTTTATCTGCCTCCATAATTTCATTTTAACTTTGGTCCATCGGTTTATGTTCTATTTTCATTGATTTTTTTACTGCTATTATATTTTTATCTTAAAATTATACGCAAGACAAAGAATTCTGGGTATATATTTTCAGAAGTTGAATTATGATTATATAAAAGGTTGCATTTCAATAAATTTCAATATCATTCAATTTCGCTTTTCGTTATTAGGGATAAGATTAATGTCAATGATCTTAACTCAGGCAAATGACAGAAATATAATCTTTTTATAAAATTGAGGAAAATGTTTGTTTAACGTTTGCTTTGTACATATTTTTAGTCATTATATTGTATGATAAGAAATTAGAAATTTCTTATTTTATAAAATAATTCACACCTAGTTTCTTCAGGAAATGTAAATTAAAATTAGATCATAAATTTTAAGAATTTCTTCCTTATTACTAAATTAGTCTTATTTATAAATTTAAATTATAATTTAATTATGATTTATTATTTCAGATTATCTTTTCATTAAAATTATTGAATAACCCAAGTATTGATAATGCTTGTGCACTAAGTCATTTCACTTTTGATATGAATTATAATAATATATGATAAATAAGGTAATTGCAATAACTCAAATATGTATGCTATTTATGTCAAGTCTTAAAAATTTGATTAGAAAACATACTATTATTCTAATTTTAATTTTGATTATGATTGTTAAAGTTCTAATAAAACATATATAAAAATTATTATAAACTTATTTTTGAAATTATAACTCTATAAATAATAGTAATTTTACTTATGACCTTACAAGAATATTAGACTAGATTAAGTTGAATAGCTGAAATGAGAATGATAAATTTTAAGAATAAGCAGATTATACATGAAATGTTGATAATTATCGATTATTATCATGAAATCGAAGTTTGATGCAATCATAATTTAATTTAATTTAGAGAACTTCAAAATGACAAAGTAGGAGACGATCTTAATTTTAAGATTCGCAAGATGATTCTGATTATATTAAAATGATCATGATCAATATTAAGTAAGTTGATGAGTTATTGAAATAGAAAACGATTAATTTAATTAGCTTCAAGGTTTAGGTAGTATTAACGAATTCGAGATATGATTTCGAAAAAGGTTCAAGAGAGAGCGAGAATAGATATGTTGAGTAGAGGGACTTCTTATGATTATTTTGTTCAGATATTTAACATAAATATATTTTTATTCAAAATGTACATGAGATCTATTTTCAAATTGAGATAAGCCTTTTCAGGTATATATTTAATGTGAGTGACTAAGTCTTAACTAAATACACTAAGGATCATGAATGGATTAAATATGACACACAAACAAAGATTGCTAAAATTGGAATTACAGATTATGCATAAAACGAATTAGGAGATATAGTTCATGTAGATTTCTAAAAAGTGGGCTTGCTATTCAAAACACACTAATCATTGGGAGCAATCGAAAGTGTCAAAGTTGCTGCTGACATCTATGCTCCTGTTGCTGGTGAAATTGTTGGAGTAATCAACTTGTTTATAATTAGATTAATGAAGATTTAAAGGACTCTCCAAATTTGATAAATGAGAAGGCTGAAGAAACATGGATTTTGTAAGCAAAAGTGTAAAATGAATCAGAATTAGATACATTATTGGATAAATAATCATATGAGAAAATCATTAACAAATGAGAATATTATTATTAAAAATACATCATTATTTAACATAAGAATTCTATATTCATTTGTAATATTTGTAATATGTCAATCACATAAAATTATAAATTCAAAATATTATACCAAGATGACTTTATCTGATCCATCCACAACAATTAATCACCCTCTCATAATCCACAATTGGTTATTCCACAAAATATTAAATATTTCTTGGTTCGAAATTATGCTGTTCTTCATTTATTTTCTCTTAGTTATCTAAAATGGCTTCAATCAATAATTCATCTTCTGTTAATTATTTTCCTTCCATCCTTACCAGATAGTAATTCTCCTCAATTTCAGGAAGCTAGCAAATTCCTTTCTTAATTAACTATTATAATAGTTGAATGTATTTACTTCTTCAATTCTTTCCAAATCAAGTTGGAAGTGCGTCTAATGTAATTTTTTATAAAATTCTATTGCTTGAAAGTACTTCTTTGCTCTTAATAATTTCTTCACAAATTCTATTAGAACTTCTTTCTCTGCCAAATTCTTAATGATTTCATTAACTATATTGTCTTATTCAGGGGTAAACTCTATTTACAATAACTTCAAAATATCGTTTTAATCTATCATTTGCTTGATGAAATATTTTAAAGCTTATTCTTCTTTCAATTCTGTGACATAAACATACGCTTACAAAGATCGTTTAGATGCAATCAATAATTTTATTATAATGTCGCTGTTACTTAAAGAACTCCAATTTATTTTACTGGCTAATAGTAACTCATAAGCATTCTATTCTTAATGCAATTCCATTAATTCTTCAATTACTAATAATTTCCAATTCTCAATTTCAAAATAATATAACATCATGAGTTTGACAATATTAGGCAATTATTTTTCTTGATCTGTGTCCATTAAGAATAGTGCCTTATAAAGTTGAGCATATTTCCCTCTTACCATTTCTGATTCTTGGATCTCTTATTCTTGGCTTAATTAAGAAAATTAAATGTATGTTATGATTAATTCTTACTAATAAATTGTTAACTGCGACATCAATCTTAATAGTTATTTTTCAGACTTCTCTTTCAACATCTATTGTAATTCTATCTTACAAAGAATCACCTTCTTCAATAACTTATATTGAGGTGCATTCAAAAAGTCATAAATCATTCTCCAATTATGTATATAATATTCTTAGTGTCTCAAAACACAATTTATGTCATTTATTCTGCTAAATTTCTATTTTAATATTTCAAGGTCTTTTTATACAATATGAGAAAGAGACAATTACTTGACTTCCTTTTTCTTTCGATCTATTTTCAAATGTATTTCATACTTAATACTGAGTTAAAGAGTTTCACTATGCGATTTGATATTTATTATAAACATAGATTCTACTCTATCATCAAATTCAATAATTCAGTCTGCATATTATATATCACATAAGCCACATCATCAAGTGTCTTCAAATAGTAATAACCATTTAATGGTGATTAATCCCGCCTATACACCAATTTTATCAGAATGTCCAAACCAATCTCATATTTAAGCATAGTAAATAGTAGTTTCTATCTTTCCTTTTGATACTATTATGATGATATCACTTCAGGATTGATGTTCAATTGAATTGCGATCTTATCCAAAACATCTGGCAGAATCATAAAGTTCATATCAAAAAAGTAATGGTCTTGATTGGATAACAGAGCATGCTCCTCTGCTTTTGATAAATTAAAGTTCCATTCATGTTATAAATTATTTTAAGGGATTTCTTAATCCATTTTATTATTTAATATTTTAATTATTTAAAGACTCAATTATAATTATTAGTAATCATAAATGTGAACTAATAGATAATTGTAAGCTTATGTATGATAATATTTGAATTACAAAATACAGATTAAAGTTTAAGATAAATATTAAACTATGTAAGTCAAAAAATAATTATTTGAATAAACAATTAAATATCTATCATTCTTTTCTTTTAAACATAGCTACAAAAAATCCATCACTTTCTTTTGGAGGAACACGAACATAATGTTAATTATTATCGACTCCACGATATGGCCATTCTGGAAATAAATTTACAGATTCCCATTTTTAATGATGTGCCAAAAAGTTATTAGCAACATCTTCATTCTCTTCTTTATATATAGAGCAAGTTGAATAGATGATCAACTTTAATTTCTTAAAAAATGTTAAGTGATGTAACATTTTTTGTTGAAATTATGATAATTAAGTGACCTATTCATTTTTATTTTCTGGAACCTAAATAGAGTCATCTTTTGAAGCTTCTATCATTCTTAATTAGAGCATGCCACTGCCTGAACAAGATGGATCCAAAAGGGCTATTTTAACGTTTGGATAATCTTAGGGTTTAATTGTTAAGAAATCAAAATTTAATGGTTCAACATTATCACAATTATATTTGTTTAATCTATTTTTCAATATTTCAAATCTCTTTTCATCTCTTTCAATTGCATATATTTTACCAGTAATATTATTTTGTTTAGCATAATGTGAAAGTTATATTGTTTTATTACCTGGAGCTGCACAACAATCAATAATATCAGCTATTTTATCTTTTATGTTCCTTAACAACAAATAAGCTGGCAATGCACTAGATTTGCTTTGAACTATGTATGTGTTTCCTTTTAAAAACTCAGGGTTTTTAGATAGGTACTGTGAATAAATGTCATAATCCACTTTGCATAAATTTGGTATGTGCTCATCTGGATCAGATTCAAATGGTAATTGCTATAAGGCTCTGATATATATGTATTTTTTCTCTTATTCATAGATCTTGTTTTATTCAAGCAATTATTTTATTAGTACTTTGTGAGTTTTCAGATATCTTGCAACTACTCCTCCCATTTTTTTAGCTTTTTTGTTTTATGGATTAAATATATCAAGCATCAAAACAATTAGCAAATTATAATCAAATATGTCGATATATTGAATGGACTTAATTTCCTCCACAATTTAATATAATTAGTCGTAATATTGAATAGCCTTACTGATGATTGCATAAGCCTATCTAACAAATGACTGATTGGAGGAGCTCTTCAATATTATTGATTTCAAAGTACTTTTTCTATCAAGACATTATTGCAATAGTGCTGCAATTTATGAATATTTTTGCATAATTAATATTTAACATATAATTTTTTAATTGAATACTCATTATTTAGCAGCATTTGACAATACTCCTCTGAAGATTTTAGATCCACCAAAATTAAGTACCTAAATAGTGTTGCCATTATACAGGTGATTATTATTTGCTCGCCCTTTTCCTTTCATTTCTTTATTAGCTTTTTACAGGCTTATGCTCCATAGATGAGGATCTTTTATCTTAAGGAGTTGGTGGCAAATTCACAGGATTTGGCACAGGAGTAATAAATTAACCAAGTTGTTATGTTTTTTTTCTTGTTTAATTCTCTGATCTTTTTGCTTTCTCTTTGTTCTCCTTATTATTTATGATATGAACATACTTTTTATACTCTTATATCACTTTCTTTTAGAGCAACTAACAAAAAGTTTTTGTAAATTAAGGATTCTCGAACTGATTTGATTGAGGTCAAATTTTGGAAATAGGAATCAAGAAGTTATCTTCTTTGTTCAATAAGTTAAGTATTAGAGTTGACAGATTTCCACCAATAAGATTTTGGGAAGACAGGCAATTCAGTTTTTAATGTTTGAAGGGTTTCATGAAATCTTTTGAGTTCTGAATATCTGTAGTCATTTTCGAATCCTGAATTTGATTTTTAGTTTTGAAAACTGATTTGATAAGATTGATATCTTACTAAATTCGATATTAGACTGAATCCTCATTTTTCTTGAATTCTGGGACTGTAATGAGGATGTCTATTTCATTATCTAACATAAACCTATTGTTTAAAATCACAATATATAAAATTTAATTTGTTTAATTCAATTGTAAAATCTATTTTGAAATTCAACAAATGTAAATTTATTATTCAGACTTTTATATAGATAATTATTCATTTCCATATAAATATTGAGAAATTAAGAACTAATAAGTAGTTTGAGTATTATAATTTATAAACAAAATTGTGATTCATTTTTAATTTTTTTAATTAGATTCTTCTTGTTATTATTATAATAACTATTTTAAAAATTTAACTTCCTCTTTTAAACTATTTTTTTACTACTTCCACAGAGTTTCCTTGGTTTGGTATGAAGTTAAAATCTTTGTGGTTTTTAAATATAATTCTTAGAGAAGGTTGCTATAATTCGGTTAGAGTGATTATGACATCCTTTTGTTTTACGCTGAATGCAATTTATTTTCGCTTACTTTTATTTCTTCTTGATTTCGATCAGTACCGTTCTCTAATATAAATTAATCTCATACGTCTTTTATGGCTTTGTTGTTGTATATACTATCGTAAGACTTCGTTTAATGATCCAAATACATTCTTATGAGTTTATTTTTGATGAGTGCTAGTAAAAAAGCCTGAAGGATAAATGTAATGATATACCTGATCCAATTTTATTGATATTGTTTGGACTCTTTTAAAGACTTTTCGATGTAGTAACTTTTTTTTATTAAGCATTATCATCATCTTAAACAATATCGCCTAGTTGCGGAGGTCTTTTTTTTTTATAATCAATTTTTGCACTCTATTCTTTTTAAGGTGCATTCGTTTAAGGTTAAAGCAGTTAATTTAATGAATCTCCATTTCTTTTTATGGTATTTTCTTTTACATTTTGATTTTATTTTAAAACATTAATTAACTCATTTTTCACATTTCCTTAAGGTTTGCCATTTACTGACCCTTTACTTATACTATGTCTTAAAAGGGATTCTATTCCTTCTTGAGGACTCATAAATTTTTATTTTAGCCTATTGTTGATGCCATCTTATTGACAACTACTCTAACACTACTAGGATTTCTAATTGCTTTTAGAGTCTGAGTGCTCCTGATTGCGGATTTCGTGAGGGTGAATGGGTGAATTAACAGATAATAGTTTCTGTAAAGCTGTTATTGCTTTAGGTGTTATTTACATAAATAAATATTATTTCCTATATTAGAATAAAATTAAAACAAATAATAACGAATAATATTATAATTAAAATTTATATATAAATATCCTTTATAATTATCTGCTTATCTGGCTTAGTCAATTTTTTGTTTAACCGAATGATTATACCTACATCCATTGTTATTATTAACTTGATTGAATTTACTACTCAAATTAACTAAATGAGAAAATATTATATAAAAATATTTTTAGCATATTATGTTGCACTCAAAATCTGAAGATATAAACTTCAGTGAAACTTATAGCAAATCAAATACAAATTTCCTTAAATCAAATATATTTAATTATCACACTTTAAATATAGAAATTATACAATCACATCAATAAATATTTACATAATATTTTGGTACTTCAAATTAGATGTCAAATAATAGAGTTTTATCCACTACATACTTTTTGTCTCTCTTTGGGGATTGAAATACCAATTAGTTAGCATATTTCACAACAACTTGTTTAGAATCATTCTCATATTAAGAGCCATCTGCCTAAGGTTAAGCTTTTACATACAATTTTAATATACCTATAATCTCGCTTTTATTCTCCTCCAAATTGGAATTGTTTAATTAATCATTTTGTTATTATAAGGAACTATCTTCATTATTAATTTATTTGACTTCAAATTCTTATTTTACATCTATATCACCATCCTATTGTTATTATCCTAAATTAGAATGAGTTTCAGATTATGGAATATCAGATTAAATCTATTCATTATGTTATTGTTATTATTATTGATTATCCAAACCAGCTACAGTACTGTTGTCTTGAACAATTTATTACTTTTATATTTCAACTTAATTGATTATTTATTGTTATTCAAAATTAGAAATTTCTTCATTTTAATACTAGAAGTCTGGTTTGCAATTTAATTTAGATTCGCTAACTATGAATGATATATAAAATAAAGTACTTTATGTATTCGATAAACTTTAAGATTTATCAATGGAATGTTCTTGTGGATCATTAATATTTTCCAATTGGATTTATTATTTGAACTCCGCTTATAAATTCTCTTAATTGTTTATCAAAATATCCTAATTTTCAATTTATTAAAATTAATTTGATTCATTACTAAGTTATTATTAGAAGTCTTCATTTTTTGTCACTTCCTTGGATTCATCACTATCTAAGGATTTAATCAATTGAGAAAAGTTAAAAGAATGCATAGCTCCAGAGGCAAATTCACATCCTATAGCTCCTGGTCCGCCCCAATTATACTTTGGGTCTAACACTACAACTCTGGGTGACATTTTAGTTAATGGTGAAAATATGCAGAGCTTAATCATGGGATATAATGATTACTTCAATTGATTATTTCGAATATGCCTATCCTGTTACGATATCTGAGAATTCATCAATAGTTTGATACCGATGAGATTTGACTCCTAGGAGATAATCTTAATTGCTTTTGAGCCCACTTGATTCTGCAGGACTACCTTTCAATACTTTGGTGATGTGGAGAATCAATGGATTTATAGATTCGTATCTGATCAAAAGACCCAAATTCATTGTGGATCGCGGCTCTGAGATGTAGATTTTTCTGGTCTCCAATGAAAAGATATTAAAAATAGACAACTCAATGGGTTCATCACTTTCCAACAATTTGATAGCGTTCACTTGGGAATCAGACTTGATTTGGATGATATAATCTAGAAAGATTTCCAAATCTAACATAATGTGAGAGCAATACTGAGGTTGGATCCAAAGGAATTGGGTTCTATGGATATGATTCTGTATCCATAGCCATTTCCAATTTACGTGGAATTATTGCCCATTTATAATAATATATATATATATATATGTGTCATAGGGCACAAGCAAATACATTAACTATGCCTATAATTGCTTCAGTTTCATGTTTTATGGTGAGTGATCCATCAGTATCGTTATCCCAAAAGCAGGACCCTGAAATGTTGAGACCACACTCAGCCTTCTACATTAGGAGACAGTTAACAATGAATTTGAAATTTTTGTTTTGAGTTGTTAAATGTTTCAAAATTGAATCACAGATTTTATTGCTCTTAAGCTAGGCATCATTGTGATCATAGGTTATTTTATCCAATTCTTTTTACAATGTGGATTAAACAAACTTCTAGACATCATTTTTTAGAGGACCATTGAAACTAGTTACGATTGCTAATGAATCCATTTATATATTTTTAATTTAAATTATATTAATATATAATCAGTATGATGATTTAATTTAGAACTTATATACACTTCCTTAATGTTTTTTTTTGGTGAATAATTATGAGTTAGATATAGGAGTAAAATCCATTTTGACATTGTGAATGTTCTCAACATTCGTAGGATGATGTTCAGGTTTGGTAGTTTTAGATTAAGTAAACTAAGGCTTATTGATTTCAATGGTGGGTTAGACATTAATCGAAAGTTTTTTGAGTTTGCTCTACATGATCTTAGCATAGGATAAGGAATTTAAGTTGGATTGACTTTAAGATCTAGTTTGTCCTTGAGTCTTAATGCTGGATCTGAGACTAAATTGCAAGTCCTTGCTTCTCAGATCACTTTCAGATTACTGTTGTAGTCTGTTTCGTTGATTCCTGGTCTCTGACCTGATGAGATTCATTTCATTTACATATGGATCACTTCTGAAAGGAACTAAGAAAGAGTACTTATCCGCTTGGATAGACTCAATATTTTCAATGCTCTACTTAAGGTTTTCTATTTCATGATAATAAATAGCCTTCTGTGCTTATTCAACTGTTTTTTCCATTTTCTTTCTCAATTTGTCAATTTATTATTCAACTTTAATTTTCTTATAATAGGATGATTTGATTTAATCTAGATCAAATTGATAGGTGTCGTCTCCTGTTCTTTCAGTCAAATCTGGATTCTGGTTGGTTCTCTATCCAAGATGACTCTGGATCTAGAATTTCACATTTTCATATTTAAGGAAATCGTCAATAGAGGAATAAAGTTGAAAATAATCTAATAGTTATCTATATTTGATCCTGTAGTAAGTAGAATCAGTTTTGGCCTTTGCAGTAGTAATTCTGTAGTTGAGTTGCTTGAAGTGTTCGTAGTCTCCAAAAAACTAGCCAGAATTGATTATGGCCATAATAGTGGGTTTAGGGACGAAGTTGTGATGATTAGACACTTAATCTCCATTAGGAGTTGACCATTAGACAACTTCAATTTCCCCATTGATTACTAGATAAATGTATTCATCAGGTTTGCCTTTTTAAAAAACAAATTGTCCAACTTTTTTGTTTTAAACTTCAAGACTTTGCAATAGAACCAATTGATTCTAGCGTTGCCACACACTAAAGATAGGTATTTTAGAAATAAAGGCTATTTTCTGATTTGTTAATTCATGTTAGAATGCTCCAAGTATTCTTTGATAGAGATCATATGTGATGACGGCTAGAATGACTTCAGTTTTAGCAGCAACAGTGGCTGTTCTAGTAACTTTCTGTTCAATTGCTATTTCTCCAAATTGATCGCCCTCTATTTTGGTTGCAACCTAGGCGTAATCGACAAAAACATATTTGACCCATTCTTCAAAAGAACTACTATAGAATGAGTTATACTTGAATTTTTGTTTCTTTTGAGGGGGATTTTCGGAAGTGTTTTTGGTTTTTGGGATTAAGATTACCAATTCGCCTTGGAGGACAAAATACATTCTTCTCCCAGGATCACCATGTCTGAATATGATTTTGGTGCTATCATACCATTCTAGAGTCATTTCTCTGAATAGGGATTTGCAACTTTCGTGATCCAACTTCTCTTTGAATTTACTAATCTAATATAATTATATTTGTACCTGTAATAGGGGAAGTTCTCCTCGAAGTAGGTTTTGACTGCTTCCAGTTATTCGTCCGTTCTATTTTGGGAGTATTGTTTCAAAATGTAAATAGTCCTTTGTAATTGTATTGTTTTAGTGTGCGAACTATCTCTTTGCCAAAGTGTTGCTGCCTTCTCCAAAATGCTCATGTGTCTACGTTCATTCTCTTCTTTTTGTTTGGCTGACAACACTATCTATTAGAATGTGTTCGTAACTCCTTTTAATGTTGTGCTGCTTTTCATATAAAATTTAATTATGTTTCTAACCAGACTCAGGAATCTGTACAAGTTCTCATCTGCCATAGATCCATATTAAGTGTTGGGAGTTGATAAATTCACTCCATTCCCAGATATCAAGAAGGCCTATTATAAAATGGCAGCTCAGTACCATCCAGACATTAATAAAACACCTGTGTTAAGATCATTAAATATATGTAGTCTGCCTAAAAACAATTCATTCTAATTAAGGAATCCTTTGAGAAGATTAAAGTAATGAAAGGAGAAGCAGTCCAAATGAATTCAGAAGGTTCTGCCAAAAAGGAGAATGAATATGAATCCGTTCGCAAGAATTACAAGGACTACGATGAAAACTTTGGAGAGTCCAATGAACAAAAGGACTATAAGGAATTCTATCATCAAGCTGAAGATCTGAAAGGCCAAGAATACGATCATCTTAAAAAGTCCTTTTAGACCATTCATGAAGTCAAAGACATCAAATTCAAACCCATCGATATGAAAATGCCTGATCCCTCCAAAAGATTTCATCTGGGTCAAGTTATGCATTTGAAGGTTTTCTCAGATGGTTCCAATCTGTACATTATTACAATCTGTGTTGGCATGTTTATACTCTTTTTTGTTATGTACTTCTACTCATTATTATTATAGTAATTCGGTGTTTCAAATACAAACCAAAAGAAAGACTAATTCCTAATTGTACAATTTGTTGAATCAACAGGTCATCAAGGAAGATTTGGATGAAGAGTAGCTTTTGCAACAAGTCACCACTCAAATTGAGAAGACTGAAGAATTTAAATAATTTAGAACTGAGAAACTTGAGAAATAGGAGAAGTCTACTCAAAGGAGAAGATAGATTGTTCCTGAAATCCAAACTTTTGTATCGGCAACTGATCTTAAAGATAGTGTGCTTTGAAATTAAATATATAAAATATTAAATTTTATGTCATCTCGTAATAATTCTTGCGATACTGCAGTTGGATTATAATCAAGTATTCTATTATTAATTTACATGAGAACTTATTGCATTGAAAGCAGAATTGAAAAAGGCCTAAAGTGTAATCGTCTAATAGTAACATATGTTACAAGTCTAAAAATAATTGATGGATCGAAAACAATCTATAGACAAAGTCAAACAGAAACTGATGAATAATTTAAATCTTGAGAACCAATCCTTAGTAAATATACCAAATATAATCAGCGAAATCAAGTGAGCAAATTCGAAAAATTATTTCAAGATAAGAACTAAGAACTTGAAAAACTAACTTTAATTAATAAAAATTTGACAGCAGCCAATAATTAACTTCTAGCTGAAATGGCCAAACAATTAAGTGGACCAACTTCAGAAGAAAAAGAAATCAGAATTTAATAAATCAAAAGATTATCTATCATTGATACTAAACCTCCTCCTCCTCCCCCTTTACCATTGCCACAAAAACAAGGTAATCTAAAATAAGAATAGTAACGTAAAAAACCAAAAAGATAATTGAAATAATTACATTGGGAAGCTGTTTTAATGCAAAAAATAGAGTAGAGTTTTTGGAATGATGCTGATGATTTAACTATTAAAGTAGATTTTGAATAGTTAGAAGAATTGTTTTATCAACAAGTTAATGCTCCATAACAATAATAAATCCCAGCATAGGTATCAATACCAACCTTAAATTAACACATTCAAATTTTGAATCAAGAAAGATCGGTATGAATTTATCTCAAATATTAGAGAAGTGTCGAATTGGTAATAGCAAAATACAGACTTACTAGTCAATTAGTAATATAAGCTGTAAGCAATATAGATCTTAAGTTTTTGGATGGAGAGAAGATTGAGGCTTTGATGAAGTGTTTGCCGCAAGGAAAAGAAATAGAATAATTGGAAAAAGTGAAATCTTTGAGAGATAGTCAACAAATAAAGCTGAACATTCCTGAGAAATTCTTAGTTGAATTATACGATATGCCATTTTTTGAAGAAAGACTATGTTCCATTAATTTCAAAATGGGTTTCATAGAAATTAAGAAATCAATTGATAGTAAAATGTAATTGGTTAAGAATACATGTTAATAATTATTATAATGTAAATATTTGGAGAAGTTCCTATTATGTTGTTTAGCAGTTGGAAACTATTTAAATATTAACACTCCAAAAGGAAGTATTTGATATCATTAATTATATATAAGTAATAAAAGGATTTAAATTAGAATCAATTGAAAAATTCAATTTGATAAAAGGAAACGACAGAGAAACATCTTTGATAATTTATACCATTACAGTAGCTGAATAGGAAAATATTCCAGTTTTTAAGTTTGAAGAAAATGAAGATTAATTGTTGAATACTTAATTGATGAATTTGATTGGAGAAACATCTAAATTCTCACTAATTTAAATATTCAATAATGAAATCAATCAGATTAAAATTGGTCTGAAGCATTTAGAGAAGATGCTCACCATTAATGACTAGAATATCAATGAGGCCTACCAAACATTTTAGCAGGAAGTATTGGATTATTACAAAGTGATTGAAAATGAATATTTGGATTTATAAAAGTCATATGAAAAGTTATGTGATCACTATGGAGAGAACTATTAAAACTATGAATCTGAGAAAGTGTTCTAAAAGTTCAATCAACTGTTTATCCTAGTAAAAAAGGCAAAAATGCAATCAATCTAGATGAAATTATCTCAAGTGAATGAAGGTAGAATTAAGGAAACCTAAACTCAATTAACTAGAGTCAGATAAAGCAGTAATAGAATATATTGATATTCTTAGTTATGATCGAAGAGTAAGAGCAAACCAATTCGGTTAAGAAACAAATTGAATAAGCCAGAAAATTGCCATTGCATGAATTGTTGAAATTGAAGAGTAAGTTCAAAGCCAAAACGAATGGGAAAAAATAGGAATGAAGACTGTATTAATTATCTCAAATGTTATTGGATATATATGTTAAATAAACAATTATTAAAATATTCGTTGTATGTTTAAATTCAAATTAAATAAATATTAAATAAAAAAGGATGTTCAGACATAGGGATTTAAACACATTTTTATCCAATTACTAGTAGTTGGATAGACAAACCAAGAAACCCTTCGAATATTTGAATCTGTCGTATCATCAATAATTTGATCATTCCCCTATCAAAAAGCAATCATACACTTCAAAAAACAATGAAATATAATACAAGAGTCTTCAAGAACCTTCCTTCTTAAGACAAAGCCTATTGCCTAATTATGAGCCAACAAAGTGTTCCAGTCAAAGAAATGGAATTATCAAAGCTTATGCTGCAAACACGAATTAAGGGATAGTTAGAGATTATAATGAAGATAGAGTCTCCATTATATTAAATATTCTCAAACCTTAAAGTAGAAGCACAGAATAATGGCCAAAATGCTCCTTTTTTGGAGTCTACGATGGACATGGTGGAGCTGCATGTGCTGATTTCCTAAGAGATAATTTGCATTAATTTGTAGTTAAAGAACCTGATTTCCCTTGGAATCCAGTTGGTGCTATTAAAAAAGGATTTGAAGCAGCAGAAAAGTCTTTTTTATAAATTGCTTAAGAATCCTATAACAAGGGAGTACCTGAAAGAAGTGGATCTTGTGCTATTGTGGTATTAGTAATTGGAGATACTTGTTATGTGGCAAATGTTGGAGATAGTAGAGCTGTGTTAAGTACTGCATCTGGTAGGAAAGCTGTTGCATTATCACATGATCATAAACCTGAATTGGAATAAGAAAGAATTGTGAAAGGTGGAGGATCCGTATACCAAACTCATGGAATTAATGAAGAAGGTATGCAGATTTTAGGACCAGTAAGAGTTAATCCAGGTAGGTTGTCAGTTTCAAGGACATTTGGAGATATCGAAGCCAAATTTGAGAAGTTTGGTGGAAATCCAAAAGTTGTTATCGCTGAACCTGAAATCAAGTAATTTAAAATAACAAATGAACACGATTTTATTGTTTTAGGAAGTAATTTATTGGATCTTATAATTAGGTGATGGTATTTTCGATAAACTAAGTTCTACTGATGTTCTGAATATCGTTTGGAAAGATATCTTAAACTGTTAGGCAGGCAACAATTTACACAGTGTATTATCCACATCAGTGGAGTCAGTGCTTAAGGAAAGCATATAAAGAAAGAGTTCAGACAATGTGACTCTGCTGATTGTAGCTTTTTCAGTCTCATCTTTAAAAGAAGAAGAACTTAGGATCAAAACATCATCTTCAATTGAAAAACTGGTAAAAGTGCCTTTAACAAACAACATACCAAGTACAAGGATGAGGTATACAGTTAATCTATGATCTTTAGTTATTCCAAAAAAACCAATGATGAAAACAACCCTTTCTTTATTAACACATAAAGGATGAACCCACTTCAAAAGTAACAATTAGAAGAAACAACCAGATACAAACCTAGTTATATTAATTGACTATAAGAAATTAGAATAATTAATTTTTCTATAAAGCATTTCATTTGATCACATTCTTTTTACTTTCTAGCTGTAAGGTCTTTAGGTGTTTGTTTGGGTTATTTCTTCATCAAGTCCAGCTTCAATCAGTTTGGTCCTTAGAGTTTTGATTTATTGCTCTAAGCATTGATTTTTAGTTTACAAGATTTCTATTTATGTGACTAGATCTGATTGACGCTGTTATTCAAACCGAGATAAGTTTTATTTGTTATAATTTTAACCCCTAATTAACTTACCTTTTTTTGGGAATTTATTTGTGATTTACCCATTTACCAAATCAACCGATTGGTTTAATTGATGCCAATTGGAATCATCTTACAAAATTGCACTATTCTTTCTCTTATAAGCTCAATATATTACTTCATATTGATGGCTCTTACGCTTTTGTTCATATTATCTCAAAGAATTGGCTCTAGTTTATGTTTTAAGTAAGGATTCATATTATGATATCTACTTAGCTAATTTTGCTTCTAAGCTCTTTTTCCTCTCTAGCACCTAATTCAAATGAGTTAAGAGTTGCGTGTTTTCCTGAGTTTTTAGATAGATTTCTTAATCTCTCCACAATAATAATTTCTTAAATTTTTTATCATTCTCTTAAGTAGATTTGACCAAAAATTGATTCTGTCTGCATAATTCATTAGTGATTTCACCTGTGAAATGTTTTTGATACAACTGTTTTAATTGTTGGGGCCAATCCTAATTAAATTGGAATTGATTACAGATTCTCTAAATTCGTGAATCATGGAAGTGATATCCTTAGTAAATAGTTTGACGGATATTTCTGCCTTTTTGTCTTATTCAGTGATATTCTCTGGATTTATATTGTCATACCTATCATTTTTACTAAGATATTTTTGGTACATTGACTTAATAAAATCTACCCATTCCTAATGTTAATAAAGAAAATTACTTTTTCTTTCTTCTCATGATAGCAATTATATATATCCATAGTTATTTATTTTGATAGGTCTTAATATTTCTTACAATTTTATTTTAATTTATCAATATCTTCATTCAAAACTTTGATTTGATTACTAGTTTTCTAATCTTTTTCTTCATATTACTTCAATTTGGTTGATAATTCATTAATTTCATCTTCTAATCTTGGTATACTTTCTAACAATTCTCTTATCTTCTTATCCTTAGGTTCCATTTCAGTTTACATTTCATAAGTTTTATAACTTAGAACCAATTTTGATTTCTGTAATCCTCCAATATATTTTTGAAATTATTTAATTTGATCATTGCAATGAGATAGTTCTTGTTCATGCAAATTGATCTTCTCCATCAATTCTTTGTTTTAGTTTTATAATTCTTAAATGAATTTTTCAGACTCCTTCTATTTTAATATTTCTAATTCCAATTGTTATTGAACTACATCTATTTCTTTACAATTAAACTTATCAGATTTATATATCATTAGTTACTTATCCTTTGATTTGATTTCTTTCTATAATTCGTAGATCTTTGATTTAAATTTTTATTTAGTACTTTCTATTAGTTCATCTTATAATTTTTCATACTCTATTTCCCATCTGTTTTCGGCTTCGAATTTATAGTTTCCACTATGACTTGATGTCGCTGCATTCTAGAGCGATTTTAGATCAGATTGAAATTTCTTTTTAATCTCATTAATTTATTTTTAACAATCTTATTCTAACAATTTCATGTTTGTTTGAAATTTCTACCTTTCCTCTATCAAAATTTGTTCCAATTAAAGGTATTTCTCATTCTCAATTAATATTTTCTTCTCATAAAGGGTTTCTAATTCTTAAACTGCCTTGAATTGATTGTTTTCAATGTTTCTAAATAAATTAAAATGCTGTTTTTCTTATTAAGTCTTTTCCTCCTTAAGTTCTTGATATCTTTCATTTCTGAATTGAATTTCCTCATTGAACTTGGTTTCGAATTCAGTTTGCTACATTAATAATAATATTAATATAAAATGTTTCAATATAATAAATGACATCATTTTCCAAACAACGTACTTCTTATAATTGGCAATGAGTCTTAGAATGTCTAATCAGTTCTAACATCCAGGGTATTCTTACAAACAATTAAACCATCCTTGGTGGTCATCAAAATTCCACCAAAACATTTTTTGTCGTTTTCAGTTTTCGATATGACCTAAGTAATAGATTTATTACTTACTTCTGATGATGACTCCTGTGATGAGTAATCCTAAACACTTTTAATTGAATTGTCAATAAGTGCTCTTTCATCCAGACATTTATCTTCATCAATGTCTATTTTGACTTCAAATTCTAACCCATTCAATTCCTTTCTTAAAATATCTTAGAATTCAGAGATAGCATCTTCTATTACATTTCTTACATGTCTAATGTCTCTTTGTAAACATCTTAAGAATAATCGAATTCAATTACCTCACTACAACTTCATGTTCAAATAATTTAATTAATCCTTGAACCATCAGATTTTTTAACAATTCCTCATAAAATCTTTCATCCTGTCTGATCATTTTGTAAATTTGATATTGTGACTTTATTAATAAGCAAATATACATCAGAGAAAATCTTTGTCAATGCTTGATTTCTAGCATTCATCAATCTCATTCTAGCACCATTTACAAGGGCACTATGTTTGATTCTCTCCTATTAAGCCTTCTTCTTATATTTTGTATTAATTTCTTCCTAAATGTTAGATTTCTCTTTTTCCACAATTTGCTTTTTCTCCTTCTCAAATTATTTAAATGCCTTGACTTCAATTTCAAAGCATTTCTCTCTTGCCTCCTAAAGCACGAATTCAGCCAAAGATATCTAATCTTACAACATTATTAATAAATATTTATTTAATGTATAATACTCAATACAATACTCTAAAACAATTTTCAGTATACATAAATTAATTAATAAACCACATATTTAATAATAAAGTGCCTATTAGTAATATATTCAGTGAATCTTTACATTCATTTATCTGAAGAAACATATTCTATAAACTTTCTTGTTCTCAATTATTTAGTTTTTATTTTATTATCAAATTTAAAATCTTATTTTAAATATTGAGTGAAGTTATAATTCTTATTTTTTTAATTATTCAACCTATCTTTAAATCTTATTTGCTTAATACTTTTCATGAACTCATTGTTAACTATTGGAGGTTTATTGAATATTTTTTCACTTACTCGTAATTTTATAGTTACATTCAAATTGATTATTTATTAAAATGTTTTAAATTTGTTCACATTGCTAAAATATCATATTCTAACAATAAGTTTTAAGATATATAGATATTATGTCTAATGTTATATAGGAATTAAATTAATTTTTTTTACTTTATAAAGTTTTCAATTGATTTATAATTCTATTCCATTATAGATTTAGAAATCTTAAATAAAATTATTAAATTATTAATATTATTGATAATATGGATTTTCGCGAGTGGAAATAATGAATTTAGTTATATAACGTAAATGCCTTTCTAAATATATAATTTTTTAAGTTATATCATTTAAACTCTGTTGATCCACAGTTACTTTGTATCATTAACATCATATTAATGGTTATACAATTTATATGTGATCATCACTTTTAGAAATTATCAGAAAAGATTACTATATAAATTCCATGTAAATTAGAATATAAATTAATAAAAATGGGAAATTCATCATCTTCAAAGTCATCAGCGAATAAAACAACAAACAATGTTTCTTAATAGCCTCAATGTAATTATTTAACGGCTATATTTAGCTACTTAATAATAGCAATCTCCATAATTTCATTTAAAATCAACTGGATAGATTCCTCAAATTGGTGGTCACAAATCCCAAATCATCGATGAAGAAATAGCTAAAAATTTAGAAGATCCAATTGTAGAATAGCAAGTTATCGTTGAACAATAAATTTAACAAATTGATATTGATGCAAAAGTTGGGGAAACAATTGAGAAGATTCATATCAATTTGATAGCTAGATAAGACGTAGTTACTTTAAGTTAGTTCGCCTAAACTTTACCAGTGATATTATAGGTTTAAGCACTCAAATCACAATTGAAACATGCTAAAGCAAATATTGATTTAGTTTGTGTAGTTGATGTTAGTGGATCTATGGAAGGTGAAAAAATTAGCCTTGTCAAAGATTCATTAAGATATATCTAAAAAATATTGAGTCCAAACGATAGGTATTCAGTTTGACAAATTATTAGAATTGCTTTAGTAACGTTTGGCACATATTCAGGTATCAATTTGCCTTGGACTATCAATAAACCTGAAAATAAATAAAAAATCAAAGATGCAATTATTGGTATGAAAATTAGAGACTCTACCAATATTGCAGATGGTGTTAAACTAGGATTGAGAATGATTAAAGAGAGAAAATAAAAAAACCCAGTCACTTGTATGTTTGTGTTGACTGATGGACAAGACGATAACAAAGGAGCAGATGAAAGATGTTAATAAGCTATTAATGAATACCAAATTTAAGATACCTTCGTGATTAATTCTTTTGGGTATGGATAAGATCATGATGCAAAAGTAATGAACAACATCTCAAATTTAAAAGGTGGAACATTCACTTTTATTGAAAATATCGCAAAGGTAATCTTTAATTTATTATCATTAGGCTTCAGAACATTTTATTTTGGCAATGAGTGGAATGTTATCAGTTTTGGCTAAAAATGTGAAAATAGTAATTGAAGAAAACCCAAATTATCCTATTTAGAAACTTTATGGGGATGATTTTCTTTGGCATAAACTCGATGGATCCAAATATGAAATGAATATGAATTATTTACTGGAAGGTGAAAATAAAGAATTTGCTTTGGAAATAGAAATACCTTCAAGTGACAAAATAAATTCATAAAATGAGATAGTATTAAGATCCAGTTTAACAGGTGAATTTTTAGAACTGAAAACTAATTTCACAAAATAACAGGAATTAAATATCAAATTTTCATTGTAAGAAGTTCCATTCGAACCAAAGGAAATTGTGGAAGTTAATTATTTGAGGGCAAAGGCTGGTACTGTTATTGGAGCTGCAAAAGAATTGGCAAAACTTAAAAAATACGATTAAGCTCAGTAATCATTAAACAAAGTGCTTGATGAAATAGAGCAATCACATTTTATTGCTTCAAAAGCACTATAAGTTGTAGTAGTTGATTTGAAGTAAATTAAAGATATTTGTAAACCTTAATTATTTGAATAGAAAGGAGAAGCTATGATGTTAAACAAATAAAAAAATCATGTTCAGAGATAAAAATCAATTAGTAATATTCTTTATATATGTCTTAGGTAATCGTATGGAATGGAATGATTGTGAAGAGGAATAAATGGAAAATTATAACAATGGAAAGTTATGTTTGAGTGTTTGTGACATGTAAGATGATTATCAATAAAATGCACAATTTGATTCTCCTGTTTAAAAATTTAGAAAAAACTCAGGCGATTCCGACTTATCATTTTGATAAAATAAATTTAAAAATTAAGATTATTATAAGCTCTTTAAATTTTAGTTTAATTCAAATTCATAAATATCACTATCAATTCAATATTAAAAACAAATTTAATTTAATAGAAACAATTTTAGTGAAGTTATGATTTAAGCTGTTGTTTAAGCAAATACTTAGAATTGATAACTCATGAATAATATTTATTGTTAACTTTAAATCAGGTAGAATAATTTGTCAAAATTTTTATTTGTAAATAGAAAGTTTGTTCATGATTACAACCATAAGATAATCTAATTTACCTATAAAGAAATTATTTGAAAATTTCAAATATATTATTCAACCATTGTCTAATAATTCGAATATTTTATTTTGGTAGATTAAATTAATAGAGAAATATCGAATCTGAAAATTTTCAATTCTTAAAAATTAAGACCGAATCAAACTTGAATATATTTAGTTTGAAAATTTATATTTCAAAAAAAAATAAAACAAAGTTGATTATAATAGATACCCAATATATATATTTCATTTATAATATTTATTTATTAAATCTACACAATCCCATTTAGAAATTTTTTTAAACAAAAATTCTTTTGAAACATTGTTTTTTATTTTCGATAAATCATGCTAAAGTTCTTAAAATTGACTTCTTTATTGAAAATTGCTTTTGCTTGCTTCTCTAAGGATTTCTTTTCTTTCTCTAATTTAAGATTATAAAATGCTGCTTGATCGTTATTTTTCAAGAACTTTATTAACTTTTTCTAATTGTTAGAGATTTATTTTTTCTAAGTTGACTAAACTTCGAGACTTATTTTTTTTATTTAATTGAGGAGAATAGTTTGAACTTTTTTTTTCAGGGTAAGTTTCCTCTATTTTTGTGTAATTTGTTTATTTGTCTTAATTAAACTGTTACTTGATATTTTTTCGTTTCTTTAATTTTGTTAATTATCTTTAGGATTCTTTTGAATTATTGATATATCTAGTTTATTTTTGAATATATTTTTCTAAAAACTTTTATGATTCTTCAACTTTTTGATGAGATTAAGTATTTTAAAATACAGAAGTTCTATTATTATCTAATAAACTTAGTCTATTAATTTGAGATTTATTTAATTTAGATTGAATCTTTGCATATAATTAATTACATTATTCAATTTCTTATTATTTGATTTACTTAATTCTATCATTTACTTATTTTTATTTAAGCAAATCTTTTAGCTCTTTTTCTTTTTATTTTATTTAATTTTGATATAATCCTCTTTCTGAGTCATCTGATCTAAAAATAATAGAATTTTTACTCAAGTTTATCTTTAGAAAGAATTTCTTTTTATCTTTCAAATGCCTTTTCCTATTCATACTGAATTGATTCTTAATGTTTTTTTGCTATTTATTGAGTTTTCTAGTTAAAAGAATGCGCTCTATCACTGATGGCTTTAAGACTTTGCTTTTTTAGTTTTTTTACTCGTAAGTTCTCTTATTCCAAGACTTTATTCTCGTTCAATATTTTCAATTCTTCTTCAATTTATTCCCGTATTTTATTTTTGAGGATTAATTGAGTTTTATCTTTTTTAATTTGTTATAATTCAATTCTTTTATCTAGCATGGAAATTGCATTTTCAATATTTAAATAGTTGAAACTTTCAGTTTAAGAATAATATCTGGTATTTACCAACTAATCGTATTTTAAGGTCTCTGCCTCCTCTTTTTTAATTTTATTCCTTTCCTTTACCAATAATTTTCTTCTTTATGCAATTTGATGCAAATGAAGCAGATACCTTTATTCAGTTACCGAATAATCTTCATCCATGATAAAGAATTGGGATATTTTTTTTTATTATAAGTCTTGCTCTTTCAAGCTGAGATTCTACATAGCTATCTAAATTTTCGGAGAGTTAAAATTGATCTCAACCTCCAATAAAAATTAAACATCAAATGTTAGTTTGAGTTCAAACTACTCAATTTTTGATTAGCTCAAAGTTAATGGATCATCTGTCAATAACAACATTTTATTTATAAATAAATTTCTAATATCTGACTTGTATTAAGAAAATTGGTAATCAGAATGAAAAAATATAAAAATACAAACCATAGGTTAATTGGGAGTTCGTGATTTGGGTATAGTGCTGATTTATTATAAAGTGTTAAAATTTATAATTTTTTGTCAGCCCATTAATATTATAAATAATGGGAAGTTGTGTTGGATAAAACAATATTTAAAGGCAATAATCTAATTAAGTAAATCAGTAGATTCCTGAGAATATTCTGTCTTCAGAAAAGCATGAGAGAATCGTACAAATAGTAAATACTCATCGATAGTGCAAAGTTCAAAGGAAACTAATAAAATTAAACAGAGAGGTAGAAAATGGATTTGAATAATAATTTATACCAAAAAAAATAAATAAAAAATAATAATGAGTTAATAATCTTCTAATCAATATGCATACGATCAAGAATTATATGAGTAACATATAAAGTAATTGGATAAAATTAAAAATGAAATAGAAGCTTAAGATCCATTCATTATTACCTAACCAATAGAATTGCAAATATTAGAATCAGAATATTTAGAAAATTAAGGATTTCATCAAAAAATTTAAGTAAGTGATTATGATGAATTTCTAGAAAATCCGTGAATCCTATCCATTTTTCAGGAGAGTGAGAAGAGATGGTAGCTGCTTCTATAGAGCAGTTCTGTTTAGAATATTCGAATAAATAATCTAATCCAAAGATCAGCAACTATTAAATAAGTTTAGCACCACGATTGCTAATTCAAAGACAGACTTAACAGCTGTTGGATATGAATAAATTGTTATTGATGACTTTTATGATGTAAGTCTGCTATATTATGTAGGAAATTATGAAATAAATAAAATTATGTCCAAACAACATTACTGTTTAGGGGATTGTAGATGCATTCTGCAATAAAGTCACATCTGATTATCTTATTATGTACATGAGAATGCTGACATCTGGATATATCAAAGCGAATTCATTTTTGTTCGAAGGATACATAGAAACTGGAACAGTTGAATTGTTTTGTTAATAAGAAGTTGATCCAATTGATCGAGAGGCAGATTAAGTAATAAAACATATTTAATTAAGATGCAAATCATAGCATTGCAAAACTACTTGCAAATTCCTATCAGGATTTTCTATCTGGATGGCAATGTTGCCACAGTTGATGCTACTATATTCTAAATTCCAGAAGATGCTAATCCAAATTCTATATTTATCAATTTATTATACAGACCTGGACATTATGATATCCTATATCCCAAATGAGATATTGATAAACCACATATTATCATGTTTAAAATTCATTTCAATATAATCATTATTTATAAATAAAATAATAAAATTACACACTCAAGTTTTTACTTTGATTTTTATTAAAGTTTAATGATTTGATTTTTAGATTACATTTAGAAATTTATATTGTAACATTGTAGAAGATTTTATCAAAAGATTGTAATATGATCGTTTTATGCTATTTTATTAAGGTTCTACAAATAATGTGGTTGAAAATCTTTGTAAATTTCAAATTTTTAGATTTTTAATAAATATTTGCCTGATATTTGATAGTTTATAAGAATTTATTATGAATTAAAAAAGAAATTAAAGATTTTTATCGCTATCTAAGACACAAATTCATTTTTCTTTATAAAATATAATCGATTAAAAAGTCTATTACGCATCCTTTTAATGATATTTGATTGTTAAATATAAATTGGGGGAATATCTTTTAATCTACTTTAATTAATTAATTCTTATATTCAGTATTTCTTGTAATATGAACATTCTAACTAATCTCACCCAAAATGATTCAAGAATTAGAAGAAATATACAGAAAAAAATTCAGAACTAGACATACTTCATAAATAATTTCCATACTGCAACGCCTGATCTTTAATTTCACTTTTGGAGAACTTAGAACAGCACAAGATGTATTTAAACCTCAAGATTTTTAAGATTGATGGACATTTTTAATGAAAAGAACTAAATCACATTTTCAAATAATATATAGCCTTAAAAATGTGCCTTTAAAGATAGCCACAATCCTATAACTTTAGGCTGCAATTAATTATAAATCTCTATTTTATAAATGCCTCATATTTTATTACCAAAAGATAAGGTTTTTAGTTTCTTAATTAGTCAATCTCGTTCTCAATGAAGTTAATACAAAATCAATCTTCAATTGTGACTAAAATGAAACAATTTTAAATAGAATAAGGTTAATTGCAGGTAGATGATGATTAGAAATTGAATAATTAAAAGAGTTATAATCTGATAAATAGATAGACATTGAGAATTAATAATAGGGCAACATAATTTTGATTTGATTAAATAATATAATATTACAAATAATTCCTATAATGTCTAATTAGATAAAAGCATATAAAGCATGTTGGAAGCAAGCAGTTGATGCTGCAGAAAAAGAATTAGAGGAAATTTACAACTAATTTGTTTCGAATGATGGTGAATTACTGAAAGAGAATTCTCATAATTTAAATGATGAGGAGTACTAAATATCAATTAAATTAGGATAAAGTCCTAACTGAATTAGACAGAAAATGATCATTATTTTCAGGATAATAGCGATGATTAAGAAGATCAGCAAGATTAAAATGATCATTAAATAAACATACTAACATAAAAGACAAAAGAAGACTTTATAGTGAATTAAGAAATTAAAAGAGAACTACTTAGGGAAGTGCCTTATAAGGAAGAAAAATTATAAATTTACAAGATTATTTATTCGAATGGAGATGTTTATGAAGGAGAGTTATCTAAAGATTTAAAGGATGGGTCTGGTACTTACTACTATGCAAATGGGGAAAAATATGATGGGTTGTTTTCGGAAGATGTTATTCATGGATATGGAAAATATTTTTTTATGGGGGGTCATAAATATGAGGGAGATTGGTATTAAGGAGAGAAATCTGGAATGGGCATTTTAGATTTTAAAACAGGAGACAGATACATAGGTGGTTTTTATAAAGATGTATTTGATGGTGATGGTATTTACTTATAAAAATTGATAGGAACATTTTAATACAGGAATGGAGATGTTTTTAAAGGAAAATGGAAGAAAGGTAAAAAGAATGGGCATGGGGAGATGAGATACAAAGATAAAAGGATTGTTGTAGGAGAATGGATTGATGATAAATTATAGCCCTTTTGATATCATTATACTATCAAATTAGTCTTTTACAATGAATATTGACATTGCGTCATCCTCTCTTTTTTATTTCCACTACTAATTCATCGTTAAGTTCGTAGGTTTCAGACTTTATCTTTCTATGGATCAAGTGCTGATTATCAATTCTTTTAGTGTTATCTTATTTAACCTAATTATTATAGTGTTATACTGTGGCAACGCAATGAATCAAATTTAGAGATTGAAGTAATTCCTGAGTTCCAAAGGCTAGAGGAGTATAATTGTCATTGTTTAGTATATTAAGATTACCATTTCTATTAATGAATTCAATTATTATTTATGAATTCCCAGATAGGAAAGCCATGTGAAGAGGAGTATTTCCATTAGAACATATTTAATTGACATCAGCTCCTATTTTCAATAGGAATTTTGTCATTGATTCATCTCCATATTTGGCACTATAATATAAAGGAGTGTTTCCATTTTGATCATAAAGTTCTGTATCAGCTTTACTATAATGGAACCCAGCTGCTTCTGCAATAGCACTATTCTTCATTTTTGCAGCTTAAATCAACTTTCTATTTTTTATTTTGGCTTCACCATCCAGTCTGGTTCTAACAAATTTATTGAGTAATTTTTATCTTTATTTTTCATTTGTTTCTCTTTTTTACATATCACACTAGAATAATAGAACAAATTACCTATTTAATGATACGACTACTAACTAATGAGATCTCAGTAGTTTTATGTTTGCTTAATCGATTTATTTATGGAGATGTGGGTGCAGACCCAGGAATAAATACAACTTTATCCATAGGTAATTTAGGAGGAGAATGTTAGGTGATATCCTTTAATCTTTCATTTTATTGATTGTTCAATTCTTTATGCAATTCTTCAAAAAATCTTTTTGCTTTCATACACTTTTATATTCTTTATTCTATGTCTATGCTTTTTAATTGTTCTTTCTTTTCTAATACTTTGAAGAACTTCTTTTTATACAAATATCGCTTGATTGCCATCTTTATTTTATTAGCTGCTTGCACTTCAATATCATCTGTAATCCATTGTTATTAACTAGGGAATTCAGGCTCTTAATGATCATTTAATCCTTTCAATTTTTAACTCTAAAACTATCTGCAAGTTTATGGTCCTCCACTATAAAACTTCATAAATTCGTTCTAACTAATATTATAATTTCTTATTCCTAATCTATAACTTTTGCTCCACTTTATTATCTTCTCTTTTTAATGCTATTAAAACTTTTCCTCTGGGTCCAGTGCAAGCAATTTTGAGGGTGGATGAAATATATGTTTTACTTACTCTAATTACAATTCATCTTGGCCTTTTATAAATAATGGCTTAAACGTTTATTTTGAAGTATTTCTTTCTAAAAAGTTTTATTGTTTTATTTTTTCAGTTCCTTTTCTCTTGATTATTGATTATATATACTTCTCTATATTTTCTGACAATTCCCAGCATAATCTCCTTGAATTTCTAAACATATATATTGGCTAACGGATTTCCTGAATTCTTCAGCCTTCTCAAAGCACTCTACTTTTTATGGTCAAATGCCTCCTTTAGAAACTTCTTTTTCTGAGCCTCTTTCAAATATTGGACAAATTTTCCTTTTATCACTCTAATTTAAAGAGAATCTTTTGAGAAGTGTTATTATCTCTAGTAATTTTTAGTGTTCTCAGCTACAATAATAGATACGAATTTACTTATTTGTTGTCTTTTTTTCTTATTTAATTCTTCAAAATATTTGTTTCTAATTTTGACTTGATTTTCTTTGATGAAGTAAAAGTTTTAGAGTATTTATTCAGAGATATTCAATTCAATTTGATTTTTGACCTAATTAAAATTAATTATACATTATCTTCTAAGCAATTGATGGCTCTTTAAATGAATTCTCTATCTATACATTTATTAATCAAAAAACTAGTTGAAGCAATATATTAAAGCTCTTGTTCTGTGATGTAATTACCAGTTTATTCGCATTTATTTAATATTTTGTCTCGTTTCTTGGAATGAATTCCATTTGCTAATTATTTCTTAATGGTTTCATAACCCATTAAATGCATACTTTTACCTGTGCTTATGTAGCCATCCTCTATGGCTTTATTCCATTCAAAAAACAATTCGGGAGGAGAGTATTAAAGCTCAGGAACATTTAGAATGAGTTTTTTATCAGCATTTACTTAGATTCTTGAGGTGTATTGAGTGGATTGTTCTTTGGTGTCCATATTATTAGTAGTATGGATGAAACTTACCTATTAGGAAGTTACTTTAGATTTCGATGATAGAAAATTATTAACTTTTTTGAAATTGTTTGATGTTTAAATCATATCCACTAATGCAAATTTCAATCTTTTCAAAATGGATTTATATTGAGATTTAACTTGTAACCAGCCATACAAATCTAATTGATCATCATTTTTCTTTGGATGTCTTTCAGTATGTGAATTTATGTTATATTTGGAGAGAATGTCTATTTAAAAATCAAGAAATACTGTCAAATTATGAAGAAATCTAATTTACACAACACTTGATTATATAATCTTATTTATCATCCATTCTAGTCATATTTCTTAGCTCATTAAAATCAATTCCTGACTCCTAACAGATAGCCTGATATTTCTATTTTAAAGGTTTCTGCTTTGTTGATTTTTTTATTAGTTTCTCAAATAAAATGCACAAATCCTCAATTTTGTTTTACCTGGCAGTGGCTGTGTTTCTTCTCCTTATTTATCGAAAGGAGTTTTATTTTTAGATAATTGCAAAGCGTTCATCAATTTATTGCTCTGACATGAGGTTACAAAATTCCTTGTTGTCGTTGTCAGTGTAATGTCTTGCAGAGGAACATTTAGTTTTCATGTTGATAATATAAATTATATAATAGTAATAACTGATATAATTGGGTTGGAAATCATATTAAATAAATTAATGTTTAATAATATATTACCAAAACACAAATAAAGCAAGGAATCAGAATCTAATATGGGTTTCTTCGGATTAGATTGCAAGATTTAATAAAGTAAGCAAATAAAAAAATTAAAAATTGATGTAAAGTGCATGTTAAATTAAGAATTATTAGTTATGAAACCCAATAAACTAGGTAATTATGAAAATTTATAATAGACTAGCAAATTCCAGATGTAAAAGTTGAATATTGTTTCTATGTTGATCAAAAGTAAAATATTGATAATACGAAAGATATTTGAATGAGATACCAGCATTGTAAGAGAATTTCAATGCTTAAGAAGATGTTGTATAAATCATAGCGGTTTGTTCCCTTGGGATTAAAATACCAAATGATTAAGACTTTCATTTCTTTTTCGAATGCTTTGATTTGCTTAATTAGAATTAAACAAAGTTTCGATAGTCTATAAACAATAAACCACAAAAATAATTGCATAGATTGTTGATTTGTTCTATTATTATGAAGGTATAAAAGATGACTGATGTAATCATTGGATTGTATGTGGATTTGAATCTCTATGTCCTGATGCAATTGACTTTAATTACCATTCAATACGAATGCATGGAATATTCATAATACTTTTATTCGTATATATCTACTTAAAACCTAGTTTGCTATTATAGTATTTTCAATTCTAGGCTGGAATCTATCAAAAACAGATTACCGACCCCTATTTATAGAAATTAATCATGAATGTTGCTTAGGTGCAAATTTAGCAGATCAAAGAGGATATACTCTTACTCACTTGGGGCTAGAAACAACTATAGATAGGAACATTGTTCTTCAAGAGTATGTACAAGAAGATCGAGAATCGCAAAAAACCCTTTCTGCAACCCTTATAAAAATATCAATTCTATAAGACTTCTAGAAAGAGAACAACAACATCACCAAACACCGATTATCCTCATTATTATTAGTTATTAGATGAGGCATAAGGGAAATAGTTTCTAGTGGCTTATCAGGAATCACCTCACAGTGAGATATTGATATTTGAAAAAGATGTAAAAATTGTAATTATAATATTGCAGTAATTATAATATATCAAATATTCAGAAGAATATGTTGGAGTCATAGAAAGAAATTTCTGGGGAACTGTGTTTCACATTTATGATTATGGTTACCCAAAGGAAGCAGCTGGAAGGATCCCTAAGTATTTTGGATAAGAGAGAAGAGAATTGGTTGTCATCCAATATCAAACTAATATCATGGCAACATAGCCAAGGTAATTGTAAGATTTTAATTAGAAAATTCACGGCAAGTATGTTGAATCTAATTGAAAATTAAATTGTATAATTAGCTTAGATGGACCCTGTGTATAATGAGGAAAAGGAGTGTTATTAATTGAATTTCTTTGGAAGAGCAAAACGAGCTTCAGCCAGAAACTTTGAGATTATTGATCCCCAAGATTAGAATATTATTTATTTGTTGCATGGGAAGGTAAAATGTGATCATTATAAAAATATAAAGTGGGAGAAGAACCTTTTTAATGTAGATTACAGATTTCCAATGAGTATGCTCTAAGCCTTTTGCTTTTCTTTGAGCTCTATCAGTAAGAAATTCTTGGTTTAATGAAATTGTTATGTATATTTCAAATTAGAAAGAAAGTATTATTATTTAAAGATTATAACGATTGCATTTATTAATTAAATAAGTTCAGCTCAAAATTGATGCTTCCTTCACTTCCAACTATTTATTTACATTTTTTTAAACTTTCAAAATTTGACTTATAGTCTAATTGTTTATTTTAGTAATTTACTTTTCTGCACAAGTAACATTCATTTGATTTTTATATTACATCCTCAGCACACTGCTAACAGATGCCTCCATGGCGACATGGTACAAAAACGATATTGGGTGTATTTTCATAGCAAACAAGACACTTTTCTTAATTCACACTTGATTCCCCATCAGATTTAATAGATTTAATAGATCGAACTGGTTCCTCTTCTTATTCCTATTTTGATACAGTAACTGGGGTTTCTTCTCGTTTTACTTTGACTAAGTTATAATAAGATATTTAATTACCATTATCAGTAATAGCAGGTTTTTATATTTCTAAATCAACGTCATCTTATTTTTTATGTATAATCATAGAATTGCTAGCAACTGGTTTTTATAGTATTTTCTTCCAGGTTTCCTTCATCGTGGAACCGTGAAGATTGGATCGACCAGATTCTAACTCTGGATGAGACTTTTGTCTTTTTTTTTTGAATTCAAAAGAAGCTTTGTCAAGAACGGCAAAGTAAGTACAAGATAATTTGATCAAATATAAAGGGATTCCCAATTTAACGAATTCTAATTTCTTTGGTTAATGTGGGGAATTAAGTTATCTAGAATTCGGAGATTATACTGTTTGTTATTGATCAACATCATTTTAATCTGAGATTCCTTAAACATCTTTTAAGTAAGCTCTAATCATTAATAACAAAGAACCTTACTTAATTTATTTGTAGAAACAAAGAGTGAAGATGAGAAGAAATAACGAAAACAAAGTGATTACCACTATGTATTTAGCAGTTTCAGTAATGGTAATTAATTGATTTTCCTCGTAAAATTCAGCTGTTCTCAAAATGAACAAAAAAGGAAATAAAGTAAATCCTATTAGCATAATAAATATCCATAAATTGCCTGCCACTAAAGATTACAGATTATATTTACAGTAATGGCATTGTTATTTCTTTTTAATGATGTTAACCAAGGTTTCAATACAACTAACCAATGAAATGAATAATAATAGTGCGCAAACTACAAGGAACACCCACAACAATAGAAAGATCTGGATCCACGACCAAGAGATCTTTGATTCCCATTTAAGTGTAATCAGCAGGAGTTAGAGACAGCACATTGTCTTTAGGAATTGTAAAATCTCACAATATATGCAATTATATTACTAAAGCAGTGCTAGTCTTAGTCGGAGTCTTTATCTTTTAGACTAGTTTCATGATTAAAAGCAATGATGAAACCGCTAACATCATAATTGCGATAAAGTAGATCTTGAATGCTTGAACTTCATAGTAAAAGACAATGAAGATCTATTAAAACAATGAAGCATACTTTAAAAAAGAATAGAAACATTGTTTCTATGAGTTACCAAATGCAATCATCTCCTTTTCTGTAGTTGTAGTATATCAGAATAAAAATAGTTATTAAGTCCTATATCCACAATTACAGGAGCACGTAGCGATGACTATATTTCCAGTGCATATAAGTAAAATAATTAACAAAAAATGCCTATAGGAATAGGTTGAACATGAGAGACTTGATCATTTAAGCGTGACAAGAGATTACCTAATTTGTATTTTGAATACCTTCTCATCAGTTAGTGTAAGAATGCTGTTTGAATAATCTGGTTCTCTGTTTTGCGCTTATCTCGATTGTCTATATTCATTTTAAAAACTGCATACAATTCCCTAAAGAGGGGTAGATTTTAACTAAATGTTGGAGATAAAAAATTTCGTCTTTGTGTTGAAACTTATTGATCGTCTTCAATCTGAATTTAGGAAGGTCTCATTCTAACCGACCCCAATTATGATTCTGGCATTTAGCTACCATTCAAAATATTTATTACATCATAGTTATTGAGATAATATAGTTTATTAATCAATAAAAATTCAAAATACCAATTTATTTCTCATTCACTTGATCATATCTAAATTTCCAAGATTAAATCATATGATATTCAATTAATCCCCCCAAAATTCTACGGACAAGATTATTATTATTAATCTAATTCATAAATACCAAAACAATCATAATAACACCTTTAAACTGGTTTCAATCGCAGATCTACCACCATAAATTTCAGTTCTTAATGATTGTTCCCCAATAACAGTTTTCAAATGCCATTAGAATATTTACTTAGGCTCTTCTTATATATTAGAATTTCAATTTGCCAAATTTAATTGCCAATATTTGTCCAGCCATTTTTGTTTGTCCAAAACAAATTCTTAAAACTTATGAAGCTTATGATAGAAATATTCGTATTTTTCGTAGATATAGTAGTAAAGTAAATATTATTTGAATTTCCAATAATCTATTAATTTTGGATTAGATCTCACTAAAATATATTATCATTACTGACTAAATTCTAGATTAATGAATGATGAATGTAATTTAATAAAGCAAATCTAATGTTTCATGATATATCGATAAATTAATATGTAGCAACATTCAATTTGCACATTCAACTTATTTTCATTTACATCTAAAATCAAAAATGAATACCAGTAATAATATATAATGATGATGAATTATTTCAACATTGATATCTATAAATTTATGGGATATATATATTAATAGTATATAAAACAAAAAAGGGATTTTTAAATGTGTATTTTTAGAATAGTTTGAATTTGTTATCTCCAAATTGATAATAATATAATTAATGATTAAATAGCAGATCAAGGACTATAAAATACCATTAAGTAAGAGTGATGATCTATTGTTTGTACATGGAGTAGATCAAGAAAAGCAATAAAATTTACATGAATCTCAATTACGAAAAAGTAGTTTACATGACTTTGTATTGTAGATGCCAAAGGAATAATAAAATAGAAGGAACTCCCATCATTCAATAACTTTCAATAATGAGAATTAGAAAGTGAAGTTGCTGTATGTATTTATTTTTTAAAATTTCAGTCATACAAAGAAAAAAATACTAACTTAGATTGCTTAGTATGGATATAATGCTTATATGGCAGAGTATATAATATAGAAATAGAAAATATCTTTGGATTAAGATTATTAGGTTGTTTTGGATTTGGTGATTGAAAAAATACATTAGTTTGAAGAATAATATAAATCCTGCTCTGGATTACAATTACAGAAAACTTCTTACAAATAGGTTGTTCCAATTTCAAATGATGATTAACAATAAATAGACTAATTTATAGTTGAAGAGACTAGATAAGAGTAAGAGAGAGATGATTAAGCTAATAATGATTGTTGTGGGATTTGCTTGGGCGAGTACAAGAATAAATAGAAAGCCTTGAATTGCAGACATGAGTTCTGTTGTGAGTGTTTACAAAGCTACTTGGAGAATAAAATAAACAATGGTTAAGTATTGGAAATTGAATGTCCTCAACAAGGATGCGACAATTATTTTAATGATGATGCCATAAAGAGTTTAATAAACGACGAATATTATCAGAAGTTTGAAAAGTTTAAGAGACAAAAATTGTTAGACAGAGATGACACTATTAGATGGTGTATCAGAACAGGATGTGACAAATACATCAAGGGAAAGAGTATGTTTAGCAATACTATAAAATGTGAGTGCGGATAGGAGATGTGTTATGAGTGCAGAAGGGAAGATCATCCAGGGATGACATGTGAAGTAAGGATTTGAGATTAGCAATAGGAAGCATTAGACAAATATTACGAATTAACATTGAAATAATTGGTGATCCAACGTTGTCCAAAATGCAAGGCCCCGATTCAGAAGAAGGAAGGGTGCAATCATATGACATGTTATCAATGCAGATTTTAATTCTGCTGGTTATGCAGAGCAAGGTACACCAGAATGCATTTTGATTCAGACAATTGCTTTGGATGTCCAGGTAATAGAGTTAACTTTATAGAGAGATAAGCAATTTTCTAATGACGAGCCACATTCTCGACCAAGATGGAAGAAGTATGGGGGGATCATTTTCGAATTGTTTGCCACCGTACTTATTCTACCCATAATTCCATTCATCTTGATTTATTATAGCGTAATGGCTCCGCTGAAATTGGTCAAGCATTTTAATCGACAATGCTATAGACAATTGGATGATGGAGATAAAATGTGCTTGCTCCTACTCGGAATATTCTTTTTTCCTGTGATCATGGTGCTCTTGATTTGTCCAGGGCTACTTCTGCTGTTGGCGTACAAGATAAAATATGATTGATTATAATTAAATCGTACTCACATTACACATTGCTTCGATTGGCAGTGATCTTATAATTATCAAAAGGAAAATGTTAAAATTAACAGAAATTATGGATTCGACTTGCAATTTTTGTGAGTACCAATATGTACATAAAACACTAAATTAGGACTTTGCAGTCATCATCAAAAAAGCACTCTATGAAAAGTATTCGTCTTCGCAGAATTACACTTACATTCGAATCATCAATGATCTAATCTTCGCCCGTCGAAGTCGAATCACCAATACATTCAAAGACTACCTCTTTTGGGATTACAACGATGAGTATATGGAGAACTACTTCCATTCTCCCAACGATGTACTCTTCGATACTATCAATTCCAATGTATTGGTTGTAACTTAAAATAGACGATTAGTCCCAAAAATTTGTGCCCCGCATATTTCATACTCCCATTGCCAAAACCATGGATACTTACTACAATCCCAAAATTCGATAATCTCGAAAATACTCCAACATCAATTCCATTAGCGTTTCAAAAATACTACAGAGCAGTCTACTCTAAAAGTACCCTCTTCATTAATATTTCAAGATAACAACAATACAGTTCACAAGGGTCCATCTTTTTTATCAAAAACCAACTAAATGATATTGTCACCAATAGTTCATTGTCTTTTCAAACTGTCAATAAGTACTCATTATAATTATCCTAGTAAGTAGGAGGTCGGAGTCTAACTCAGATTGATCTATTAGAAATTCTGTGACAGAAGACAGGAAACCAAAAAGTAGAAACAAAGAAAGAAAAGTTAAGCACATTCCATTGACAAGGAAACTCAAACTCAAGGCTTCCAATTCATACCTATCATTTATCACAAAGATAAGCAATTTCTATAAAAGATCATCAAGTAACAAAAGGAAAAAGAGTCAACACAAATTTAGTTTCAAAAATTGAACAAATAAAATAAATCATCCAGATATAGAAGTAGTGTGGAAATCAGTAACAACAGATATGGTTCTGCATCTAAGATATCACAATAATCAACTGCTAGAGTCTATGAATCCAATGCTTCAAGTAGATATAATTCGACTGCTACTTAATAAAAGATTATTCGATCCTAGCGTACAAAATCTTAAACACAAGATTCAAATAACATAACTAAGGCATTAGAAAGTTAATTCAATAATTAAGTTGATATTAAGTAAACATTAAAGAGGTTTGATAGTGGAATTAAATAACAAAAAGTTAAATGAACTTCCTTTTATATATTTTAATATATTGTTAACTATATTTTTATTTAATGTATTCATTTAAGTTTAGCATCCAAAACAAGGTTTATGTATAAGAAACTATACTTCTATATTTTAATTTATTCATGAAGCATGATTCTGTTTTTATTTAAATTATTGATATGACAATCGATTTATATCAAAATCATGTTAAGTAAATATTTGAATGCATTATTGCCATTCTTCTATGTATAAACATACAAACATATATTACTATTAATGAAATTAAAATTATTTTGATGCAATACCATAATTGCAATATTAAAAATACAAAATGTAATAACCATCTTAACTATAATAATCCTCATGGTCAAATAATGACGAAGTAACTGTACTATAATTTAGAATGACTTAGAACAAAATGCAGATGGCAGCTAAAGCAAACATTAAGAAGGATCAAGAAAAAAGAAGAAGCATGATGAGCATAAGCAATTTGAAGAAAGATTGAAAAATATTCCTGTTGGGTAAAAGCCTGATCCAAAAGCATATCCAGAAGAATGGATTAACAAGTGGAGATAACTGCTGCTAAAATAACAAAATAAGAAATGACATATAATAAATTATATAAATATGGGTTGTTGCTAAACTAATCCTTATGATTATTTTTACATTTCTTAAACATGAACTCAGAAAATAAAAGTGGAACTCAGTTAATACCTATTCACATGGCTTAATACGAATCAAATTATCATATAGAAAAGAAAACTAAGACTCTAAATTGATATTTTCACGCTAAACCAGAGCAAGTTTAAAAATGGATCATGATACAAAACAATACGAAAGTGAAAAATAAGAAAACTAATAAAGTTATTCTTAAAATTAAATTGGCGTAGATTATTCAATCAAAGAATAATAATTGGATATATTAGCTATGAATAAGTGTACTTAGTCATTTATCACTATAATATTGAATATTAATTACTTTTAGTAATATGAATCAAAAAGCAATGTGTAAAGAGTTAAAGCCATCTTACTTTCTAAAATATAGGTAGATAAAATTATTAAAGGATTTGAATAACCCTCATAGACTTAGATAGTTCTCTGAAAAGATACCAGATATACACGTTAAATAAGCAGCAAGTTATAATAGTATGAAACAAGATTTAGAATAATATGAAAATAGAAATAGTGTTTCCTCACTAACAGATTCAATTTATACTTGAAAGTTTTAAAAAACAAATAGCATAATTAGATATATTCTTTTATCAAATATTAAAGAATTTTGAAAAATGAATTGATACTTATTCTAAAATTCGATTGGATTAGAGAAAGTTGGGATATAGCCATTAGATAATATTGTTTAAAAGTGATTGAAATATTATTTATCACCAAATCAAAATTAATGAGGCTCTCCTTATGTTGGTAACAATCCAAATCTTTTCTTGAGTTCCACTCTGTATTTCTAATTAACATCATCAGGACTAAATCTTGCTGATTAATAGATCATTGTTAATACCAGGATGTGCATTAAATGTGTATGAACCATCATCAAGTGTATTCTTCAAGGTGTAGACTCGCTTGCCTTCCTCATTCAAATAATACCTCAAATGCATTTTTTATTAATTGTTTATTATAAAATAGGGTTTGTTATGTATATAAGTATAAAGTATGATAACTAAAAGATATTAATTAATTATTAATGGAAAAGACTAAGGAACAGATCTAAGAATACTTCAATATTTTTGATAAAGATGGAAGCGGCTCAATTGACAAGGAGGAAATTAAGGAATTGGCCTTAAATGTAGGCCTTTAATGGAACGACTAGAAGTTGAATAAGGTTAGAATTCTTAATATTTTAGATCATATAAGCACTTGACACAAATGGAGACGGCAAGATTTCATTTGATGAGTTTTATGAATACTTCTTATATGGAGAACAGAAGCAAATGGATAAATTGATATAGAAGAAATTTAAACATATTAAAAATGTTAAGAATCTCCATAAAAAGTTGAATCAAGAATATGGTATCATTTTTTTATATAATTTAATAGCACATATCTTTAACAAGAATAATGATGAAGGAAAATCCTAGTGTTCCATATCATTGAATGTTGGTGAGAAATCTCAAGCCAAATCAGCGTTGGAATTTGCAGTGAGAGTTGGGGAAGACAATAAGAATTTTTCATAATCTCTTTTGAAGAACTTCCCATATGCAGGTGACCATGTAAGTTTAATATCTAATTAAGATTGTTTCAATTGTTTTTGGATTTAAATGTTAAAATTCTGATGCAGTCCAAGAGAAATTTGAAGCATTTTTTGAAGGCATAATTGATTTGGCTTTAAACATGATTCCAGAGGATATCTCATAGAAGATAGCAGTATTCAAAAATGATTTAAAAATTGAATACAAAGCTTTACCAGAGGAATTATTGGTTAGATTCTATATGAATAATGAATTAACAGAGAATGTTCTGGTTGCTTATAGATTGATCTCAGGAATGTTTATCCAAGAGAACAGCTCAATATTTGCCAATTTGAAGCTTTGTATGATTTAAGATTGATAATTAGAATTCGTTGCAGGATTAGCAGATATTGGTGCAACACCAAATGAGAACATTATTAACTGGGTAGCCAAAGGATTCTCAGCAAGTTTCGATGCAACAGCTTCAAGTGATCTTGTAATTTATTTTGTTTTACTATGACAGATCGAATATGCTAGATAAGGACACTATGCTGCAATTGGAAAATACTTTGAGTCATACAAAGTCAAAGTCTTAGAATAATTAACACCATTGACATTGATGAACAATGCAAGATTGCAATTCAATTTCTAGTCATATGAATAATTTGTCTAGGAAATGTAATTGCCAGAATTAAATGAAGTCAATTTGTCAGTTGCTGTCGATCAAGCTAAAGGAGCTAATGTCAATGAATTGATTGGTGGAATTCCATTTGTTGGTGAACTATTGGATATTTTGAGAGTAGAAGGAAATGGTAATTGAGCAATTCTAATTGTAGGATAAATTTAATTGGCTGTGATTTCACAAGAAGCCTCAGTGGCTATAACAGCATCAGGAGAAGGTGCCGCCTTGATTTGGGAGAAGCTAATTTGATTGAATTATATTGAAAAAATCAAACAGAGCATTTATACATATTATATAATTCCAAAGACGTGTACATAGATAATTTACTATAATTAATATATATCAGACTCCTTCAGTCGGAGTTTCTGTTCCCCCTGATCTAAGTTTGCTAAATATATGTAAGAGCACGACAATTCCCAAATATACAAGACTGATTATTAATACGGTATTGGGTTGAACTTTAAGAGATGAGACATCACCTGAATAGAAATTTAATCCCGATTAACCTCCAGTTTCAGATGATTTTGATGCTAGATAATCTTTAGACAATAATCTTACGACTCTTGCCACCTCCTTGTCTTCTTTTTAATGCCTCCTTTATTAAATCTTTTTTCTCAGACATTTTGTTATTTTATTATTATATTTAGTTTGCACGTTGTTTAATTAATAAATGTATTAGAAATCATCATTAAAAAAACAGAATAATGATATACCAGTAAGTATAAATTAATTAAGTAGGATCATTACCATTTAGATGAAAATTAAGAACAAGATTACAATTCAGTTTGCGGTTATAATTCATATGGAGTATTTTAAAATCTGATTGCTTAGATTCCTTAATACCATTAGTTGCCAATCAATGTATATATGATTCTGCCCCAAAACTATTAAGAAAACTTTGACACTAATATCCCGTATATGCAATATCAACCTTAGCCCTAGACTCCAATCAGATTCGAACATCAGCCTTCAAAATAAATCAAAGCTAAGAAATTATATAAGAGTAATTTTAAATTGTTATACTAGAGAAACAAGCCACAATTATTACACAATCACAATAATCAGTCTAATAACAATTTTAGAGAACAGATGAATCAGAACATGAAATCTGGCCATAAGCCAATTTCGAAATAGATTAAAATGAAAATGAAAAAAAATAATTATTCCAACAAACTTTGACTGGATTTGTTTTGAAGTTATTTGAAGCTCATTAAAATACAACACTAAGTGAAAGATATATTGTGGAACAAGTACGTTCAAATTTATGCAAATTGAAAAGATTAGATGGCAGCAAATATAAAGGGAATTTGTACAAAACAGTTAAAGGAAGTTTAACATCAAATGGAATTTTTAAAGTTGAGTAAAAGAAAGAAAATGAATCATATTGGATTGTTTGCTAATCTGCTGCAGATGAATTTCAAAAAAGAACAATCGAACGAATTTAGACTACAGATAAAAAAAAGCCATCTAAAAAAATGAAATTGCAAGATGACTCTTAATAAAATAAGGAGATCCAAGATCACATTAAATACGAGTTTGCACATGCATATGGATTATTAAATGGATTTTTAGAAACATAACCAAGTCTAAAGACATTTATCGAATAAATAGATTAGAATGATCTGGAGAGGAATAGAAACCTAAGAAATTACAATTTGGATCTTGTATAAAATGGTATCAAGGAATGCTAAGACTTTTTTGATGAATTGATAAAGAAATAAAAAAATGAAATTATGTAAAATTGAGAAGAAAGTCATTTCATTTTTTAATTAATATCATTCTAAACTCTAATCTTATCTCTTCATTCTTTTGTATTCTTTTCTATTTTTATGCACTAAAATAAATGAAAAAATTATTCAATAACAGCGTAATTTAATAAATAAATATTTACAAATTTGAGTTTGATTTATCAATAGTTCATTTACAAAGGAGTTTTTAAAGAATTTTTGGATTAGTTCCTATTAGGGGATTACAATTCTATCCCAATTTAGCTTGTTTCTAAATTTAAACCAAAAATATTTAGATATAAGGATATTTATAAAGAAGGTTTTAGGATATGACAATAGTGTTTATATTATTAAAGGGTTTGGTTTGAATAAAAAAACATTAGTAATCTAAATAGATTATTTTATAAATAATGCATTTTGAGAAAATAAAGTAATAATCATATAACAGGGATATTTTTTAAACTTTTAGATAATCTCTTTACAGCCTTGAGTACTAAAAGGGCTGTTTTAATCTAGAAAGATTAAGATCAATATAAATACTCTGGCAGGTTTACGGATAAAATTTTACAATTTTTTGGTTCTTCTGTCCAACCTAGAGATTCTTTACTCTTCATAATTTAATAAATTTCTATTTTAAGTTTTACTGAAGAAATTAGTGATTGCTACAGCTTCTAAGTCATAACAATAATATTGTGCATAAGCAATGAGTTCTTCTTCACCGAATGTTTAAGAGTTTAAGGATACATCAGTCATAATTTTGGCTTTCTATTTTTAATATTGGGGTATAATTTTAGAAATATTGCTTTCTGGATAATAGATATGATATTCATGATATTTTTCAAAATTAGGGATGGATGAGAATTCTTTCCATTCCTTTTTGCGTGACAATGATATCTTCTTATGGAAATCTTCTAAATATTTATTTATTCTGTCCAAAGCCACTTTATCAATTTGATCGTCCTCTGATCCACATGAAATAGTTAGTTTTCCCATAGGATCACGTCGAATAATTGTTGTAACCTTGGCTGCAGTTCTGATTTTGCGACCTATGGATTCAGTTTTAAGACAACTATTGTCACTTTTACGATGTCTCAATCTTACTGATGATTTGAATCTGCGATCAAAATTGTCTAATCTATTGATTTGATTAATAGCATTATAATCATCTTCCTCAGTCTTTATACTTTGGACTTCCGATTACTCAATACTTATCAACATATGAGATTTATGTTCTTAGTAATATTGTATCTTCTTTTCAGTGTTCATGAACTTATCTTAAATACGAGAGATGAGATTGTGATGAAATCGAGCATTGTAATCCAACCGGTCCTTTCTTACAAAGGAAGACTATTAGACATGTTTTACTTATTATAAGAAAGCTAAATAATGTGATGCCTATCTAATATCAATCAATTAATTTACACTTAGAAGTGCAATGATGGACAATCTCTGGCAATATGATCATCCATCTAACACATATAACATCTTATGCTTATTGGGCTATAATCTTTATCAAAGACTATTTTGTGTCTGATTTTAAAGTAAGTTTGAACGTCATTACTATATGATCTTGCTAATTTCAGAAAATCAATTGAATTTATTATGAAAATATTACAGAAATCTACACTCTTAGCACTAGCAGTTCGCTTTTGAGCAGAATAGAAACTGATTTCTCCAAAGAATTCATTCTTGCCTTTCTTATCAACAGAGATATTTGTTTTCTGGAAATAAATGTCCACTTCTCCAGATTGTATCATGAATATGTCATATGATTCATATTCAGATTCATCAAAAATGATTTCCTAAGGACAGAACACTTTCTCCTTCATTATGGGCATCACTTACAATACCAAGAAGTCGTAGGAATGATTTGACCAAAAGATATCCAAATAACCAAATAATTTACCATTCACCTATTCTTACAACTCTTTTGATAAGTCCACTGACAAAGCTCCAGTAATCTATTATAACACCACTCCTCCGTTCCTATCCCACACATATTCCAAATACTTTCTAATTTTATTCTGAAGTGTCTCTGGAATCTTGGCTTTTTTCATATATTTATTTACTTAACTTAACTTATCCTTAGTTTGACTTGACTTTTCACTTATTTTTTACAATGCAAACCCAATTGAATTCATTGTGAATGCAAAACCACCACAAGCAATCAATAACAAAAAAATACCTAGAAATCTTTCAGTTGGATTTAATGGACTTATATCTCCATATCCAACTGTTGTCATTGTTGTCACTCCCCAATACAATGAATTTATGTACCTTATATACCAATCCTTATTATATAAATCCCCCAACCATGAATTATTCTTATCCTCCTATTATGCAGTAAAATGAAATATGCAACCCAAAAGGTGTGCGAAAAATAACACAAACAAAAACAATTTGCCAAATGTTAATATTGCTGCCAATATTGAATTCAATTAGAGTATCTCATTAAATTTATCCATTATCTTCTTCAATTTGGCCAATCTCAGTAATTTTAATATCTTTATGAATCTCAAAAACTTCAGCAATCTTAACAGTTTTGCACTCTAGATGTAATTTGATGACTCATCCAATATTATATCATATGGGAATGTAGTTGTAAAGTCAACCCAAAACCAAAATTGAACATAATCCTTTATTATCGCATTCCTATTCATCTTTAATAGACCGTCCTCAAAAATCCCAGTGTTGAAATTCAAGATAATGTCAAATGCAAATATTCCTGTTGAAACTCTTGAAAATTCCACACTCACATCAATCTCAAAACTTATTTATAAAGGAATACTAATCATCTCATACATCACTAATCCAAGACATAATAAATCCCACATCATCTTCACTGACCCATCAGGACTTAAAATATAAGGTTTTTCTATAGTACATCCTTTGATCATCTTTTTCAATAATCCTCTTAAACGCAATTAAAATTTCACCCAGTTAAATTCCACATATGACAATGCACTTGATCTTCTCTAAACCAAAATCAATCCCATGCTCTTTCTCCAATTCAGTTTTTTCTTCGTCTTCTGCAGCACCTTAAATTCCTTCTTCTATTCCTTAATCTCCTCTTCATCTGAGTTCTCACTCAACACCAACTTGTCTCCTAAGAAATGATATTCCTTGCCTTCCAAAACCTAAAAACTTTGGTTGTGAGCCTACTCTATATACTGTTTATGAAACATATGTATTTAATTTATATATATTAATTACAGAATACAGTTTTAACTAAACAATCTACCTTTTAAAAACTATATAGCAATTTTGATGTCTATATTTATTAAAAAATAAATCAACTCAAAATAATTGTTTATAATACTTTGTACTTTGATAATATCAAAAGTCATTCCTATTGATTCTAATTCATTTTTTGAAAATATTAGAGTTATTAATAATAATTGAGTGCCTATTAATTCCATTAATCCTGTGGCTAAATAGATTATAAGAAAGGAAACTACTGCTACTAATTCAAAGAGGACTATTATAATTAAGGAGAAATGATCTATTGTGGTTATTAATACATCATCATGGCTTATTATAAGAGCATAGCTTAGTATTATTGAAATTAAACTGGAGATTAGAATTATTGTTATTGTTATTGCTATTATTATTAAAACAATTAATATTATTATGTCATCATTTGTTATTATTAAAGATATTATTAATATTGAATTGAAGTTTAATTCATCCTTTATTGTTATTCATATATTTATTGAAGCTATTTATTCTTTTCTTACAATTTAGAGGGCTTATTATTTTCAGCAGCATTGACTTTTTAAGCAAAACGCTTAACGTTGTAATTAGCAAGAGAAAATTTTAAGACGATTTGACCATGATGATTGAGAAAATGGCTATCATGCAATCTGTTTAATAAGGCAATGAATTCATTTCTATAGTCCTAAGATAAATATTCATAAAGTCTCTATATTGGATAATTAGCAAATTAATCATTCACTAATTTTCGAAATGAACTATAAATATTAAAGTAAAATCGTACCTTTCAGAAACTGAAACTTCCTCTTCCCAAAGTTTTTGTCTCCATTGTGTTCCTGCATAAACTATTGCCTTTTCTGCCACATTACTACCATACTTATCCAGGGACATTGCGACAAAATCTTTGATTAGGTAATTATTCAAGAGTAATCTTTTGTGATTCTCTTAACCTTTTTCCAATATTTACTAAATGATATAATTAGCATATTGTCTTCTTATCAAACATGAGGAATTTTTGATAGTTCTAATAATGATGTCATTTGTGATAGATTTAGTATTTGGATCGATAAGTTTAGGAAATATATCGATTATTTTATTGACAATGAGGCATCCGTATTAATCAGTTGATAATTCCAAGGAGTATTAATTTGGATTTAAAATCTAGTATATTATAATTAATTTACATATTTATCGAATATTTTTACAAGAGATTCTAAATCCTTCTCATCCAAAACATCTAAACTTTTAGTGAATATTTGATTTCCAATTTTATCTGTGTATAATCTTCTTGTAAAATTGTTTTCTTCCAAAATAAAATTAATGTATTTTTAAAAATGAGGCTGAGATTCTTAAGAATACAAGGACATAACCTCTAATCCCTTTTGCATCACCTTACAAGCATGAAGATCAACTACTAGTTTCTTAATCGAATGAAAAATTTAGTCTAGGATTATGTTTCTACAATTTGTTGGCCCTAATTTATTTATAATAAATACCAAATTCGATAATTTTTTCCAGTATGTAATGCATATATTTGTCTAAACTTAGATGTATAATATTGTTTCTAATATAGGTGTTAAATATGAATTCCCTTTCTTTTATATTGGCCTGCTCATATTCCGATTACATTTTTCTGGAGTTCCTTGTCAGTTTTTCGTGACTCAAATATGAAGACCTAAGTTTATTAATTTTGATCTTGTACATATCAGCAGAGAAGGCTTGAATCAATGATGGACGATAATTGTCAGTAAGCAACACATTCTAGAGTTGTTTATTCAATGAATTGAATTCATCATCTACATAATATTGAGATTTTACCATCTTGGTTAAGTTGATCCTCAAAAACTTAAGAACAGAAGACCTTAGAGGTATTGGTATTATCTAATAACCCTGGGGTTGCAGTAGATTCACTTTTGCTTGGGAAGCATTAATGAAATTCATCCTGGTCTGAATTAAATTCGATTGGGATTGGATTTGACATTATTTTATTTAACATTTAATAATTAATGAAAAATGGCATCATCTATTTTAGAATTAATTGACACAATATTTAAAATATTTCTTTATATAAAATCTAATATTTAAATTGCATTTCCAAAATTGAACACATCATTAACTTTTTTACAATATCTGATGTCTAACTTATATAATTTAAATATTAAGAAATCCATCATCTATAGATTATATCAACTGAAGATGATCAGGATAACTAATATTTTCATGAAAATCAAAAAGACTTTATTATTCGTTTTCTCAAATCAATTTTGATTGTCAATCTAAAATAGGCAAATACTCCTATTTTGGACGAAGAAAACTAAATTATATATGTTCTTAAACTAAAAGAACAAAAGATCAGCCTGATTTTAGGCAACCTCTGAATACACCTCCTTTCCTATATCAAATAGCAAATTGGAGAGAATCATCAAATTAAACTTCACTCAAAAGTTGCTCTTTGCAAAAGTGTAATCACTTAAATAATTAATGATTCCTACCCCCAATCTAAAATTCAGAAACAATTGGAACATTGTTAAGCATGATGCCTCTCATAGGTGGGTTAGCAAAGAGTTTATCAAATTTGAAGACCATACACTTCTATAAACTTTAGTAGAGAAACAATGACTTACCTTCATCGCCTAGTGTACTTAATTAGACTTAAGAATTAGTTAATTCAAATTAATTATCATAAGTTATATCTCTTAACATATTGGAGACCTAAATACTACTTAAAAACTATATTTTACATATAATGGCATTCCTAATAATTCCTTCACCGTTTTTCCTTTGATTTAAGTTCGTAAATTTATAAGTTTGTTAGTTAGTCGTTATTGTTCGATATTTTTAATTCCATAAACAGAATAATTGAAATCATCAAAAGAAAAATATGGAAAAAATATTCTTTTTTTTTGTAAAGTTTTAATATATAATCTATTTGTCTAATTGTTAGAAGTGAGTGATATTGAATTATTAAAACAAAATAGATGAATACTTAAAAAATACTAAAATTTTTAACAATGATAATCTATCATTAATTAAATATCAAATATCAGAAATCAGACTTCATTGAAGATCTTAGAGTTAATAATAATACAATACTATCAAATTGTCAATCAAATATTCTATCTTTCATCAAAATGGTTCTTTCATTTAATTATTTACTCATTTACTTAATTTCGAACATTTGCTGAACTTAATTGAATAATAAAATTATTTACCTACATCCCCTCATGAATATAAACAGCCATCATTCTCTGTGAATTTTCTTTTATAATGAGATCATCCTTAATTACTTTTTCATTATTGTATTATTGTATTATTCTCTTTAAATTCTACTATGTATATTAATCATTCAATTTGAATTCATCAACCTTTCCTTAATTTTGTTAAAAATAAAGTCTTCGTTAGAATCCACTTTGATTAATCAATTAAATTCCTTAGTTTGGGAATTGGTTGCATTTATTAAATGGCTATTTCATCATATTTTTTATTCAAAATCTGAACTAAATTTATCATTTAATTTTCATTTCAATTATCATTATTTTTTCCTTAACTTAATTTACTTTTTAGCATCTTCTAAATAATTCTTAAAGGACTAGATTTACGTAATTTATAATAATTAAATGGGTAATGCAAGTACTTGTTGTTCACATCCTATAGTACAAAATAAGGATACTTTGATTCCCTTCCAGAAGAATATGTTAGTCAATGAAGACTGTGACGTTCATGAATGGGAAGCAGATGATTTTGTAAAGATTGGTCTTTGTAAATCAATTAATCATATTTGATTCAGAAAGTCACCCAGTCAAAGAACACAAGCTTTTTGATTAGCCTTCTGTTATTAGGAGAATGGAGAGTGTCGAGGCACCTAAATTGGGTTAACGATTGGATGCATTTCCTGAGATTGAAAATTAAATAGTCCGGACTGTCCTAAATCAATTGCCTACACTTATAATACCACAGGATTTGGAGAGAGGTGAAGAAAATCCGCCTATTAAATTTGACAACGATTTCATTTATCATGGAGAATGGAAGGATAGCCAAAAACATGGGGTTGGAAAATTGTTGTGGCCAGATGGCAGCTATTATGAAGGTGGATTTGTTAATAATGAAACATCTGGGTTTGGAAGATTAATTCATTCTTTTGGAGATTATTACGAAGGAAGTTGGAAACACGACTAAGCTAATGGCTACGGTAAGTACCACAGATACAGAAATTAAGCTACCTATGAAGGGAACTGGGTTAATGATAAATAGTAAGGATAAGGAAAAGAAACATGGCAAGATGGATCTTCTTATGAAGGAGAATATTTAAATGGAAAAAAATAAGGAAGAGGAATGTTTAAATGGGGCAATGGCAATATGTATTTAGGAGACTTCAAAAATAATAAAATGGATGGACATGGAGTTTATTATTGGAAGAGTGGTAAGGTATATGATGGTGAATGGAAAGAAAATAGAATGGATGGAGAAGGAGTAAGTTAATTAATTATATATTTCATAGTCATTCAATTGGCCAGATGGTAGAAAATACAAAGGAGGATATAAGAATGATCTTAAGGAAGGTTACGGAATATTTGAATGGTCTGATGGGCGTTATTACAAAGGAGAATGGAAACAAGGCAAATAGCATGGTAAGGGAGTTCTCAGGATGGATTAATCGAAAGAAATAACTGCTGAATGGGTCAATGGCAAAATGCTCACGGATAAATAAATTGAGTAATAAGCTACAGGTTCATGATACTTTTTATATAAAATCATTAAGAAAATCAATTATTATTGAATTCTTAACCTTATGCCTCAAAATTCGAATAATTATCTTTATAAATATTATTATAATACACTTCATGCCAAGTTACTCTATTCAGATTAGGGTCAGTTAAATCAAATTTAAAAGATATACAAATTATAAATAATACTGAATAAATTTCATATTGAAATCATAAAGATAAAAAATAGCAATTAATTATAATATGATTTTTATAGTTTAAATGCTCTCATCGATAAATTTAAAGAGCATTGATCAATAAATTAGTTGTTGTTAATTTCCATCTTACTAATTTATAAAGATCTTAAATTCAGTAAAGTGGATGATCTTGAGAAAGCATAAGCTCAGATACTTCTAATTATATATTTGAGCTTTATTCTACTAATATTAATCAAAAAAAAATTTAAAGTTAAGTTTAGATATCATTTATTATCTAATTTAAGCATTTCTTTTATAAATAAACTTTCTTGAATGCTAAGCATATATCAATAATATTTAAAAATTTATAATTTTCATACTATTAGAGCTGCAAATTTATATAAAGTAAAATTAATTATAAGTAAGTAAAATGTATTAAGGAGATTTCTTTAAAGTTGTGGGAAGAAAAAAAAATTGCATCTCTAATAAAGTATGAATATATCAATTTATCATTTATATTAATCAGAGTTAAAAATGATATGCATTTTTTTGTGATTGTGATAATTGTTATTGTTAACATACACTTTCTGAATAAAAGGAATTGATCTTCAACAAAAAATAATATGTATGTTTCAAAAAGGAATTTTTATTAGCCTTAATAATGATAAATTTTTATATTAAGAAATATAATTAGTATAATATCCAAATGATGTGAATTTATATAAACTTTAAGTTGATGCACATTTTATAAAGATGAAAGAGGAGTATAAAATTATAGGGAGTGATTTTAATTATTTTTCAAATTTAAAGTGATTCTTCGAATATTCTGTGATAATATTAATTTATTCTAAACATAATATATAAATATGGTTAATCAACTAATAATATATAGGGCAGTCATAGCAGGTAGTTTGGGAGTTGGCTACTTCCTCTATAGAAAGATGTTGTCAGCAACTATGATCAATCATAATTTGTTATTAAATTAGTCTCAAACTAATGATCTATATTATAGAAACTATGCTCAAGGAGCAAACAATGCTATCATTGCAGGTCATAGTGTTAATAGATAAGAAGATATAAACAAGAGAAAGAAAGTGCTAATTATTGGTGCAGGTATTATTGGAATCGCATAATCCTTAAAATTACTATCAGAAGGTTATAGTGTGATCTTAGTAGACAAGGATTAGGATATAGCTTAATAGGCTAGTTATTACAATGGATGTGTTTATGTACCGGAATCTGTGAAGACTATGATCAATACAGCAAATATGTGGACTATGATTAAGAATATTTTTAAGAATCCTGAAGACACTACATTAAGATTTAATGTGAATGCTTTCTTTGAGAAGTATTTCATGATTTGGAGTTTAAATGCCTTATTAAAAACTACTACCAAGTAACTATGAATTGAATATTAGTTCGAAAGTTCATTCATTAGTTGAACATTAATTACAAATGGGGAGAATCAACATGAGTGAAATGGAAAAGATATAAAAGAATACAAATATATTGGAGGGTTAATTAACTTGTAAGGAACTTTTAGGATTCTATGATTCTGAACCAAGCAAATCTTCTATGATGAAAACCTTAGATAAATTTAATATTAAACATTCTGAAAAATCAAAGTTTTAATCGGGCTATGGCAAAGTGATAGCAGAGAAATTATAGCATTGCATTAAATTTGATGTTGGAAGCAATATAGATACCAGATAGTTATCTGAAAGGATAATTGATTATTGTATTGATAATTATTCTGGCCATTTTTATATATCTACAAATACAAATGTAAAAGGATTTGCACTGGATCCAAAAGGGTAAATAATTGGAGCAATGACCAGCTAAGGAATTATTTTAGCTGATTATTTTGTTATAGCAGGTGCTCATAAGACTAAATACTTAACAGATAAATTGGGAATTAGAGTTCCAATAATGCCTATTAAAGGATGGGCATTAGGAATTAGAGTGCCTAATGATACATTTTTTAAAGAATACACCTTCTTTACTCCTTAATATTTTTCAACTTATGTAAACAATGAAATCAGATTGTCATGTGGAGCTGAAATTGGATCAGATTTTAGTAAGGAGATACCTAGTGAAGAATGGGGAGCTAAAATGGGATTGAAGCATTTTAATTAAGTAATATCTAAGTTAACTCATAGCATTTTGGATTCAATATCAATATGGATGATTGTTATGTTAGACATTGCTATAGACCAATAACTCCTGATGATATTCCCATCATCAGCTAGGTGCCTGTCTTTAACAATGTGTTTATTTCAGCAGGACATGGCTCAAAAGGAATGACTTACTGTTTTGGATCTGCTGAAATTTTGTTTCAGATTTTGAGTGGAATTAAAGAATATCCAGAATATAATATCAATAGATTTTACTTAGTTTGAAAATATAATTAATCAATCGAATAATATCAACTGATAACTCTTTAAAGCATTTCTTAGGCTGTGGTTCTTCCATAATTTGATGCTGGTGATTGTATTATACTATCCTTATTGCTCTGTCTTTACTTAACCTAACTTAATCTTTCAATCAGAGTCTCATATTTTATCACTTTATATTCTGCCAATTCTGGAACATCATAATTTTCTTATAACTACTCCATATCCAACATTAATTCAACTATTGTTTCTTCGACCTAATAAAAATGTTCAATTTGATTGTATAAATCCTTTTCATACATCTAAATGTAATTTAATAAAACATCATTACTCTTTGTACTCATAAAAACGGAACTACAAGTCGTTGATATTTGCGAAATTTCTGAGGCTTCCAAACTTTCTTAGGTTTCATTTAAACATTAATAATCTTTGTCTTCTATTTTTTATTGTGAAATCTATTTAATTAGTCCTCTAATTTATTATTTTGGATTGTATCTTCCCAATACTTAATTTGCCAACTGAAGTTCATCAGGATTTTAATATTACTTTATTTGTAATCTTATACTCTCCTCTTTATGCTGGCTTATAAGATTTTTGAATTATTCAATTCTTTTAGATGACAAATTTTAGAAAATGATAAATTAATAGATATACTAACCAAAAGTGTAATGTAGAATTTACTCATCTATCAAGTATTAGTGGTTTGATGTCATTTCTACAGCGATTTCTGCCAAGACATAGATCTCAGGATCATATTAAAAATTAGGTTATCCATAATGTTAAACATTAGATTAATTTGTGCTAATATCAATCAAATATTAAATGTATCTTCTTAATAATTAGACTTTAGTGTTTTGGATTCTACTATTGAATAGTTGATGTTCAAATTCCTTTCTTAATACTTTGATACATTTGTTTGAATTAATTACCCAGAGTGTAGTCATAAAATGACGGAATGTGAATTTAGGAATCTTATATTTATGTAGAGTTTCATCTATGATTTAATTGAATAGGTTAATTATTGAGGAGGTGGACCATTCCATTATGCTAATCCATCCGCAATAACGATCCCAAAGTTCAATAAATTGTGCCAAATTTACGTTATCAAATCTCATGTTTAAATAGACATTATAGATTTTAATATAATCCTAGATGCTGTAAATGTTCATCAATGAGTGTGGCATTTAGATATGAACCTCACATCCTTATCTCAACTTGAGTATTTATTCGAAATGTTTACTGCCATATTGTTTGACTTATTCATATTCTTTAGTTTGCACTTTTTAGAAGTTGGTTTCAAAATATAGAATGCTTTTCTGGAATGAGCTGTAATTAAATTTATTTTCTATAAATGTTGGATGTTGTTAAATATTGAATCGAATACTTTTGATAGCGTTTTCATATGGAATGCCTTTAATTGGAGTACATAATAATAATCTTAGTAGTTGTTTCCACTACTTTGAAAGTATGATGTCACTTTTCACATTGAGAAGCTTCTAACAATGAACTTGATAGCAACTAGACACTTAACCAAAAATTTAGTATGTGGTGGAAGAAACTGACAACATAATATTGAACTCTTTTAATGTTAAGAAGCTTGAGATAGTGCTTATAATATTTATAGATAATTTGTTGAATTGGCTTAAAATAAATTTATGAATACTTTTCTATTCTGAGTCCCAAAATCAATTTTAATTTATCACTAATTTTGTTTTTTTTATTTGCGCCTGATTTAAGATTACCCATAAATTTTATAAATTAAGGTTTATAATATATAAATTTAAAGTCTTGATTCCTTACTTTAATCTAAGACTTTTTATGAATGGGAAAATATATATAAATTGTATTTTGTTTTTGTACTAATTCTATTATTCAAATATTAAATTTAAGCAATTATGATGCAGAATGAAGAAGAATATGAGTAATTTTCATACCAAACAAATGATACCTACGTGTATGCACATGTGGATATGAAGGATCCTATGGCTGAATATGTAAAATTTAATTAATTTTTAAATTAGAGCAACCAACACAAAAAGAGAAAGGGAAATGAATACAAGGTTTACAAGGACTTAAGAGATAGAAATGCATTGCTAACTATTTACAGAGCAGTTTAATATGATGGTAAATTTTCAACATGAGAATTAGGCTTTGATGAGTAAAACTTTATTAATAAAATAATCTCGTGGTTGTAGAATCATTAGAAGGTTATATTGCCAAAAGTGGATACAGATAAATATAAACTAAGCGAAAAAAGTTTTCTTAAGCATATTTTGACATAAATTTGTACAAAACCTGCAGATTCAAACGCTAGTGATTATATCAAGAAGAATTTAACATTAGCTCACTATGTCAATGAAGCAGCCGAAAAGCAAGGCGAAGGGTTTGTTAACAACATCCTTATGATGGTTTAGGCAGTCAAATTACAAGATTAAGCAGCCAAAGATCAAGATCAAATATATTTAAATTACTTTGCTTAAGCGGTGGCTTATTAAATGAAATAATCAAAGAAACGTTTTTATTTCAATAATATTTCTAGCTCAAAACCAGGGAGAGTCATCTTTGAGATGTAATAAAGTGATTTTTATTAATTTAACTGGAAAGGAGAGTGCATTCAATTTGGGAGAGTGGGAAAAAACATTTGAAAAGTCAGATGAGTTTGTTTACTTCTCTTTCATCAAAGTATTGGAAGATAAATAGCAAAATTATGAAGAGCAATTTCAAGAATACGAAAAATGGTTTTCTGGCATGGATATGGCGAATTTTAATTATTTTTTGTTACCTTATTATAGTTTTTAAAAAGAGAATAGCAACAACATTTTACATGGTCAATTAGTAAAGACATTCTTTTAGAATTTTATGCATAATAGAATTGAGAGATTCACACATAAAGCTTACATTGCTTTAAGTTTATCCTTATCCAATGATATTGAATATGACCCATTTGCTATCTAATTCTTGATTAATGCTCTGACAAAATTGAGTAATGACAGGTTAATGATTCATATTGACATTGAACTTAATGAGCGCGACAATCACTATGAATAAAAACTAACTCAATTAATGAATCTTTGTTATACTTCATTTTAAGAATAAAACATAGCAATTTAGAAAATAGTTCCACAAGAGAAACTGGAATTATGTGATTTGATCAATAGACTATAGAAAATCTTTACTCATTACAATCTAGCCTAGTTATACAAATCAATCTTATATAGTGAAATCGCAATCAAAAATATATAATAAGAAATTAAATAATCAAAAAATACACCTTTGGAGAACAAAATAAAGGAACATTAGAGAATCTTTTATAAAAAAAGCTCGCTAAAATATTATATTATCGTACCAGAGTTGGAAAAATAAGATATGTTAACACCTTACACGCAGGTTATCATTAATTATTAGGATGATATCATAATCTTATATCAAGATGGCAAAAACAAATACTTATATTTCATTGACCTCAATAAAGCTTTTATTAAGGAAAAGAAATTAATGCAAAAGCTTAAATTGTAATTTTTATTTCTAAATTTAGTACTAATCTAACCAACATTTTAGGACCTTAAGACATCAAAAATTAAATTGTATTTTATTTCAATTTCAATATATATATACTATATGGATAAAATGAATCCGATTTCAATAGGTAGGGTTCAAGATTCAGCCTTAAAGATGATGAATTATATAGTTTACAATATGATGAATAACAAAAATTAACTTAAGGTAGTTTCCATTAAAAAGTTGCAATTTAAAAATTAGAGCCTTAAGTATTAATAGAAAAATTGAAACCGAGAGTATCCCCAACAGTTTGCATCGATAGTTATACTGATTAAGTTCTAAAGGTTGTCCTATTTGGAGGAGAAAATATTTAGTAAAATTCTAATTTATATCATCTAGCACTCCTTAGATTATGAATTTAGTAGAATATATGGAAATCAAGGAAACCTCCTTTTCCAGTTGTATTATAGATAAGAATAATTTGTATAAAGACTTGTCTTTTAAACCCTATCCAGGTCAAACCATATTGAATTTTAAGATTCAAAATGATATATTGTATTTGATATTGCCAGGGAATGATGTATTGAGATAAAAAGCCCAAAATCATCCAATCAATTCTCAATTCTCTTAAAATGCTATTTTGATGAAAAAAGGATGCACAGATTTTTCAATTTCCAATATCCCCTTCAAATACTATGGAGATGATAATTATATGTTGAGTTCAATATCTAACAATTAATAAAACTCTTAACTCATATTCTTTGATGATAATTTGGCTGTATGGAGAGTTATATACTCATAACAAATGAAGAGAGAGACAATAGAAAAGGTGAAATTGACTTTCTCTTGCTTAGCAGGAAAAGATTAAGAAACTAAATTTAGCAATAAGAGAGAAAAATGTTTTACAGAATAACATGATGAAATTGATATGATTTTTGCCTATTATATTGAAATTCAGAAGGATCTAAATGAAGCTGATATTGAATCATTTTTTCAAAAAAAATATGGATTTAATAAATCAAATTAGGGATCTGGGTAGATAATCTAAAATATAGAACAATAATAATAGTAGGAATCTAAATTATAATAAGAGGGACCCTGGTAATTTAAAATTCTAGATGAAGCTGACTTTGAACCATTGTTTCAAAAAAAATATGAATTAAATAAATCAAAATAGGGATCTGAGTAGATATTCTAAAATAAAGAATATTAATATTAGGAATCTAAATTATAATAAGAGATGAATGATAATATCAAAAAATACATAAAAAAACTTAAATCAGGAAAATTATTTGATTTATCAGATAATAACTTTAACAGGAATTTCGGAATGCAAGAAGAAAGAGGAAATTACAATGACGATCCATACTTCCAACAAGAGTTTTTTAAATCGAATGTGTTAGATATTTATGATGCAGATACTAATCAATTATTCTCAGTTGCATTTGAGAATTATCTTTATTTGGATACTTAAACCAAACAATTATCAGTCAAACAATTCACATACTTAATTGGAGATCCCATAGGCATGCCTTAAATTGATATTATAAACTAATAGGGTATGTAGGAAGTTACAAGTGCAAAAATTACATGATATTTTATTAATAAATCATTAGATCAACATTTAAAAAAATTCTGTTTATTTCTATTTATTCTGATAAACTTGTATCCATTTCGTAAAATTAATCAAATATACTTATCCTTTTTCAGACAACACTAAAGATTCTAACAACACAAGGGGATTTAATGATAAACCATTTGGTGATACAACAGTATTATTTTTCGAAACATATTGAAAAAATACTGGAAGAGAAGCTGGATTTTCAATGTTCTCGATCTTTAAACAAATAAATAAGGAGAGTTAAGATTCTTCAATGCCACTGAAAAATCTAAACTTATTTTCTAAATCTGCCATATTGGTTTGCATATTCACTAAGAATTCCAAATATCTCTTATCTCTCTTGATCATTTGAATTCTTTTTGTATAGTTTTCCCTTGGAATCTATGCAAAATATTTTGATACTTCCAATCCATTCAATATCATCAAATAGATAAAAGAATCAATAAACTTATATTAAGGTTACATAGACAAATTATTTATGTGAGTTTTCAAAAAGTATGAAAGTTGATCTCTTCCTTCAGACATCTCTTCCTTTGCTTTTGGTTGTTTTTTAACCATTGAAACCTTGTATTTTGGTAATTAATTATAATTCATCTCAGTTGTAATTGAAGGGAAATAATTAACATTCTCTTTAGTGGTTTTGAAATTGAGTCCTTTGAGATCAACGCCATTAAATAATTCTTAGACCTTGGTTTCAAATTCGGAATCGACTATCTTTTAATTAAAATGCAATTGAAAGTAGGTTTCATCTTAAGCCATCTTTATTGAAATGGATGATTTTGATCGATTAAGGAATTCTAAGGCCTAGTAAATGAATTTGAATTCTGAGTCTTATTCTTCATAACATTATGAAGCAAATCTTATAATTGTATCAATAGAACATTTAAGATCCCAAGTTTAAATTAAATTCTAGAGAATTGGCTTGATAAACTTCTATTTTTCTTAATTGTCTAATTGTTCAAATAATTAATCAATTTAATGAATTCCAACCTATTGATTTTAAGAAGCAATTAATAGCTCTAAAGATAATTTTTCTATTTTATTGTTTTCAAAGTTTTCTTTCAATAATTAACGAACTTTCAAATGAATAAAAGGAAAGAATGAACTGAATTGAATAATATTTGATTCATTTGGTAATTAGTTTTGAGTCAAATAATTTTCAAGATAAACTTGTAAATCGGAAAAGTATACATCCTTTGTATTACCTAAGGCTTTGCAAAATAACTAAATATAGTAGTTTAATTTATACCATCACATCTTCATTATTGAACTAATCAATATTCATATATGCCAAATAGCCTAAGATTTTCAAACTCTCCTAAAATTGATGTGTAGAATTTCTGATTTACTATAAGAATGCTTTAAGTAGAGACATCTAAACTTTTTTATCAGCAAGTAAACCTGATGGTAAGACTTCTGTGCCATCCTTTACTAAATCGAAACAACTAAGGAGATTTTCTGATGATTTGATATATATCTAATAGTTAAGAATCTAAGGGTTAAATGCGAATATTTACATTCATTTTATCAATTAAAATCAAATTCTTGACTAGAATATCTGAATTCCAGAGGACACAAGTTCTCTCGTATAGTTTATTAAGGATTGCAATCTGTTCAGTTTCAAAAGTTATTTGTAATGTGTTGATGATTTCTGGGAAGTATTGTACTGATTCAAAGGACTAGTGATTGATTTACAAAGAGTATGTATGTGTGAAGTCATCAATTTGTCGTTGTTCAACTAAGTATTATTCATTCTCTGCCAATGATGCATATATAATGTCTTAAGCAAATTGCTTTAATTGGGCCTGTTGTTCGGAAGTCAAACTATTCATTTGACACACATAATAGATTGATTCAATGGTCATGATCTAGTCATCTTTGTTTCCATTCATGATGATATTTAGGATTTCCTGATTGATTGGGATATCGTATAATTTCATAACTTTAGTCAATAGATTGACATCATTAGAAAATAAACTAGGTTTAGAGATGAGTTTTAAAATGATTGATTTTTCAAATTAAAAACCTATTGTTAATTGTTTTGTTGTTTACATGATAAGGATACGACCTTTAGAATGTTAGTGGCTAGTATGCTTGTGAATTGAAATTGGATTAGATTTTCAACAAAAGTCTTAGTTACTGCTTGATATTCTTGTGAAGGTGCAAGTCCAAAATCAAATACATGTTATTTGATATGAGTGTATTATTCTTTGAAGAATTCATAAGTAATCTCTAGGAAATCATTATATAAACTGAGTGAGGACTCATTGATTTTGATTTCACTCAATTTCTCATGTAACAAACTAATCAAGAAATTGGGTTATTTCAAGTGTTTATTGAAGACATTTGAAATGAAAAGTAAATGATTAAAGTTGAGTAGATCAATGTGTCTCTGAACATTCCTTTCAAGAAAATTCAGAATTTTATCATTTCTTCTTTCCTAAGCAACCTTGGATGTAATGAAGGAACTTGAAAACAATTCATTGCAAATTCTTGCTAACATCAATACTGAATTGCCATCTTGCAATTATTTATCATGAGAAATGAAACTGACAACGCTAACATAATCACATAATTAAAATACTCCAAAAATAAAGTTTAGCTGAATTCATACAAAGGTACCTTAGCAAGTTCATAACATTTTAATAAAACATATAGTTATCCAATTGTCAATCTCTATCTTTTAGAATTCTTTAGTTTATTAAGGAAATTCTCAGTACATGGAACACCATGCAATAACATCATGCTCATGATATCAATATTTGAAGATATGGAACCACTCTAGATTCCAGAATTGGCAAATCTGAATTTATAATTTAATGGGATTACCTATTGACTGCATCTTGTATCAAGGCTTCGGGTCTGATTTCACTTAGAAAGATTGTATATAAAATGTTCTTGTAGTCAACAATATTGGGTTGTATCATTTTGTGTGATTGAATTCCGTAATACTTCTGAATGAAGTTGTTGGCGGTCTTACGATAATGGGTGAAATCATTCAATTTAATTGAGTTTGTGATCATCAAATCATATAATTGTCCGATAATTTTGGCAATGTTCAGAGGTTAAGATTATGAGAGATAATCAAACTTATATAATACAATTCCAAATTCTTAGAAGAGTTCTTTAAATTTTTCATCTTGTTATTTGGACTTCTTGTTGTTCTAAGGTTCATAGAACAATTCAAACAAATTGGATGCAAAGTTTACAAACAAACTATCCTAAAATGAATGAACATTCTTAATGAGATTGATTGCACCATCAATAAAGGAAATGCTGGTGATACTTTAAGGTTAATTGAAATGAAATTTGAGCAGTTGAATTTGTTCTGGTGAGAATACTTAAAATAACTTCAAACCAGACATTGATGCTTCCTATTCATTCATGTGTATTTAATTGCTTTATTATGAATAATCAATAAACTAGAATAGTAAAATAAGGATTACATGAGAGATATCATACAAAGATTTCTAATAATATTAGGATTGAATGGAATGCAAAGAGAAATTGCTTAACTCTTTAATGAAATCATTTCTGTTAACTAAGAACTTCAATTTTTGAGTGATGACTGATTGTGGTAATTTGATGTCGTCCAACTAAAATTAACTGTATAATCTACTCTTGCTTCTTCTTTATATTAAGTATTCAACCATAGTAATGGTTTCTTCATCTACAAAGTGGGTCTAATAATGCATGGGATGGATTAGCAAAATGAATTCTAAACTTTGTTTCCTCTAAGCATATAGCCTTAAATTAAATTTAATTCGAATAATTAATTTTGTTTAATAACTCTACAACATTTATATATTTCATTTTGTGACTTTATCAATTTTCTTCAATAGTTTATCTGCCTATTGTTTCTTGATATCCCTTGCTTTGATGATTTTCTTCATTTTGCTATTCTCCTCACTTTTGCCCGAGAACATTAATCTATCGACAACTATGCTCAATGCATATATCATCCAATAAGATATAAAAGAATAGAACATGATTCCAGGTATGCTAGAAACATCGGGTAAATATTCTTTAATTTTTTCCATCAAATAATTTAATTAATATAAATATGGATTAAGATTAAAGAGGACTTTCACCCTAAACTTCAAAATCATCGTCACATCAGAATCAAGTTTCAAGGAATAAAGAATTTCAACTTGACTTCTTTATCCAGAAGAAATTCATCTCTGATGATTTGAAATCCATTTTAGAGGAAACACAAGTATGTTATCGAATCTAAATAAGCAAAAATATTCGATTAAATCCATCTATGTCAACCAAAAGAATTAAATCCCAGAATTAGAAGGTTCAGCATTTACAATTGATGATCCTGGAGAAAATAAAATGAATGCCAAATGCGATGCCATCCTTCATATTCTTTCATCCCTCCAGGATAGATGCAAACAATAAATCAATATCATTCTCTTAATACCAGAAGGTATTCCATATCTAATTCTAGGAATCGTATCCTTCTTGATTGGCTCCAAAGGATCCTAGCTTGCAAAAATCATCGAAGAAACCAATGCCAAAATCACAGTAAATCAACCAATTGCCAATTACTCTCCTAGAACTGTTAAAATTGTTGGCGATCAAAGCACTATCAATTGTGCTATTAAGGCTATAACCAAAAAAATGTAGGAGAGAGGCATATCTCAAGAAGATTATAAAAAGGTTCCTGAAGCTTTGAATCCCTAAAAAGTGAATTCCAAAGTAACACTCTTTACAATAATTTGTAGGCAAAACTCATTTTCCCATCTTTCGTTGTAGATTACATTCTAAAGAACAAAAATGAAGTTGAAAATAAATATGATGTCTCTATCAAGGCCAAAGAAAGCAATGATATCAGACTTACAGTAACAATCTCATTTATTAGTATCCTTATAGCAAAAATGCAAACTCAAAAGAGATGATAAAATAGTTTAATTGCAAGGATCCTTATCCAATGTTTAAGATGCTTTGTCATCACTCATTAGAAGAGTCACAGAACATCAAAAAAAACAAGAATTAGAAATCAAAATTGTTATGCCAGCCAGCTATGCATCCAAATTAATCGGAGCAAGTATCTCATTATCTCAAATAATTTAGAGGGCGGTTAAATTAGAGACTTAGCTACTAAATCTAAAGGAGCTCAAATCAAAGTCTTATCTGATAAGGACGAAACTGACCACGATTATCGTACTTCATTTCTCTAATAATTCTAGACTGTATTGTTCAAATAGCGGGAAATCTGCAAAACAAATAAGATGCCAGTAAGTTGATTCTGTAACAAATTGAATGTTTCAAGAATGGAGGACCTGTATTCTTATATTATTTAAAATAGATCATGGACAGTGGCAAATTTTTAAATGATGAAAATCATACCTCTCAAATATCTAATAATTATGATGAATATAAAATCAAGAGGTTTATTATTTTACCAAACTTATTTAGGGAAAAATCCAGTTCCATTTCTGAGAGGAACTCACGTTCAAGATCTTAATCTAGACGAAAACACAAACATCAAAGAAAACGATCTATTGAAAGAAGATCGGTATCATCAAGGTAATTCAAATATATTATGCCTACTTTGTAGTTATTCTAAAAGAAGGGAAAGGGCAAATGTCTTATCTACAAAAATAATTGTTTCTAATGAAGTGATGCATATTTTAGAAAAATATCATAAATTAAGTGAATATAAAGAGAGATATAATGTAGATATCTAAGCTGATGACTCGGTACTAATCAAATCTTAAATAATTAGAGAAGAAACTCTGAATCTTACTTGAGATTAAAAGGCAAATTAAAAGATTGTTTAATTGTTATAGAAGAAATTTTGAATGAGCAACAAAAAATCCTAAGAAAATGAATATTAAATATAACAAAAAATTAATAATAATAAAAATAACCTAAGAACTTCATAATAATTATTAATAAAAAGATTAATAATTAATAATACAAACTCTTTATGTCATAAATATATATCCCTCATGTGATTTTATAAATTTATTATGTCACCAATTTTTATGAAATTATTTCTCTAATTTTTGACTCATCTTTTACATCTCTTTTAAGGATTGAATTTTAATCAATTTCATATCTTATTTACTCGTTCATTCATTATTACAATCTTCTGAACAATTAAAATATAATCGTATATATATAATTTACATAAGTTACTAAATTCTTTTAATTCAGATTTCTTTAACTTACTTTAATCATTTAAACTTAATCTAATATGCATTGATATTTGCTTAAAAACAATAATACAAAAGATTCTTTAAAGAAAGATATTAATAATCTTTAACCATAATGATAAATTGAAATTTAACAATTTAGTTGAGCTTAACAGTAGTTGAATGAAATCAGAGCAATAGATATTTTCAATTAATAATTTGAATAATAATTAAAATAAATTTAAAATTAAAATCCAAAAAAATATTCTTCAATTAAGTATAGAGAATAGAGTCAAATAATAAGTTATGTTTTTGGATTAATGTTTGGAGTATATATAGAGAATCAGATAAATTTACGATACAAAACATTCTATCAACAAAATATATTGCCATTAGAAAATTTATTCTTCAGTTCTCATAAACATTTTTTCATCAATATTATAATAATAAAATCGGTAGAACTTAAAAGCAATTTTTTATTCTTCGCTTCTTCGGGGATATTTTTTTCATTCAGCAAACGTCAGTTATGAAATTAACAATAATTTAACTAAAATCTAAATTTTTATTCTTTGTTACTAATGTACATTTTTTCTTGACAGCAAAATTTAAATACAAATTTAATTTATACTAAAATCTAATATTTTATTCTTTTGTTGACTAATAATTTTTTTTTTTTCTATCACCCTTACATTTTCATTGATTTATAATTATGATAAATATTTAGTCAAATAAATTAAATTAAAATAAAATAATTTGTATTGAAGGATTTCTCTCAAATTTGAAATTGAGTTTTTAAGCATTCACCTTACTCTATTGATTATTGAATATTTATTATATGATAAGCTGTTATTATTGAGTTTCTTAGTTATGATCTTTATATCTTCTTAAAATTATATTATGAAAATTAAAATTATGGGGAGATGATAAGGTAAAATGAAAATTATGATATACCAAGCATAAAATTAGATGAAATGCAATTCTAAGTATTATATTCTATTTTTATTTGATATAATAATTCAAGATAACAAATTATTAAGATGATAATTTAAAAGCTTAAAATATGAGTTTGATTTGCGAGGAAAAATTAATAAATGAATAACTAGTTGCTTACCTATGGGAAGAATAGTATAAGAAAACATAACTTGGAGAAAAGACAATTATAAACTATGTTTTTTCCAAACAAATGGAATTTTCATTATTTTTTTAATTTGATGAAAGATTGTCAACAATTCATTATAGCATGTGTATCTGAAATAGATCATTCTTGGATAATAAAATTATTAGTATTGTTAGCAAATGGAGGTAGAAAAATATATTTGATGATGGATTGTAATGAAAGATAGAAAAATGATGAATTATTTTAAGCAGTTATTTGTGAATTGCTAATAGAGAGCTAATTTCGAATCAAAATTGTTGTTAATACAAAAAAATATGAAAGTTTACCAACCAATTTTTGCGTAATTGATGGAAAAGTATTAATTACTACTTCTGCTAATTGGACAATAAATTCTTTCAACAAGTCTCATGAATGGATGATGTTCGACAAAAAATACGATAATATTGTAGAAATGATAGAAATATTTGAATAAATGTGGAACTAATTTAATTTTGTTACATTTATTAATGAAGATATTGCTTTGTTGGATAATGATGATTCCCAATTTCAACCAGTATTCATATATTCATAAGATTGTGTTTTTGATACATTATGATTTGTTATTAAATAAATATTGTAAATAATTTTTATCAATGACAACACACAATCTAAAAATATTGTATCAGTCCAACCAAGATATCTATAATACATTTTACATGCAAGGCAAGACTATTATATCAATTAGAAACTTAAAATCTATAAGAACTCTGAATCTTATTTGTTTAATTCTCATTTTTATATTTACTTGACAAGATTTAAAATAGTGTAAATAAATTCTTAGGAATTAAATTAGAAATTCTAATTATATATAATCAAAATCCTTTTCTTTGAGTTCCAAGGCTGGGGAAACTCATTCCAGACAAGCATTGCAGCCAAATATTGATATTAACCCATTGTTAGTAGTTGTTGTATTATTGAACAATAGAGTTAAATTAAGAATAACTATTTTAGCCATTTTTAATTTCCTAACCTTGTCTAACATTAGAAAAGGTTTCTTCCTTTATGTTTTTCATAGTTTCTCTTTGATCTAGTTAGTTATGGTTCTTTATTTTTCTGATTCTCTTTTGTTTTTTTCCAATCCGGCCTTCATGTTTATACAATGATAGGATGGCTTTGCCAGTTGAAAATTTAATTCCAAATTACTTGGCTGCCTGCTTAATAGTACAGACTCCTTATTCTACTTTATTGATAAAGGCCAATCTTGTTTCATCTGAGATTTTTGAATATTTCATTAAATCTAATTTTTTCTTTTATTTTCTTCAATTATTAGAGATTATTTGGAATTTATATATTATGCAGATCTAATTTAATTGATTAATTCAAACTAAAAACTACTATAGATTTTCTTACATTTCTAATTTGTTCCTGACATAATATAATCTCTTTGAATTGAGATAATTATAAAAGACTAAATTTAAATCAAAGAAAGGTTAATAATAAATAATTTAAGAAGACAACAAAGAATTTCAACATAAGTATTTTTAATTAAATTTAATTTAGATGTTTTGTGGTTTAATCATAGGATCACTAAATTAAGGGCTTAATTTCTAACGTGTATATTTTTACACACGGTGGACAATAATAATTTAATGAGTTAAATTAATTAAAATTATGATCAAATAATTACAAAATAGAATGAATATTGATTTTATCTGAATTCAACATTCAAAAATTCTTTCATTCTGTCGCATCGAGTCCTTTAATAATATTCTACGAAAAATGGGCGCAGCTATTAGTTTAATTTTAAGTTTCATCCAATACTATTGTCTACTCTCTGTTGATTCTCTATTTCATTCTAATATCCGTATATTCTATAATATTAAAAAATATAATACATAATCATCATTTAAAGCAGAAAATCAGAAGATAGTCTTAGGGATTTCTTTAAATCCAAGATTTCGATGGATGTAAATACACTATTTTCCCAATATTCATTATTGTACAACCCAAAGATACCCTCGAGGTAGTGTTAAAAGCTCGTAATTAGATATATTGATTTTATATTGAAATAGTGCAATTAGATTTAAGGCATACTTAATTTTATTTGAAATAGTAATAATTGTATTAGAATGTACTATGTTTTTACTAAATAACCTGATTCTGAGGTAATGTTATTTAACTATAAACAGGATGATCTAATAGATATCTTTCAATAGGTTTTTTCTATAATGGATCCTGATTTCTTTAAATTTCATATGTTAAAATTAATTCTTCATACTTGCATTATCATTCATACTAATTTTAGTCTTGATATTTATTGTTGCTTGATTCCCAATTTATTGTGCAGATTTTGTATAAGTATTTGGATATCCAGAAATTCCATAAGGCCCTTTGTTAGAGATTTAAAAGCATTAATTATTTAAGTTTTTTACTTGGGGTAACCTAGTCTTAGGAATTAAAAGTAGCATATATTTGTATTTTCTGATTGATTATTTCCTCTAAATAAATGAATCTAAATATTTATGATCTTTTACTTGATTAAGTCAATTATTAATTAAGCTTTTATTCTTTACGGTATACTTGACTCTATTATAAATATTTGAATAAAGATGAATTAAACTCTATGCTATTTTGCATTTTATAATATAAAATATAAAATTTCATTAGCATTTAAGACAATTGACAGCTTGATTGGTAGGGTAGATGACTAAATAGATTTCTAAACATTTCATGCAATATCGATAGCTAGGTACTGATATTTTTGGAGGATGTAATTTGTAACCATGACATTGAGCACAAGGGTAAGCCTAATTGCAGCAAGCAAAAATAGGTATTGTATTACAGGGTTACCTATGTTCGCAATCTTGAGTGTATAAAATATGAGGGAAAGTAGTGACAATTTCTTGAATTTTCTATTGAGATTCATCCAAATATTAAGAAGGTTGTCCATCCATATTCATAAATTCAAAATGGTTGTTAGATTCATTCTTAATCTCAGGTAGACTATTGGCCATCTAATCGTCTTCCTATTTAAAAACAATGTTATTATTTTAGATTTATTCTTTTATTTATTAGGATAATCCATCTAATCTCTATTGTTTCATCTCAATCTTTTGCAGTCTAATGAGATTGAGATCTTGATCTTGTATAAACATTTCCTTATTGTCATCAAGAGCAAATATGATATCAGATTCTAATTGAGGAAAGTATGTCTACCAAGTCAAATCTAATTGTATTGTTCTTTTCTTGACTGCCAAATTGGTTTAGGTGGCAATCTGAGTAATTTCCCTTATATGCTTTCCTTAAATAAACTCTATACTGTCAAATAATTCATCTTAAGTCATGTCATAAATATTCTTTTTTATTAATTACTCTACTTATTCAGTCAATCCATTTTCTTTAGTTTCCCAAAATAAGAAACCTTCAACTGCACAAATAATTCCTTATTCAATTAATTTAAGCTTTTATAATATGTCTTTTATTAATTATTCAAATTTTTATTTGACTTCCGAGACTCTTTCTGGCATTTTCTGTATAGAACTACATTAATCCTAGAACTCTCTGTACTTTTCATCAAAAAGCTTACAAAATTGTTGAACTTCCATTGTCTCATGATTATTATGTTCTTCCAGTAAACAATAAGCACAACCCAATCGTTTTTAAGCTTTACACAAAGGATTTTAACAAATGTAAATTAATTTATTTTTTTCATGATTCTTTTTATCGCATACAGGTTCTAAATTTAATCCTAGGTATTTGATAACTGATCTTTAATGCATCTCTGTTCCTTTGGCAACAATAGATGAATGTCTCTTTTGCATTCTAACATTCGAAGGTACCTAAACTGCCGAAGACGACATTCTCTTAGTAGTTGGACTGATACCCGAAGGACTATGCTAAGAAGGACTCTGAGAACTACGATAGGATTGCTTAGCCCAATCTCTTCCAGTCTATAACGTAGATTCTTATTGAATTTCTGTAGTTTTTTTAGTAGGGGATTTAACTTTCTGTTTTTAAGTGTTGGTTACTTAAGTCTTAGTACTCTTCTTCATTCTGCAATTTCAATTTCGAATTAATATATATAAATAAAATTAACAACTTATATATCATCAATAGGCGATACTTTAAGTCTAAATCAATTATGCAAACAGTTTGGAAGCTGATACATTCATCATGATAGTATTCTCATCATAATCATGATGACCCTCAACTTTTCCAAACTGTGCAATTTAGAAGTCCTCCTCTAATCTGGACAATTTCACTGCCTCCTCTACTTGCAAATGATTATTCCAAATTAGTAATGCTAAAATACAGGATTTTAGATTTTCTAATTAGATAATTACATCATACCAACTTTTGCATCCAAGCTCACCAATTGCCAATTATTTAACTCACTCACTATTGTTTCTATTCTAATCTGATCGTATTATTTCAAAGGCTCTATGTTTAATCCGAAATTGGTTTTCAAATGCAATCCGAATTTCTCGTTAAAGATTTTCAATTGTGGATCTAATTTTTCTTTCTGAATTTTATATAATTTAGTTTCTGGATTCTCTCTAAATAAGACTGTATCCCTCTCTAAATAACTAATAATTGATTATTCCATAAATTATCTGATTCTATCATCTGCCTCAATGTCAATTGCATTTCTAGCTAAAGTTAAAAGTGGCATAGTTGTTGGCCTTATGTATTCAGTTTGCATATTAAATTCGTGAGCAATAAACGATGCCAACTGAGGGGATGGGACAGCCAACGTATTTTTTGAAGGTGTTTTTACTGTCTTTCCATCTAACTATTTAAATATTACCATTAATATATACTTTCACCAGCCATTGATGATATGGATTAGTAGGATTAGTGGCCATTTCAATGGTTGCTTCCTTATAAAATCTTTTCAATTGTATTGGCTGTTAAATTGAAACTTATTCAGAAAATCGGAATCTAACAATTAATCCTCTCATTAAATATTAAAATAAATTGCTAAAATGTAATTTGTAATTTGCTTAGTATAACATTGGATATTCAACTGAAAAGAGAAAACTTGTTTTACATTACATTTATAAACGACTATTAGAGATCGTTTTAATGAGAATTACATAAAATTATGATTTCAACTCTCTAGATTAACAATCTAGATTTTGGTAGTTATTATCATTAGTTATTTGAAAATTATTGATTCACCAATATTGAACATTTGTGTCTTTAACAATCAGTTTAAAATTTGACACAAAAAAGATCGAAAAATTAAAATTTATTTCTAAACTCTTTTACTTGCTAAGACATGGCTAGGAGTATTAGATTTGTAGATATTGATATTTATATATTTTATGATTGTAATAATGCAATCATAAATCCAATTTTGGTCGTAATTGAATAATCAATTACAAATTTTCCAGGCTGGTTCATTTGAACACCATTGTTCAGGAAATTATGCATAAAACAACATAACTTCATTTTTGAATCTTAGGTATTCTTTGAAGTTGTTGGCTTCTCCATTCAGAATGAAGAGAGATGCTCTTTAATTCAAGAACCAAACCATGTATGACTGAAAGACACGTTTCCACAATTTTAATTCAGCCGTGTCCTTTTAGTCTATGATTAATTATTTTTTGAGGCTTCTGAATCCATTTATGTTATGTAAATTTTTCTGATAATAATCTATAAAATGAGAAGTTTCTCGCTATAGTTCCATTTATAGAAATTCGAACTATTTTCCCCTCCTCATAGATTTAACAGCCTATCTTAATATGTTCCGACAGATGTTTTTTTTATAGTCTCTTTGAGAGGGAGATGCCTTTGATATTTAGATCAGATCCTCCTCCCAATTCAAAAACTTATCAGTATCCTGATGACTACCATCTGTGTCTTCATAAAAGATTAAAGCTGCTTAATTTACATCATGATAACTGGCCTCAAATTCTTGCATTTCAAAATAGAATGATGTCATCTTGACACCTGATTTTTTTTTTATTTTTAATATATACTTTATTAAGCCCAGGATTAGCATAAATACTGAGATTTTGTGTTTAATATTTAATAAATAAATTCAATCGATTTTATTTTTATTATATTCCATATATTTCAGCACCCTTGCAGAATTTTGTCTTGACTTCTAATTAAAATACTATTGTTGATTTAGTAATGGAGTCAGAGTAAATAAACTCAAGGGTATAGCAAATTCCCTGAATTATGAGTCTAATATTTTCCAATTCTGAGTAATTCATCAGAATTAATTGTATATTTTATTCATCATTATCTATAGATTATAATTGAAACTATCTCTGAATTAGCAATATTAACCATCTTTTGCCTCTCTCTTATTCCTTTGCATTTCAACATCGAATGCTAACAATTACTAATACATTTATTGTATGAAATTCTTAGCTAGAAATCGAATAAATCTTTTCAACTCCTCTAATTTTTAAAACAAAACAACCTTAATTTGGATAATTAAGCTTAGCTATTTCATTAAATTAGAGAAAACTGTATCATCAATAGATTTTGGCTCTTATGTCTCATTAATTTTCTTAGGCAAATCTAAAAGAAACATAATTCTGATAGAAATTAGTATTTTTAATAAGTAATCTTAGACACCTAATCAAATATTTCTTGAAAAATTTCCATGTTCAGTTTTCTTAAATAGAAATAACAGATTACTTTAAGAACTCTATATTATTGAAAAGTTTGAAATATTATTGTAAAATTACACTATTGAATAATTACTTATTGTAAATAATCAAGTTTTTCCAATTTCAATCCATTTATTTATACTATTTATTTTAATTCATAAAAATCCTCATTTTGATATTTTTTATAGCCTACTTATAAAAATTGAGTTATTCTTTTTTTTCGTATTATTTTTTAATCATTTATTTATTTTTTATTTGCATATTTTATGAATGAATACCCTAGAATTATTTAATATATATAGAGAAATCATGAGAAGGTTCTTAAAATTATTTATATGTTAAAAATGAAAAGAACATTAAATTTATAATTTTGATATTTCAATAAAATGAACTTGATTAGAGGTAAGAATATCGATTTGATTATGACTTTTGCACGATTAATCAATTAATAATTATAAATCATGAGGAGGTATAGTTTCCTACTTAATGCTCGAGTTCTGCAACTTTTTGAGTAGCAGCAATTATTAATTGTTGAATTTGGCTTTTTTCCTTTTTGATTTCAGTGATTTGCGACTGTAATTTAGAGTTTTCATCTTTTTAAGTGTTGATGGCCTAAAAAAGTTTCATAGATTTTTACTTGTCTTAAGTCCCTTAACATAGCATCTAAAGTTGGTTAGGTTGTATTTTTGATTTCTTCATTGTTATTTGTGATTCTCTATTTCATTAAATGCAATTCCTATTTCAATTGGTCAATCTCATGTTTATAACTTTACAGTAATTCATTCGATAATTCTGTGATGTTCTATTAGAGTATGAAATTATGAGTACGTTCACTAAAAGCAAATGATTTTTTGCATTAGTGGCTGATTCTTGATCGAGTTTGGAACTGTGAGGTTATTATACGTCCTACATTTTTATTAAATAAAATTATATAAATATTATTTGTTTGACAAATTGACAATGTGAAATAATTAATCTTGTTGTACTATTCGAATAAGACAACCTACAAATGAATTAGACTAAACGAAAGTTATACTATTGTATGATGTAAATAAACATAACCAGTAAGTAAATGACACTGAAACTTTGAATAAACATAACAGATGATTTGAAACAACATTTATCACAATCGTTTATGAATTAAATATGTGTTAGAATCTTGTTCTTGAAAGGTTTATTCATAAATTTAAGAGTTCCAATTATATTCCAGTTTGAGTTTGGAGAGTGCTTAGTAATCTCACTTAATTATAATACTAATATGGAAATATGTGCAAATGGAATATCAAATTCTAAAAAGTAGAAATCATCTACATATTTGACTTTGTAATATTGAAAAAACTATCTGATTAAGTTTGTATATGAGATCAACTATTAGGAAAGAGTACGATATATCTCCAATGAGTCCTAAAGAATAGAAAGATCTTCTCTTACACTTATTGAATGAGAAGACTTTACAAGATAGATAAAACCCAATTAAGATAACTAAAAACATTCAAAGCCTCATAACAAACAATTGATAACCAATAAGCATCCAATATTCATACAGTTCAAGTAATAAAATCTTAATCACATTCAAATCAATTATTATGCTTGATAATGATATATGTAAAAAAAATAATAATGGAGTACAAAAAGTTCAGATTACATTCTTTTAAACTACTATTAGAATTAATGAAATTATATGAGAAATTCGTTTTACACAACTTTATTTGGTTTAATAATACCTTGATTCTTAAGTATGAGAAAAAAAACCAAAAAAAGTGCATAGACTTTATTAAAGATCAGAGGATGTTAAGAATTAATCTCATCATAAAATTTATTTATTATATAAGTATAACTTGATTTTTGTTTTGTAAATAAATGATATAGTTTCATCTTTTGTATTTCAAATGAATATGATGAGGTTTAATGCGTATCTTCTACCTCATAAAATAGAGCAGAAATCCCTCATTTTGTTTTATATATTTTAGTGGAATGATACTCCCCAAAGATAAAATTGTAATTTTACAAATATTAATTTGTCTATCTAATATTTAATTTTACACTTCCTTTTGTTTTATCTATTAATGAACTATAAAATATTTGGGTTATCCTCATATCATTAATCTCTTTCAAGATTTACTGATATTTCACATGCTTATTACCAATATAGAGTTTTAGAGAAAATATGATGAAATGTAAAAGGGATTAATATTCATTTGATCAAGTTAGTCATAATTAATATTTTTGTTCGTTAAAATAAATGTAGTCAATTATTAATCAATGCCAAGATTTAGATGAAGAGTACAGATAACTTGTTCAGAGAATAAATAACATGTTGGACAATCTGAGTATCGTAAGTCTTGAATTTGTGAATTCAAAATTAGAATTTTTAGAGAAATACTCTTGTACTCTAAAATCGAGTTAAATCGATGCAAGGATACATAGAAATTCACAAATGAAGAACTTAATCGAATACATTAAGATGCATAGAAAATCAGAAGCAAAATCCCTTGCACAATCACCACCAGCTAAGACGGCTCATCATCGACCAAAATATTCATTTAATGAGAAGGCTTTCTCTAGTTTGCTCTATAATAGCATGAGTTAAATGACTCAGTAGAAAACACTGTATAATGAACTTGACTAATCATAATAGAAATGTACTCTCAAAAACAAAAACCTAAATGTTTTATAAAATTTGATAGGGAAATAAAAGATTGAATAAAAGAAGGGAAATGAGGACATGTTCAGGTTGCTCTAAAAGTGTATGTAGTTGATTTCGCAGAAGTAGGAGTTTTAGGATGAGTATGCAGATTTGTAAAAAGAATATAAGGAAATAGTTAGGAGCAATAGGAGTTTGTAATGCAAGGTGAATCTTGATTAAAAATCATCGAAACTGAAAGAGAATTTAAATTAATTAATGATAAGCCAAGAATCATTTAAATCCTACCTCAATTCAGTAATTTGATTGATTATTTATACTAATAACCTTTAATTATAATTATCTCATTAAAGTAATAATTGATTTCTATTCAAATTTCTATTTATACACCTCCTTATGAGCAATAATCAGTACAATAATAAAAAGTTGGCTCCTTTCAAAAGACAGAGAGATACTCTCAAGGAGGAATTAAAAAAGCTCTAATAAGAATAAGCAGACGAGGAAAAATTGAATGACAATTATTTTGACGAAATTGGTCGAGTGGAAAAAGTACTTTATAAATACGATTTAGGAATATGAATCTTTGATCAAATAAATTGAACTCTATAACAAACATAATCATACATTAAAAGCAATTGGTTAAATGGATCAAAATTAAGGTTTGGATGAGACAATAGAGAAAAATGTAATTTAAACATTAAATCTATTTCTTCTGAATACAAGCAAAAAGGAGTATTTAGAAAGTATTTAGGAATAAGAAATATCAAAGAAACAATTACAAAGTGGAAATCTCATTATGACCTAAATTTAGCCCAATGATGAAAAACAAATAATCTAAGAAGTTGAAAACACTATTCTTGAAGATGGATATTATGTGTCTTTGAAATAGGGCTGCAACTCCTTGGTTGTTAAAATACCAGGGACAGTACGCACATTCAAGGAGTTAAAATAAATTGTAAAATCGTGTTTTATGGCAGAGGAGAAAGAGATATTTTATACAGATTTAATGGGAAATGTAATTTAACCGGATATGATTATTTTGGATCAACTTTACCCCTCGATTTATGAGTTGCTTAAAAATTATCAACCTGTCATAGGAATTAAAATCATTAAATAAAAAAAAATTAGAGAAGACACAAAAAAAACCGAAGCAGATTTTATGTTTGATGGAGCCACCTAAGAATTAATGACTAAATAGCTAAGATCAACTAAGAGAATTTAAAAATCTATTAATTGGTCTAAATACATGGATTACATGACCAATCTCAAGTACATTTTGGAATCTATTTTATTTGTCTCACTTTTAATTTTATATGCAATTATTGAAATTAGTGAGTTAGACTTTTTCACAAACTCTTAATTACTTTTAAACTAGAGCTTAAACATGGCAATCTAAAAGTCCTACATATCTCCAATTACTAACATATCCTAAATCATTTCCTTATCAATCCCCAATGGATCAGCCCATGGTTTGAGTCCGACCTATCCTCTTCAGTCGGGTCTACTTATTCAAACTCTTGTTGGTATAGTAAATATTTAATGATAATTAGGATAACTTCAATAATTGCAATATTTTGAATGAAAATCAAAAGCAAATGTACTTGGATAATAATTAATCCTGTTTGATGTTTGACATAACATAGACCAGTTAATTAAATCAAAGTTACACTAAATTAAATTTTGACCCTAAAGTCTATAACGAATAATTCGGAGGCTATGTTTGGGAATTTAATTTAAGCTCAAGAGAATCCTTTTAAGAGAGTTATAATTAAATGATTTCAGAAGAGTGGTTATAATATAATATCAAACAATCTCAATTTTTGTTGAATTATTATAATGGTCCTACTTAGAGAATTATATAGGTATGTATCACTACGCTTTATTTATTCAATGACGTAAATATTTTGATGATATTTAGCGTCTCATGAATTACAATAGCTTTTAAGCGGAAGGTTTTAATTTAAAAGAAATTCCAGAACAAGTCCTAATAAACAAAGACATTATATTTTATTGTTCGATTGTCCTATTGATTTCATCCTTTTTTGGTAGAAAACTAATTAAATTATATAGATTTCTTTGGCTTATACCTTATAGGGACTAAAAATAATCTGATCGTGATCTACCTATAATACTAAGAATTACTGAACAGGAAGAAAAAATTGGAGGCTAAAAAAAGGTAGATAACCGAAAGTGATTAAAAGGATCTATAGTAGAAGGAGTTGATAGTGGGAGAATATGCAATAATTAATTTAAAGGTTATTTATGTTACTATTAGAATTCCCTTAGTATTTGATTATATTTGTAATGAAATTATTAGTATTTTAGATATCTTATGCCAATTTGGAATGGTAATGAAGAACACAATAGATGATTAATATGAGGAAGCATTATAAGAAATAGATTTGAAATCAGCTTAGTATCAGGATGCAAGTGCCTTGATTATACCACTTTTTTTGAGTAGAATATTTTCAGCTGTTTTGGTGTTATTTTTGATGATTTCAATAGTGAGGTTCATGGGGAATTGGAGTCCATATTTAAAATGCTATGGATTGGTCATGATAAGAGTAATGCTAATTCTATTTTGTATAGTTCAACAGTTAATCTTGGTTCTTGATGCTTGTTCTGATATTCATTATCAGTGTTTGTGCAATGTCGTGGATTGTAACCATTCAAGGCAAACTAATAAACCATGACAATTTCATTTATACCTTTTTGGGATTGCTTAGGTGTACCTTGAGATTTGGATTAGATAATGATATTGAACAATAAGGGTTCTATAATACATATGCTAAAGATAAAATTTATTCTTTTGAGACTAAATATGTAAAAAGATTCGTTTAGAATATTAGTTACAATACATAATAATAATCACAATCACAATGATAATGATACCAATATTTATTTCTTTAATGACTGATTTAGTTCAAAATACAAAAGTGGAAGCAAAATAGAAGATGATGGAAATGAGAAGGCAAAATTAAAAATGATTTTTCTTATTCTGATTGTAAGTTTATATTAATTGATCTCTTTTCTTTTAAGAGTATCATTTTAATTGGACCTTAATTTTATCATCTCCATCTACGAAATGGTTATTAATAATTATAAATATCGTTAATGAAAAATTATTCATCTTAGCCAATGTAAACGAGTGGAAGAGGAAGCCTATTAGACAATCCATATACTATGGATTTTAAACCAAAAAAGAATAATAATACCAAAATTCTAAAGACGGAGAGCATTACCACTGTTGCCAAAAATCCAAAATAGGACTTATTAGAGTATTTTAAAAAAGAGAGAAATACTATTACCCAGGTAACCAATAATATCAAATCATAATTGCAACAAAGCAGGAGCATTGACAATCTAAATAGCCAAAAAAGCGAACGCCAAAAAATATCAAATGTACTCTATAATTTTAAACTTAGCGTGTCCAAACTGAGGAAGGCAATTCAAATAAGAAACAATTACTAAAAAATAAGAATTTTTCACTTGCCACTCTTCAAACAGAATAAAAACTATAAAAAAACATTCTTAAACACAATTAGATGAGTTAGATTAATTAAAATAAAATACTCAAATCTACTGTAGATCAATATTTTCAAGATCTTTAAATAAAAAGTGCCAAGGAATAAAAAAATATGCAGCAATTTGACAATTAGCAATACTTTACAATGAAACAAAATAAGTAATCTTCACAGTAGGATTCAAATACATTAAAGAACTCCATTGAATAAATTCTAAGCAAAAATAAGATCTAATTCCATAAAAATACGAATGAACTTCAATCAGCAAATTAATCACACCAGTAAAAGAATTTGTAGGATGAGTTCAATCAGTACGATTCATAAAAGTAATTAAAGATAATCTTAGTTTATAAAGGCTAAAAGTAATATTTGTATTTGATTTTCTAGATATCACTATTATTACAATCACTAAGGCTAGACTACTGACAACTTGTACAATTATTTGATTCAATAAATTGCCTGTATTGAAAAGTCATTCATGAAATAAGGAGGAGGAACAGGATCAACAGAAGAAGTTCAGATCTAAGAAGGTTTTGTTTAAAAGTATTCATAGAAATCAATAAAATATGCTAATTCTACACAACCTAGAAAATCATTCCCTATGATTATTATCTAAGTTTGCCTAATTTACCTTTGAATGTATTCTAAGGAGTAACTCTTCAATTGCAACCACTAAATACCCAGTCTCTTTATGGTAAGAAGGTGTCATTGAGAGATTTCACATTGGTGAAGTGCATAGGAGTTGGAGGCTTTTCTAGAGTTTATTTAGTAAGAAAAAGAGATGATGGTAAATTTTATGCCTTGAAGTTGATTGATAAGAATTTCATAATGGAAAATCAAAAAGAGGTGATAGTCTAAAATGAAAGAGATGTTATGGTGAATGTGAATAACGAGTTTATTACTCCTTTGCATTTTGCATTTGAAACCAAATATTATATAGCATTCGTTTTGGATTATTGTGCAGGAGGTGAACTCTTCTACCATCTAAGAAAATTAAAGCGCTTAACTGAAGAAGATGCAAAATATTACTTAGTTGAAATCTGCATAGGAATGGCCTATTTACATTCCAAAAACATTGTGTACAGAGATATCAAACCAGAGAATATACTCTTAGATTTACAGGGACATCTGTTATTGAGTGATTTTGGATTAAGCAAACCAAACATGACAAATGAAGATTATGCCTACTCTTTTTGCGGCTCTCCTGAATATATGGCTCCTGAAATGCTGTTAAAAAGTGGGCATAACTATTTGGTTGATTGCTATTGCTTAGGTGCACTGCTCTATGAATTAGTAACAGGCCTGCCTCCCTTCTACTCACATAACACTCAAGAAATCTACACATCCATCTTATCCGAACAGGTATAGTTCCCACCTTATGTTCAAATTTCTGATTTATTAAAGGATTTGATTTGCTAGCTATTAGAAAAGGATCCATAAGAAAGAATGGGATAATCCTAGGGTATAGTGGAGATCTTGAGTCATCCTTGGTTTGCTGATATCAACATTGAAGCTATTGTAAATAGAACAATTTAGCCCCCTTATAAACCGGAACCTTTGAAATATAATTTTGATGAAGAAGAATTTAATAAAGGAGATACTGAGTTCAGAAAATAATATGGAATTAACCTATAAAAGGAATATGTGGTATGTATGACTCTCTCTATGAAATTAGAACACTGACAATAACCCGAATTTTATTCTACGCGATTTCTACTTCTCCAGAGAAGACTTGCCTCAAACTCTTTAACATAAACCAATTAGATCTAATCATGTCAACTTAGCCTAATTAAATATAGAAAATGTTCCGAATTTCGAAATTAATCCATTAGATAAACATAGAGTATTATTAGTCATATATTAGTAAATATCCCCAACAGAGAATAGGAGAATGCCGAAATACTCAGGGAAATCCGAAATTTAGGATCTCTTAAAAAGGAATGAGTTGTCTAATAAATCTGCTTCATTAATTTAGTCAGGAAAAATTACATATGCATACTCAAAGACTTTGTAATAATAGAATTAAAATGCAGATATTAAGGTAACTCTAAAATATATTGTAGGCACTCAAACAAATTCTAGAATCCTCAAAAGGTCAAATGAGCACTGAAAGAACTGCTACTTTGCCTGATTAAAAAGTTCATAAAAATGAGAACAACAGAATCAAAACTGAACAGTTTGCATAAATGTTGTACCCTAAAACTACAACAAATCATTAGTTTCATAAAACTCCTAATATCTAAAAATTATTTGGGTCTGAAAAAAGATAAAAATGAATATCATTCTTTTAATTTACAAATAAGGATCATTTATTAATATGAAATTTTCCTTTAAAAATAATTATATTATAAACACTCTAATGATCTAAGTATTAGATTAGAATGATAAAGAAATCTATAAATACAGATTGGCCCAAGGCGAGAATAAATTTGGCAGTGATTCAAAATTGTGCAAATTTCTTATCCGCAATGTCCAAAGTGTACTCTTCTCAGTAGTAAATGAATAAATCTAAACCATAGGCTCTTATTAACAATGATGTCTATTTCACCCATTTTAGTGACTCCTCCAACGTTTACAAGGACTCCACACTCAAACCCTATTCCAAGGTTGAGATACCAAAAAACTTTCTCATTGAAATTTTTCCAACTAAAAATTACTACTTTCAAACCTATAAATTTAAACTTCTTGATTTAAGTGAATCCTCCCAACAAAACACTTGTTGTTAAGCTGGAACAACCTAAAATATTGAAGAATTTACAGGAACCATGCCTCTAGAAGACATCTTTCAAATTCCACAATAACCCCAGAAATTATCTACAACTCAATCATTTAGTACCACAACATAGGTATTAAACACATAAGACCCTTGCTCATCTACATTAATTATTGAAGAAGCCGATTAATCAGAAATTTTTACACTTAATGAACTAATTGTGTAGTATTCTAATATGAGATTGATGAACTAATTAGCAGCTAATGACAAACAGGAAGCAGCGACTTAGACAGATCTTATTGAGAAGGAACCTCCTCCTGTATAGAAAAAAGGAACTCTCTTTAGTGATCTGTTTAAAATTAAAAAATAACAGCAAACTACACCAAATGTGATTCCAAAAGTTCAAGCTCCTGAACCCTAAATAATTGATTCAACTGTTATAGACTCCTAATTGTTAGGGGCCACAGTGAATGATGAGGAGCAATAAAAGTTCTTTGAATAAAATAATGAAATAAAAGGGACCATGATAGATGAAGAATTAGAGAAGGCCTTCTCATCCTAATTCAACAATAAGGAAGAATAAAAATCTTAGGTTTCTCATTCTTAATTCAATAGGATGAATAGTATTAAATCAGAAAATGTGTATACAACACCTAAGATGGATGTAAATTCTAACATCGAATTAAATGATATATTTGGCAGTTTGCCAGAACTCCCTAATTAAAGTATCGTTTAGCCTTAAGTGATAAAGAAGTTTTCATCTTTAAAATCGAATTTATTCAGTATTAAGACGGAGGAAATTTAGGAGGAAAAGAATCAATCTCAGTAGGATGATACGCCTAAGAAGTTAAGGTAATAGGAGAATAGAGGGACAGAGAATAAAAAGAAGAAGGATAAGAAGAAGAAGGAGGTGGTGAAGAAGGTTGGTATGTTAAAAAAAATCACTGATGAAATTAGTAACAATTCAATATCAGGATTAGAGGAGGAGAAGATACAACCTAAGTAATAATTGCCTAGACATTCAAATTCAATGGAGTTACCAAATACAAAAATATTGGAGGAGAAGGCATAAAACATTGTACCAAAGAGTAGAAGGGGATTGAGAAAAAAAAGATTGGTTAATAATGATAGGTAGTTTCGTATGATTGCTTTTAGTGGATTCTCAGAAAATGAAATTCCTTCGGAAAAAGATCTGATGAAACTGGATCTTGAATTGGTGGAGAATTAATTTGAGAAATTTGATTTATTAATAATTAACACCCCTTTTAAAAGGACATTCAAATTCTTGGCAGCACTTATGCATGGAGCTGAAATAGTTACTGCTGATTGGTTGAAGGATTCTCTTGCACAATATGATTAGTAGAACCATTAAAATTATGTTCCTGAAAGTGAAGAGTTTCAAAAACAATTTGGGTTGAGCATAAAATAAATAATACAGTGCAGAGACGATTACTTTGAGAGCAATGACAATATCATAGAAATTTTTGAAGGGAAGTACTATGTCAATGAAGATGCTATACCGTCAAGAGTTGAGATAGAATACCTGATAAAATTGGGAGGAGGACAAGTAGTTAGAAAGGCGAATAAAAATGTCTATGTAATAAGTGAGAGCAAGAAGCCAAACACATATGCATCTGATTTCATTTTGGATGCATGCATGTTTTAATAGTGAAGATTTTGTTTATTATTTATTTTTATAAAATTAACTAAAGATTATTTATGAATTAGTCAGTTTAACACGAGAGGGTTATTAAATAGAAACCTAGTCTAAAAATACAAACAAAGGACATTAAGGCGAGCAATCAATTAATAGAGGAGATTAACAATTTGAAATTAATCTATTAGGACAAAATCATAGGGATTCCACCAGAGAGTGGATATGTGAAAGCCATTTAAATTACTATCTATCCTGAAGAAATTCTGGATGAAAGTGAAGCTTAAGCAATGGCAGTGTTGGGATTACATTTTCCACAATCTTACCCTGATCATGTTCCGAAAATCGACTTTATTTAATTAGAGGGTTTTAATGACATTTAGAAGGAGGAGTTATTTTCGGATTTATTTGAGACGGGATTGAATCAAGCAGGATCACAAATAATATTCTCTATAGTTGTGCAGGTTATATTGATGGATTAATTTTGTAGTGTCAAAAATAGGTGACTTCAAAACACTAATACAATTATAATGAGAAGATCAACACAAGGAATTTGTATGACATCTTTATGCAAGAGGAGAAGAAGAGAGAAAAATAGAAGAAGTTGCTCACTAAATCAAGTCAAATAATGGAAGAGAAGGAGAACACAAAGTACACGTCCATACAGGAGGAGTTTAAATTGCGACAGGAATGGCTGGATTAACAGGCTAATGAATAAGAGCCAGAACCATCAGAGCCATTTATCTAGAAGAGTCCAAAGGTTTATGCTTGGCAACAATTATCAGGGATGGAGTTGCTACTAATCCATTTGATTAAGGTTAATTAAATAGTAGTATTTTAGATAGTCCTGAAGAATTGCCATCACTAAAACTATAAACAATTGGTGAGTTTATTGCATTTATTTCAAATCACCACAAACAAAGAGTTGTTAAAATTACTATCCCCCAAGTATGAAGTCATATTCAACAATCTCTACCTCAACAAATTTGATGGCATAGCCAAAAATGTACGAACTGATTTATATTAGGAATAAGAAAAAATAGACTTCAAAATGGCTGAAATCTTTCAGATGCACAAATCCCAAGATAAGAATCTCACTGATAGGACCAATCTTATGAATCTATTGTTCACTCCATACAGTAAATCGTCTTCCAAACTATCCAATTTCAGCAATAATGCCAAAGTATTGGAGGAGTAACAACAATAATTAACTCTGTCTCCAAATTAGAAATTGACTTTAATTAAAGAGCCCTCTTTTAATAGGATGGAAGCTGATTTCGATATAGTGACAACATTGGGAAAGGGATCTTTGTAAGAATATCTAATTAACCTAAAGTGGAGAAGTGTTTAAAGTCAAGAATAAGATCGATGGTAGATTCTATGCAGTGAAGAAGATCAAAATTCCATATGGACAGGGTTTGGCAAGGATAATGAGAGAAGTAGATTTATTAAGTCATTTGCATCATAGATATGTGATACGATATTATCAAGCATGGATTGATGAATGTGATAAGACTCAAGAAGACTTTGAAATCCATGAGGAGTAAAATTAAATCATTTATATAGTGATTCTGAAATCTAATTAGTTAGTGGTTTCACTTAATAATCAGATAGTTAATTTAATTTTAATGCTTCAAGTCTCGGAAGTGGCTTATTTTAAAATAGCAATAATCCCATTAAGAATGAAAAAAAAATACTTGTTTTATACATTCAAACGGAGTATTGTACGAGAACTCTGAGGAAACAAATTGAAGAAGTCTATCCCAAATCTGAATAATCGTTCATTTGGAATCAATTTAGGTAGATTCTTGAGGGAATGGTGTATACCCATTAATAAAAAATTGTTCATAGAGATTTAAAACCAGAAAATATATTTATTGATACAACTGAAGATATTAAAATTGGAGACTTTGGGTTAGCTAAACATACTTCTAAAAATTCTCATTCTATTGTGTATAGCAATTCAGTTGAAAATACCAATGAAATTCCAGAAATATTAAGTTTTATAACCTAACAACCTTTGTTAAAGAAGGATGACTTAGAATTACTTGATAAGACACTTAATGTAGGAACCTACTTTTATTGTCCACCCAATAATGAGTAAGAATTCGATGAGAAGAGAGATGTGTTTGCTTTGGGGGTGATATTATTGGAAATGTGGCATCCATTTTAGAATCATAAAGAGAGAGTCAAAACTCTATCTTAATTGAAATTAAATGGCAAGTTGCCTAAGTCTTTTTAAGTCTCTCATCCTAGATAATCTGCATTGATAAAGTGGATGACCAACACTGATCCCAAGAAAAGGCCAACAATTCAGGAAATTCTTCACAGCGAACTAATTCCACCCAAAATGGAAGATGAATTACTAAAGGAAGCTATAAAGATCTTAGGCACTCAAGACAACGAAAGCATCTATTATTAGAAGTTAATTGAGGCCCTATTCAATAATAAGAGATTGAACTATCTAGATCGAGATAGACTTTATTTGTAACATTGTATTAACTAGAAATTTTATGTGAAATAATGCTATATGCCTAAAATATTGTAATTTATGAGTCAATAATGTATTGTGTAAATTTAGACTCCGTATATTATAAATAAACCAAAGGATATTGACAAGAATGGCACATTCCTCTACAGTTAACATCAGCAACCAATTCAAATGATGAATTAGAATGGGGAGATTGTGTTTTTTAGACACTAATTAAGAAATTCTTTTGTGAAACAACTTTAATTATTGAATAATAAATTGTAATAGGGTAAATCAATACAATGTTTTGAGATTGGAGAGACCATGATATCTGAATTAGATTAGATTAGAGTTCAAAACCAATTGAATTACGATCAAATTTAATTTAATGATGATGATGGATTGCTGTCTACTATAATTTTATCAATACAGTTGATGGATCAATTGAATTTAGAAATACCGAAGCTGAAGTTGACTAATCAAGAATTCATTATGGATTTGTTATTCGCATTTAATGTTTATGACCTTGATTCTCAAAAGCAGATATATCAATATATGTCGAAGGTGGCTTCTTACAATTAGTTTAATGCAAGCAAATTGAGATACTTTATTTTAAATGATTCAGATAATGCTGTTTCTAAATTGATAATAGAGAAATATATAGACAAATTGGATAAGTTCATACTGTTGTTTTAATATAAGTGCAAAATACAAGACATCAATCTCGTTGAAGTTTTGTAATTGTAGCATAATGAGGATCTGAAATGGAAGTAGAATAAAATAATTGAATTTGGTAAAAAGATACTCTATTAATTACATTGTTATCGTAAGATCAGGGAATAGATCAATCCTTCGAGTTATAACTATGAAATCCCCATATTATTTGATTGTTCTGTCAATAATAAAAAATATGGATTCAGTCACGGATTTCAATTTGAATTGAGTTGTTTGAAATAGAAATTGAAGGGTGAATATGTTTAGCTGCCTATATTATACGGGGGATCATACGAAAAGAGCTGCAAAAAGTTATAGACTTTATGCTCAATCATAATGGATGTTCCTACTTAAAAAATAGAAATCAATTTAAATCATTTTGGAGGAGGGTCAGCCTAATTATCAAGATCTAATTCTATAATAAGGTATTGTAGTTAAATCACATATTGAATAGTCAAAAAGAATTACCATTATCTAAAGTTTAGAGTAATATCTTGAAGGAAGGAGCTAGATTATCTTAGGTTTGCAATAAAAAAGTGGAGATCAATGGATTCACCCTTGAATTGGATGTCTTAGAGGAAATCTTCTCTGTTTCCCAAGAATAGCAAACTTCATTACTATTTAAGTATTAAGTTTTGATTTGCTCAGTAAATATGATATATTATTTTAGGTCGGTGGAAACCTTTAGGAAGCTAAACGAATATATTTATAGGCTTGCCATTATTTGGACATACCAGCCATGATTTACAATGATGATGAAACTTGTTAATTGGAAGAATGCGTATTTTATTAAAGTGAATTTAGATCAATTTCGCTGATCGCCAAGATATTAAATTTATTGTATTTATCAGAGATAAGTTGTATCAATAAAAATAGAAAGTTATTGTTAGATACAAGAAAGATAAGAATAATAAATTAGACAAAGAAGTTTCATTTGATGAATTTATTTAATTTATGGTAAAGCATAAATGATAGATATTAAATCAATCAAAATAATTTATGGAATTAACATGTCAATTACATATATATATATATATATTAATTTGTCTCTACTTCCTCTGATTATTTTATATATAATATATAATATTTAAAATGCATTAATAAACCTCTCGTAAATAATGTTAAATTTGTCAAATGACTAGAGATAATACTTATTAAAATCCTAATTGCATGCATAGTTACTGTTTGAACTGTTGTTAGAACAACAAAATCAAAGGGTAATGTGAAGCAAAAGACTGTAAAGCTTAAATCAATCTGTCGAAAGTGGTATAATATTTCGAGGAAGGTATGACAGCTCTTCTATGAAAAGTTAATAGGATATAAATGTAAGGACTTACAGGAAAGTAATATAATAATAATTCTGAAATCAGTGTATCATCTAGCATAAAATCATCGATGATTAATAAATCCAAATAATATGCTTCTCCAAATGAATCCATCTATGATTCGCAACAATTCTACTCCAAGAACCCTAAGATGGATATATCTGCTACTCTTAACTATTGTGCCCTTTGTCTCTTCTACATTAGAGACGATTTATTGAAACAATAATTGCAAGTCAACAAAAACAATCATTATTTGGAATGCCAATTGCACACAATTTGTGCCTATTGCGTTAGTTATTTTATTACCCGTAAAAAAAGCAAAAAATATTATTGTGAAATATGTGAAAGACTGATAAAATGAATCAATATATGTTTATAAATTTCATTATAAATGTTCCATCCAATCCTTTGAACCATTAATCCAGCGCTCCTTATCACAAGTAGTATTGAGACTATTATTCCTGTACATCGTCGCCATTAGTAAATGCTATGTTCATTTCATTATTTACATCTGTAAACTTTCCGTTATGATTACTATCCTTTGGAACTGGGATGTATTGTTGCTAACTTCCTATCAGCTATCCGTGAGTTCTGTAGAATTGCTTAGCGTGAAGCTTCATAAATTCTATCGACTTCAATTCAATCATTACCTTCATCAGAGAGCTCCTATTAATTCGGCTATTGATTTGCACTCATTGAGAATTAGCAATTATTATATGAAATATATAAAATAATTATTTTTTATACATTAATGAACTGATTATGTATATCGCAATTATATAAATTCGAAATAATAATTATAGTATCTTAGATTTCCAATATCGTCATTCAGCATCAAATAGCCAAAAATCAATTTAAAATCATTTATCACAAATATACCAATTAAATTTATTTTCAATCCGAATTCCCTATGGGCTGTGCATAAGTGGTCAACACTACACATGAGATTTACGAGCCAATCATAGAAAGAAACTCTTCTAAAAGAACGACTTCAAAAAATGCAACTACTTGTCAAGACTCCCCAATAATATTTCCATTGAACTTACCTGATGGGTTTGGAAAATACAAGAAGAATCCTAGAAATACTGGGAGAAGGACTAAGTTAAGGAATACAATGAGAATAGAAATACAATTAGACAGTAGTAAAAATACTATCCTGTAAAGAAGAACAACATCTGCTTTAGTCTGAAAATGAATTGTATTTATCTCCAATCTATTATTCTAATCTATGATTTATAACAATAATCACTTATCTGGTCACTTGAGACTCAATCTTCGACATACAATTAAATTATTATATTGTATTCAACAAACCAGTATTTAAGTTTGAATTTCTTATAAATAATTTGATTTTCATCAATTTTTTTATAATCTGCCTGTTATTGGAGATTAAAGAAGAATTTAGATATTAATACATACAATCTGCTTTCATTTCTGCAAGATGAATCTGAAATCACAGAGTACATTACAATTTCACTGAAATATATACAGTATTGTCATTCATTATAGACTCAAATTGCATTACATTATAAAATTAATTTATTTTCATTTAATACTATATTATTACCTAGTAAGAACAGGCAAATATATCTATTGCTTAAGTCATATGTGATTTAAATATTAATTGACACATCGGCTGTTTAAAATTGAGAGTGAATGTGATTAGGAGTGAACAATAAATTATGTTATTAATGAATTTTATTGATTATATCTGTTAGCTCAAAGATAATATTATAAAAATTGAAGATTCTAATAAATGAAAAAAGGACCGGTCAAAAGGAAGTTTGAGAGTAAATTAGGTTGTTAATTTAAGGTTTTGGCTTTAGTTCTTCAAATCCTTATGACCAACGCGTTCAAAAAGAATTAGTGTTGCATATACAAAATCAGGTTCAGATAGGGAATGACTTCACCCTAAAGTTATATAGTTGGATGAAGATTTCAATTTTAAAGCAAAAAATACACAAGGCAACAAAACTTGATTTGGGTGATTTCAGGGTGCTATATAAAAATCAAGAGTTATAATTGAACAATTAAGATCTTGAAGTAATTCATATTCTATTGAGATAGGACTATGGAATCAAGAATCATGTGTCATTAAAGCTGGTGGCTCGTAAGTAGGGTTAGTAGACGTATTTCATCAATAGTCTTCATAATATATTGGAAGAGTCCAGAAGTACTCAAGAACAATTTTAAAATGCAAAATGGGCTGTCGAAGGAGCCTTCATGAAGGGAATCACCCCAAAATTGACTGATTTCGGAACACAGGGAACCTACATATTAGAAAATCAGAATCACAAACCAGTGGCAATTTTCAAACCTTATGATGAAGAAGCCTTTGCGTAAGTTCTAAAGTTATTGTGTAGCCCAAACAACCCGAGAGGAATGAGAGGGAAAATGAACTCTCCTGGACTCAGATAGGGCATCTTGTCAGGCGAAGGAGTAGATCGAGAAGTGGCTGCATACCTGATTGATCAGTCCTCTGGACATTATCATAATGGTAATGTTGAAGTTGAGTTAATTTAGTCCCTATAACTAATTATGTCCAAATCTGCCATCCGACATTTCATGAGGCAGAGGAATATAAATAGTTTTAGCATGAAAAAATACCAATCAAAGAAGGTTCGTTTTAATTATACATACCCCATGATGATAATGTCGGTAATTATGGGAGTGGGTTGTATCCATCAATGGAAGCCAGGAAGATAGCCATTTTAGATATAAGAATTTTGAATTGTGATCGCAACGAAGAAAACATTTTAGTGAGAAAAAAGTAATATATCTCTCTATATATTCTATAATAGAAAGCTTCCTTAAGCAAATGGATAAACCAGATAAGCTTTTGATTACTTTTTAATTCCAATTGATCATGGTTACTCATTTCCAGATTCATTTAAAATTTGTAGAGATGAAGTAGTCTGGTACCATTGGAATTAAATGACCTAACCATTTACTTAAGAAGAAAAACTCTTTATTGAAAGGATAGATCCAGAGAAGGATATTAAGATGATAAAAGAAAAAGTATAGTTAAGAGAAATTTGCTTAAGAAATGCGAAGATAGCCACTATTCTCTTGAAAATGGGAGCAGCAGCTGATTTAACTATTCATGATATAGCGTAAGAGATTTACTTTTATATGTAGTGAAATTCTGTATCGAGAAGATCCTGATGAATTGTCTCCAATTGAAAAGGCTGTCCAGACTGCAGTAGATAATTATAAGTATTTTCAATTACATTATTATCAGTAATAATGTTAGAGTGCCAAAGGGGTTTTCAAATTTTAAAGAAAAGTTATTATCAAACAATCTTATTTAAAAATCTTTGGAATTTGAATCCTCAAACTTAAATAATTTGGATAAACCTTAAATCAATTAGCCTCTACTGAAATTATAAATTATAAGAGATGAGGAGGAGAACAAAGACACAAATGAGAGAGAGAATAAAACCTAATATTCTGATAAAAAGTTAACCAGAGCTGGCTCTCAGTAGAACATAAAAAGCATAAAAAAACCCATTGAAAAAGAATGGAATGAAGAATTCTATGCTCATATCTCTTACTTACTTTAATAACTAGTAGAACATAAATAATCAGAGAAAGTACCTTCTCCAAGGAAATACAGGCCCAGATATATCAGTGAAGAAGTCAAATGAGAATTAAATTATTTAATATTCCAGGAAAATTATCGTTATTATATCAAAATTGTATTGACTTATAGGTCAATAGAAATTGTCATCGCTGTCAACTTGATTCTTAGAAACCAAGAACTTTTGATTCGAATCCAAATAACTATAATAGGAAATGAGAATTGAACCTATTGCTATAATCTAATTCATGATGTTAGTAGTTTTATTGTATCATCTATTCATCTTCCTTGATTAATTCTAAATCAGTATATTTTTCTGATTATAGAACCTCAATTCTGATCTTTTTTTATTGAATTTACGGTTACTCAAGATTGTCATTTTCTGAAAATTAGTTTTATTCAATTCTCAGTGGCTTATTATATAAAATAGCTTCCAAAATTCTTTTTTGTTAAATATCATATTCATTCAGAGTTGAAAGACTAGAGTAAAGAATGCAATAGGATACCCTTCTCTTTAGAATTTTAACTTAATTTAGTTGAATTTATACGAGAATTCATTCTACTTCTTTTTCATACCACTGTTCCAATGATTCTTGATTGAATTATCTGTTCGACCAATGATGTGTTTGGCGATTTCAGACCATTTGTTACCTGTAAATATTGAAAATACATGGTTACGAAAGACTTTGTGGTATAGATATAGAATCCATTCTTCATCTTCATCCCAAGGAGATCTTTTTATCGATGGATTTAAATGATTATGCCATCTAAAAAGATGAGTAATGGCATGAACCTTTCTCTACATTGCTTTCCTACTCTGCCTTGCAAATATTGGGCGATTTGGGTCCATTTTTAAGGACCAAAAGTTTGAATCAATTCAAGAACTTTCATATCCTCATCTTCACTCCAAGGTCCTATGTGAGTATGAAGGTTAGTGCTTACTCTTTCGAATGACTTTAGGGTTGTTGGTTATATTTTATTTCATTTAAATTAACTAAAAAAGTAATGATAATTTAAGAAAGGGAAAATGTATTTTTATTTCTTTTTTTTATAAATATTTTTAATTATATTTTATAAATAAGATAATTAAAAATGAGCGATGATATATTAAGCAAGAGTAATTTGGGGGAATTTGGCGAAGTAAGTTTTCAAATAGGTTTTTACTCTAGGACATAGATTAATAGTTATATGAGAGATGCGAGTAGTTTTGTCAGAAATTGAGACGCACAAATTAATAGCTCTACAAGTTTTATTTTGATCAAATTCTAGGCAATTTTCAAATATCGTTAGTTAAAATACACGTATAGCTAAGGAGCAGTTGGGATAAATGTTGGGCGAAGAACCAGAACTCTTAAAGGAAGTGAATGGTTTATTGGAAGATGATGTTAAATTCAAGACTCAGAAGGAGAAATTGACTGAATTCGTGAACAACGAGACCAATTAGAGTAAGGCAATGGAGACCATATTAAAATAAATACAGAATGGGTAATTGGATGGCCATCAGAATAAAGATCACATCTTGGATTTATTCAGCAATGATCCTCAATTGCAATAGTAATTCCTGCAGAGTTTCAAAAAGAAGCACGAGTAGAATCCCCCAAAAAAGAAGGTTGAGGAGAATAGGAATTATTTCTAAAGACTCTTGGACAAGAGTGGAATAGCTGTTATTGATATGGTAAAAATTGATTAATTAAAATAGAATGAATTACTATTTTGGGATAAATTTAGATTGAGAGTGATCCAGTAATTCCCTAATGACCATTAACAGTACATGAATGAGTTCCTGAAGGTAATTCATCTCTATTCTGAATGCATAATCACTCAGATGGAAGTTATGGAATTGATTAATCAATAAGGCTGGTTGGAGAGAGAATACATTGACGATATAAGATCAATGTTAACGACCAGAGTCATAGCTAGAAGAATACAAACGCCATTATTCAAACCATTGAAAGATACTGATTTTGCTTAGGTTGACAGAGTGACTAGATCCTATGTGAGAATGCCAATAGGATATGCTAAGGCAAACAACAATCCTGAGATTCTTAATCATTCATGGGTTTCTGTTCCATTTGGTTCTGAAGATTAATCATTCTTGATTATGAGGAAAAACACCTTTGAGGAGCAATTGTTTAAAAGTGAAGATGAACGCTTTGAATTCGATGTCAACATCTAATAGATCAAAAGAACTATTAATCTACTTCAAGAAATCATTGATGGAAATAAGGGTGAGTAAGCTTTAGTGACCAAAGTTATTGACATGAGAATTTTATAGTAATTGTATAGAAATTAGACTCAAGATCAGAACGAAATCATCTAATTGTTTTAATCAAAACCTGTAGAAAGTGCTAAGATTTTGATTAAGAGAGTCAAGTAGAAATTAAATGAATTGGTACAAGCAAGGAATACTAAAGCTAAATAAGTTTGGGATACAGTCTCTACAATTAATTTTCATCGATCATTGGATCATAGATCTTTCTATTTCAAAAAGAATGATAAATTGGTAATCAATGGATAGAGATTTGTCAGAGAAATTGAAGAATATGCCAAAAATGTATTAATTAAATTCCTGGGAACTAAGGATCATGTATTCATTAAAAGAAAAGCTGATATCATTTAGTTCACCTTTGATGAGTCATTTTTAAATTCCTTAGCTTAAATGACCAATATCAAACCATTCCTACCAAAACAAATGCCATTGGCAGCTCCGACAAAAGAAAATGTCCGTTTTTGTCCACTTATTTCACTTTGGATGGGTAATGAACAAATACTCTAAGAGTGTGGGCAATTTGTTATCCATTATCTATAAATTATGGGTGGGAATAACTCATTAGATAAAAGAAATGGTACATTCTTGATGATTAAATTGATCAATCACTTTTTTTAAGTTCCTATGAAACCTATGTAAATATCTGAGTTGATATTAAATGATACTAAATTAAAGACAGAAATAACAGAGTTAGAAATATATGATATTCATTATAATCCTGAAGAGAATACAGTCTCAATTCCAGAGATAGAGAATGAACCTCCAGGACACTTTTTAAATTTACAACCTAGAGTGAAGTCTACAACTTATGTTACTCAAAATTTGTACATCTTATTGAGATTTTTGCATACCATATATCAGAGATTAGAGATGGCCTACATAATCAGTAAACAGAACACTCTTGGAAAGGATAGGAGATACAATTTATTTAAATCAGCACTGTTCCTTTCTTTGAAGGCCAAAGACTTTAAATATGAAGATCATTTAAGAAGCTTATTTGGAAAACATGTAAATATAGTTATGACTCTAGGGTTTCATATTTTCGACATTAGAAAAGGTGCTTCATGATGCTGCCAAATAGTTGGCAATCTGTGCTTCAGATGCAGTGACAACTAGTTATTTTGAGAAGTCTGCTTCATACAATGGAGACATTGATAAATACTTTTAAGTAGTATCAGGAATAGTCAATGGAGAAGGGATCAAGGTATCTGATCTGGAGGCTGAAGTGTATTACCAATTTTAGACACTCTAAGAAGAAGAGATGCTGTTAAGATTGCATGAGACACTTCAGAATTGCAAACCAGAGAAGAAACCCATATACAGAGTAAGATGATTAAGTATTCATTTTTAGATTGCATGTTGGCATAAGGCGTGTTTCATATCGATGTTGCCAGGATATGGAGGTCACAATCAAGAGAAATGTACTTCTTGGAAACAACCCTTTTTGATGAGAAATATGATGAGAGGATAGAGGAGAATGATGATTAGAAATGGCATTGAATGGATGGTAGATGAGATGTGTCATTTCAAACCTATTATCAATCATGGAGAAGATTACTTAAAGTGTGTATGATTTCATAGCAACAAATTTATTAATATATCTATTAAATTACAAAACTATCATAATTATCAAGCATCCACCCATAGCATCTCTCCTATCTTACCTATTATGGCTGGCAATGATTGATTTCTCCACTATTTCTATACACTCAACTCCTCCATTATTATGTATAGATTTTGAATCAACAATCCAAAACTTTATTTCAACACCTTCAAACTCGACGGTTTTTAACTAAACAAATACAAAGTGCTAGTATATTCAATTACATGTACTCATTTTATTATTGGATGTAACTCTTACTCCCCTTGAATTTAAATTCATATTTCAATGTCACGCCCTTAATCTTTGCTATCTACTACAACAGTAAGCCTAAATAGCCCAAAGATGTAGCCAGTTGATCCTCATCTTAACTCGACATATTCAATTGACCATCATTCAGAAACTTGATCTTGTGTAATCCCCACAAGAGTCTCTAATTTTCCTTGTCAAAGAAAATCGTACATAACTACAATAGAAACAACCGCTTTATTCCTTTAGCCACTGTGCTTCTAATCTATATCGTTTCCCTTAAGAAATAGAAGGATAACTCACTCTTTTTTTTGACATGACTTAAAATCTTCCTTCAATTTATCATTGAATTTATCAATCCAATCAGCTCTCTCTTTATACACTCGCTATTATTCAGCACAATATTGCTAATTCTTTGTGATTTCTTAACTCTCCTTATCCATCTGTTTCTATATTTCCTTCTTCTTAATCTCAAATTCAGTGCTCAAACACTTAACATTATAAGCATCGCTTTGTTTCTTCGACCCTTATTCCATATAGCTCAACAACTAATTCAACTCCTCCTCTAAAGCAATCCTTTGATTCCTCAAGCTCTCCTTCCTCTCTTTTAATGATTATAATTCTTATAACATTAATAATTATAATCTCTAATACAGATAAATCAATCTAACTCTCTCTCATAATAAATATTTTTTAAATCAAATCATTAAATGTACCATGACTACACCTTAGAATCTATACAGAGTCTCACTATTTTTAATCTTTCTTTCTAAATTAAGTCATTTACAATACTATAAATCAATATCAATAAAAATTAAAACTAAAAACTGATGCTTGATTATATCAAGGAAAAGAATAATATCATCATTACAAAATAAAAATCGGGGAATTCGCTCTACTAAAGCAGCGAGTCTAGTCCAATCAATCTCTTAGGGAATCACAAAAAATAAAGATTCCCAACCATCTCGAATGCATAATTAAAATCTGCCATTGAGTAAAATTATTTGGAACCTGGTCAGAAACATACTATCATTAGAAATCCTAATTAGTTAACTGTATTCCAAATGCAATTTGATATGAACTCACCTAGGACTCAAGCGGCTATGGAAATGCTTAAAATACACGAGGATGATCTTAATGTGTAGGAGTATGCCAACTTTTATTAAAAGAAATTGAGTCAACTCTAGAACCTTGTCCAATATTTACAATATGTATCTAATAAATATCAAACATTAAATGACCTTTTAAAGCGAAGAAATCAAATCAAACATATTCAATCTGAAGTTACTAAACGTTTAAACTCTAAAGATATCAAGATTAAAGATTAGTCTCTAATTGCTGAGTAACCTGAACCCAAGAATACTTAAAGGGAAGATTCATAGATCTCTGTTATTTTAAATGCAGATCAAAAAAAGGAATTATTCGAAAAAAAGATAAATAAAGAATCTGAAAATTACAACAAGTACAGTGTTCATCTATATTTCATAGATTTCTAAATATTGTTTAGGATTAGGTTAATAAATAGGAGGAATACTACAGTAAGACAGCCCCAGAAATCTATGAAAAAGCTGAGCAACTCAAATAAAAGAAATTAGATTAAATTAAAAAGAAATTGAAAAGAAAGAATCAAAAAGTAGATTAGATATGTCAAAAAATTAAACAAGAGGAGTAACTATAATATAGAAAGCATAAGAAGATTGTTTAAGAATTAGAAAAAGATCTGGATTAACATTTTGAGAGAAAACAGAAATTACTCTTATAATCATAGGAGGAACTGGTTGATCAATTAAAAAAGAAAGAGGAAAAAGAGAGAGAAAGATAATTGAAGAGACAAATCTAAATAAGTTTGGAGCAAAGTATGATTAACTAAGTGATGGAGTCCATGAAAAAGAAGTCTGACTATTTGAATGATTATTTGAATAGAAAATAATTAGAGGATAGAAAGAAATAATAGCAAAGTTTGAAGATGTTCGAGGAAAAATAAAAAAAATTATAAGAATCTTCTGCACAAAAGGAAAATGAATATGTCAAAATGTATTTTAGTAAATCAACATAACGATAAGTAATATTAAGTGTATATTAATTAGATTTAACTTAATAAACATGAAATTTCATAAATAAAACAATAAAAAAGCCTATCCATGAAAAATAGTAGGATTATGTAAAAGTACGAACAATACTAAGAGTCCCTCGATTAGAAAAGATCTGATTCCCTTATTTCGAAACTTCAAGAAGCTGATGATAAACTCGAAAATGGCTTGAAGAGGTAATCATGATATAGTATTATTATCTATAGACATTAGTCATTATTGGATTTACGAAAATAGAATCTATGTGAGAAAAATGAACATCGTTTTAAATTGGCTAAAGAAAAATAAATGGAAAATATGTTGGAAAAGATTCATAAATAAAACAAAATTTTAGAAAAAAATCTCGAGATTTCGCAAAAAAATGAAAAAAATAAATAAGAATTAGAATTTTTGGAGAAATACAAAAAAGAAATAATGTTAGATAAATTAATATAAAGAAACCAAAAAATATAGAAATTATAATCTTGAATTATTTAATGTTTTTTGGTTTATAATAATTTGGTTATAAAATGTTCTATTATAATTTGAATTTAATTAGTGCTTCTCAACCTATATGTTATAAATTATCTAGTTTTATGAACGAATCAATTAGAAGCACACTAAAAAAGGTATTAGAAATGTAACTTGATTGCACGTAAATACTAACAACAATTCTATTTAAAAATAATGATACGAATAAAGATGTAGAAATTCGTACAACCAAATAATTACTTGAAGAACAGAGGAATTAGATTGACGCAGGTGATCAAAAACGCAAGAAAACACTTCTCAATAATGAAAAATCATTAGATATGACCAAACAAAAAAACTCAGATTAACCATTAATTTAAGATACTAATGTTCAACTCAGTTTTTCTCCTGAAGAATGCTATTCTAAATTGAATAATATGATATCAGAATTTAGGGAGAGAAACTCGCTAGCTACGAAAATTCTCAATTTTGATTTTGAGTACATAAAGGAATACCATAGTAGAAACAAATTCAAGGAGTTAAGAAGTAAGGTCAAGCTCGTGATAAACAGAATTCAAAATAAGAGGACTATGATCTCTATTGTGAATGGCAAGAGGATATATTAATGTCCTTCATGCAATTTTTAGGGGTTTTCTAGTGTGTATTATCCTCATATTTTGAAGAAGCATTGTTAAAATTATTATATCTTCTGTTGTTTCTTATGTTAGCAAGATTTCTCATCCTTTACTGTATTAAAAAAGCATCTTAAAAAATATCATATGGAAGCATTGAACACGAGTTCAGATATAGAAATAATAAGGGTGCAATAGGATGAGAATGAAAATGATTTAAGTATTAGCATTTGAATGTTTTGATTTCTATATTACAATCGAGGGTACCTTTTAAAATTCTATGAGCTCATATCATCTATATACATATTATAATTTAATTAAAACTTAATTATTATGTCTGAATACTTTAGAAAGTATATCAAGAAGGAGAATTACCCAAATCATTTGTAATTATCTCCTTATCTATTCTTTTTAGCTCAAATATCAAATACAAGACGTCTTTTAGGAATTGCATTTTAGAAGTATGACTGTTTATGAATCTTCAATAGGCATTCAAACGTAGAAATTGGAAGGAGACAGATGGTGATGATTGGGATATCATGTGGGCTGAGAAGGAGTGGATACATGAAGTGATGGATCATATTCATCTTCAACCTCACTAAAAAATTAATCATTTTCGCAATCACTATGAAGTATCATAGTATTAATAATTAGCTAACTCGAAAAGATTTGATGATCAAAAATCTGAAAAAATAAAGGAGAATGTTGGAGAAGGAAGGCAAAACAGATGAAGCTAATTCGTATCATATTCCTTTTAACGACTTAGTTATAATTTTTTCCCACTTACATTTCATCTACCTAGTGAATACCCAATTTTTAATGAAGAATTCAAAAAGCAGGGGGATAACAAAACTGCTTGGATCATGAAACCAGTATGTTTTTACATTATATAATTTAAAGATAGGAAAATCATAAGGGAGAGGCATATTCTTGTTTAATAAAATACAACAAATTTCTTAATGGAAAAATCAAGTTAAATTTAATCCAGAAAATCCATCAGCTGAGTCCTACATAGTCCAAAGATATATAGCAGACCCTCTCTTGATTGGAGGGAAAAAGTTTGATGCTAGAATATATTTATTATGCACATCTTATTCCCCCCTGACTTTGTACTTATATAGAACTGGTTTTGCTAGATTCACTCATCATAGATATGACAATGAGGACATTACCAATACTTGTATATAATTATAAACTAAGATTAGATGTTCATTTAACTAATGTGGCAATCTAGAAGACATCTGATAATTATGATGAAAAGTTAGGTGGCAAATGGGATCTATAAAAATTGAAATTATTTTTGATGACTAAGTATGGATAAGACAAGGTTTAAGAATGTTTCTATAATATCCAATAATTAATGATTAAATCCTTGTTGGCAGTATAAAAAATAATAATTAACGATAAACACTGTTTTGAACTATATGGATTTGATATACTATTTGATTCCTCTTTGAAACCATGGTTATTGGAAGTAAATGCAAGGTTAATGTTATTTAATTTAATAAAGTCCCTCAATGACTTCTAATACACCTATTGATTTCGAATTAAAGTGTGGATTACTTGATGATGTTTTTACAATAATAGATCTCGAAAAAATACTAACTGGAAATGAAGAATAAATAGGGGGTTTTGATTTAATTTACAAGGGAGGCCCTATCAAATCATAATATTACTCCTCATCAATCTCCTTCTTAGGTACATTTAATAATAGGAAAGCACACTTAAAGAAATTAGCCAAAAATTGTGGTATTTTATTCTTTAATAATTAGCTCTAAGATTAAACCAAACTACTCCATAATTAAAGAGTTCAGAAGGTACCAAAAAAGAGAAGGATAAAGATAAAGATGATAAACAAATGAGGAGTGCTTCAAAAAGTTCTTAAATCAATTAAGTAGTTTACCATCACTATCTTAGAATTCAAACATATAGAATAAAATAGCTGCTCAACCAAGAGGGATTACAAATATCAAACGAACTTCAACCGACTTACCGATCTTAATGAATAAGTAGAATTCTATACGCAAAGAGGCAAACCTTAATAGTTAACAAAAATAAACTATCTCCATATAATAAAAGACGGAATTAGAATTCAACTAAAATAAAGTGTATCTATTATTATACAACAATTTAGATTCTCTTAATTAAATAATTCTGCTCTCAGTCCTTATTAATAAGATGAAAGTGTTACAAACAACAATAGAGTTATAAAGAATAGTTTTTAAACCTTGCCTAAGATTGCTAAACCAGAATCCTTTATATAAAATGCATGAATTGGGAAACATAGAATAATTATTTAAATTTGTAATTTATAAGATTATATTGTTAACTACTACTTTTTCATATAATTTTATCAAACTCATGAACATATCTTAAGGAATTTTAGATCAAAAATTCTGAATTCAAGGGATTCTCTAAATTTTGAGCCTAATTTTAATTAATTTGGAATTCCTTACATTGTCAAAATAAACGTGATGATTGTCAAATTTCCATTTGAAATGTTATTTCTAAGCAAATTGCTACAATTCTTAAATGCTTTTAACATTGAATAATTTGATGGCATTTTCAATGGTTAAACTCTTGTATGATGCATTGGCACTTAAGGCGGTTTGTAATCTAAATTCACAAATTCAAATTACCTAATAGTGTCCATAATTCTTTCTAAGAATACAGTCTCAATTCCTGTTGGATGATAATCACCTAAAAGATCAGAATAACTTCCTATGCTCAATTTGTATTCCAATTAAAGCACAAAATGAACAAATGGGTTTGAAAATGTATCCTTTGGTAATAATTCAATTTGGGAATAATATTAGGCAAATCTATTAAATCATTTACAAAATATGGATACTTATTAAAGGACAACAGGTAAATCAAGTATATACCAGTATAGTGAGCTTTATCTCTGCTTTCTAGGCCTTAATTATAAAATTTCATCAATCTTTCTATTGCTAATTCAAAATTTTCAATTTGTTTTGAAATCAATAAATAGGTGACTTCCAACTCACAGAAATGTACTAATGATATATACAAATAATTTACAGGCGTGCTTTTCTGTAGCCTATCTATTTGCAGCCAATTCATTAAAAATTTCAAGCTAGACATTAGACTATATTTGAATACTTTCAAATGCTTTAAATTTTAAGGAATCTGAGGATTGTTAGGGTCAACCTAGATGCTGGAGGATAACAATTGCAATTTTTGCTCCATATTTTGAAAAAATAATTAATTAATGTAATACTGGTGTTGCATATATTAAAATAGATGTATATATAAAGAAATGAACTTAATGAAATAAAATAATTAATATGAAATCATTGAAAATTGAATATCATTTTGCTTCTCATACTATAGTCACTAATAGCAATTATTTTGAAGTTAAACAACAATCAATTTATGCCAATTTCATATGATCCTGTACTAGGTAATTATGATTTATTCAATTTTAATGGCTGCACAATTTGAAAATTTAATTAATATTATCTTATTCAACTGATTATTGGCCTCAGTAAATTAAGTCTAAATTTAAGATATATGATTGATTTATTTTAATTTGATTAATCTCAGATATTATATCTTTTCTTTATCGCTGTTAATTTTGAATTGCATATGAAAAGTAGTTAGACTGACAGATATCATTCTATATTTCAAGAATCTTAATACAAATGCGCACTCTTCAGAGGATTTGAGAGATTCTATTAAATGTTAAGGAAAAACTATGTTCTGTAAATGTAGATCTACCTAAAAACAGATTGATATTAAAGTAGATGTTAACTCAAAGTACTATGGTCTGTAAGAGTTTAATTAATTAATCAAAGTTCACTTTTTGAATTATCAGAGAAACAAGTATAAATTTAATACTTCAATTAAATGATTAGATTAGTCCTATTGGAACAATAGCCTAAATATCTTTAATAATTCAAAAGTAAATAAAATACTTTTTAATTATTGAAACAAATAAATATCTAATCCTTCAACCACTCCAAGCAATCAGAAGTGGATAATTTCTTTAAATATATCACATATCAATTATAGCCTATAAATACATTTCAGAAGCAAAGATGATCAAAAAAGACATATTTCTCTTTTATCCTTATAGCTATATAATCCACTAGAACAACGGCAGAATCATTTTATTAATAATATTTGATTATATACTAAGTTTGTTTTATTATTTAGATTATATTAAATTGCCCTCATTTATATATGTCGTCTATGTAGTTTAGGATGAAGAACTCCAGACCCATAACCACAAATGGTACAAGAATGATGGAGAGTAGCGCCAATATGGGAAGTAAATTAATGTATAATTATGACCATCCAATAAGTAAATAACTTACAAGTCCTAAATTCTCATGTGAATATGAAGTTACTCAAGAAGAAATTAGACAACTTAAATTATAACTAAATGCATCAAAAAAAGAGTCATCCTAAGCTAAATCTCGAATCTTATATTTAGAAGTATCAAAAATATTCATATTAGAAAGAATTACAAAGATATGAAAACTTAGTTGAAGAACATAGTAAAACTGCCAATAATAATGACACAACCAAGTTAGTGATTGAAAAAGCTGCAATTGTTCAAAAATTAAGAGCGAAACATAAACAACTGGTCCAAGAATTGCTTGAAAAAACTAAAGAAATAGCTTAATTAAAGAAAAGCACTAAATACACCACAGTCCAAGAATTAGAAGTATCTACATCTTACACTTTAGATTGAAGTTCAAAACTATGGGGAAGAGAATTAAAGACTAAGGGAAAAACTAGAATATTACCAATCTATAGTAGATCTTCGTAGTAGCAAGGAACCTTTGGAAAAGAAAATTATCCAATATGAAAAAACCTACAAGATCATTCACAAAGATAATTAGGAATTACTTAATTAAATCAAGTAATTAGAAAATTAAAATAAGCAACAGAAGGTATTATATCATCCAACTATTTTTTTCAGTAAAAAATAGAGCAATTAAATAAAGAGATCTCATCTCAACAAACTGAAATATATAAATATCAAGAATCCATCAATGAGTTGTAATCATACAACGAACGTATTCAAGCAATGTTGGAAGAAGAAAAACAAAATGAATAGCAACCAAGTGAAGAGTTACGGTAAGAATGTTTTTAATAAATTGAAACCTTGAAAAGTAAACATACTGAAGAGCTAGAGTAATAATTCCATTTTAAATTAGTGAAAAAAATAAGGAAATCAGAGACTTAAATGCTGAGATATATAAATAGACATTGCACATCCAAGAACTTGAAAAACTACTTGAATAGTATGAAGAATCAATTAAAGAAAAGCAATCCTCTAATTAATCCCCTATGCAAATTTAAAAAAGCTTTTGATTAGATATATGAAATTTAATCCACTTATTTCATTTATTTATTAATATTCATCATTGTTGAAATTTTTGATATCTGAGAATTATGTCAAAGAGAATTGCATTATTCAAATATTTTATATATCTCCTTTAAATTAAAATAAACATGATTATTCATTTTTATGTTATAAGAAATTTAAAGGAGATATTTCATCATAACCAACTTAAAGAAAAAATATCGTAGATTTTTGGAAACTGCTTTCAACTTAGATATCAAGTTCTTAACGTTATAAATCATAATAATTTTATGGCTGATCAAAAATTATTTAATATTAGATTGTATCAGGGGAAGGTAAGACTCATATAAATGGATTAAGAATAAATTAGTTCATTATGTAAGGTTGGGTTCCTAATTTTAAAGAATGTATAAAACGATTACTATAAGGACATTATAACAAGAAATCTAATTCTATAAGAAGAACAGCATAAAATATTGAGTATGCAAAATATAAATTCAATGTAAATATAGTTGAGTAGATGAAAATTATTTGGTTATTTCTGATTATAGCATTTCTATTAGTATAAATAAAAGTTAAAAGAGGAAAATAGAAATGGCATGTTTGTTGAATAGTTTTATTTAGTTTTTGGAATTCTTTTGATTTGTAAGTGAAGATAGAATAACATTTAAAAGCGACTTTACATATAATATTTCAGAATTATTAACATACAAATAGAGTTGTTATCTACAATGTTACTAATATTTAGTTCTTATCATTGTTAGAGGAAATAATAACACTAGACCTAATAAATATGCGAGATGTAAATTCTCTTATATTAACTTCGGATCTAATAACTGTACAACTAGAGTCTCCTAAAAATGATGAGTAATTATGCACAAAGCGCTTTCCATTTGAAAAACCTTAAGTTATTACGAAAAATAATATTTTGAACTTTTTTATAATAAGTTATTACATCATTAAATTTTATTAATAAATAAGTTAACTATGAGAACGTAAATAAAATATCCTTAATTCTTAGACACTAGGAGAATCAGTTAATTTCCACAGTGCAAATGTAAGTCTAAAGAATTAGGAAAAAATATCCTATCTAAATACATTTAGAATCTTTTGTTTAAGAAGTTCAACAAATATTTTAACTTGAAAATCAAGAAATCATACAAAAACAAATACTTAACATACTTCATTAAAATAAAATTCTAAGATCGTCTGTTTAAATTAATTAATTTAGAATATAAGAAAAATAAATCATTTTAAAAGCTCACACAATTTATGTGAAAATAAATTAAAATGGTAGATTCATGTATCAAAACAATGAGTTAAATATAGTTTTCTAAATTTTAAATAACTTTTGCATATATCATGGTTAAGTCTTGAACAAAAAACCAAATGGTGAAGGGTGCTTCAAGTGGATTAATGGTGAATAATATATTGGTCAATGGTTAAATGCATAGAAACACGGGATTGGCTAATGGATTGGACTAGAAGGAGATACATATATAGGATAATGGGTCAATGGTTAATAGGATGGTTTGGGAGAACATAAATGGAATGGAAATGTCTATTTTGGTTAATGGACTAATTCAGCCAAGAATGGATATGGGATTGAGTAATTCTTAAACGGTGATAAGTACATAGGAAATTATTTTTATGGTAAGCCTCAAGGCAATGGGGAATATAGGTGGTTGGATGGTTCAATATATTAAGGGTAATTTTTAGAGGGGAAAAGACATGGACATGGAATGTGGAGTAACAAACTTGGATCATCTTATGAAGTAAAATTAATATTTTAAATCAGGGAGATTATGAAAATGATTTAAAAAATGGGAAGGGTAAATTGATTTATCAAGATGGAAGTTATTATTTTGGTTAATTTGTAAATGATATGAGAGAGGGTTAAGGAACGTATCATTAAAGCAATGGAGTGATAATTGATGGATTATGGAAAGAGAATAGATTCATTGGGAGTAATAATAATGATTCGAATCGGTAAAGGAAGGATTAATCGTAAGCAGAATAAAATCAGCGGAATCTGATTTTCGCTCTAAACAATTGGCAAAATCAGAAATTTAATCTGCAATTGAAATAAGAATCGAAATTAAATTAAAGCAATAGGGCAAACTCAACAAATTAATAAAGAGCATCTAGAATGTCAAGATGTTAGAGGAATCCCAAATCGAAATCTGATGATTTGTAAGGCATTTCAATAGATGAGGCAGAGAGAACAATAAAGAAGAAGAAAAACTATAGGTCTTAGTAATCAAATTATTTATTGATTAATAACAACAAAAAATCGATAAAAAATGTATTTGAATTTTGATGAATATATAATTCGACAACTTATATTTAGGATAGGCTAAATTTATTTAATAACATTATTATTATTCTTTCATTTTTTCAAACCAGGTGAATTTGAGGTTTAACTAGAGAATTTAGCGATATATTATTTACTTCATTAGTTTTGCTTTATTCAATGTTTAAGCCTAATCTTAATCACCTTTTTCTGCCTTGCTCTTATCGGCTAAATTATAAGAATTAAGGATTTACCCTCACTCATCGGTCCTAATTACAGATCCTTCAATCTCTTTTCTATGTTGACTTCGGCTGCAATTTACTTAACTTGATTCCATATTTGAGAGTCCTTTCCTAAACTGATTAACCAATTTTGTTTTTGCTATATGAATCAAAACGAATATGTTACTAGTAAGAAGATTTGTTATGGTCCCAAAATACTTCCTGGTCTACAAATACGGATCCAACCTATAAAATCTGGAGCAGGGAATCTATTCGATATTAGAGATGGCATTACCTATAATGTTTGATCACATATGCTGCAATCAATGTTCCTGTTCTACCCAATCCTGCTTTACAATGTACAGCCACCACATTCTCTTTTTCAGCTATCTCAAGGAATCTCAAAATCTTATCATCTCCTGGGACTGATCCATCTAGAAAGTAGATTTCTTCATGTTTTATGCCATTTTTTATAAATCTTTACTCCTCATAAGCCTTCTTATTCAATCTGACAACACAAGTCACTCCAAATTACTTGAAGATGGGCACATATTCTTCAGGAGTGAATGTACGATTCTAATTAGAGATAGGTCACTTACTCCATCAGCGTCTTTCTATGTTGCAGATGGCCCTGAGAAGGCTATGAATTTATTGGGAACAATCCAATTTAAATCTCCATTCTCGACTCTTTCATAAAATTCATAATCTCTAAGATTGAATTTCCTAACATCGAACCATTTCAATTTAATTGCATATTCCAAGCCTCTCAAACAATGTAAAATCTATATGGATACACAGATTAATATACCGTGCATTTATAAGTACATTATCCGTAACTTGCATCTCTGAAATCTTGAAAAGCGGGCTTTACGGATTGGAATGGTTTCCATGCATCGTCTGCACTCAATTTCAAGATGATCACTTGAAAGGCACCCATCAAATAGGCAGCATTGGCTCTTTTAGCACTATCCAAACTTGTATAGTGATAGATGGCATATTGTTGATATGTCCTATCACTAAGCAATTTCTCCAATTCAGTCACGAATCTGTAAGTGTGGCCTAAATTCAATGGACCGAAATCTGCAAAAAAGGGCTCGTACACAAGATCCTTAAAACAGATTAGACTCCATCTCATACCTGATCAATGCAAAAATAGAATGCATTTGGCTGATTTCTTGGGGCTTGGCGATCAGAAATCCAATAGAGTTTGTCTCAGAATACAAAAGAGATATTACCTTTAATGATCTCAACCGATCCTGGAATCGGAGCTTGATTTTGATTAGGCTACATAAATATAATATAATCTCAATATTGTTATGATTAATTTAATTATAAACTCATCTTTTAAATACACTCCATCCTTATCTCATTCACGATCAAATACACCTCATTATCCATATCCAAACTAAGCTCGTCAAACATCAACAAATACTATCAGCTATTCTAAATATACTATTTAAATAAAAACCTATGAACTTCTTTAATAGAAAAAAACCTTGCAAGGAGCCCAATTATTCCTGAAATGCATCACCTCGAATAAAAGATTCTTCAAATATTTTGAATTGCTATTAGTTTACTCTTTAAATCACCATAATTTCTATAAACACCCTAGATAAAGTTATAATTTCTAATATAGAACTTTATTGCATTATTCAAATCTCTATTAATCTAAGTCTTGCTCTCCTCGAAAGCTTCATCATTCTGAATAGCCTATTCCAAGAAGGCTTTTAGCACTTCATAGCAATTATCAAGCAGTTCACAGACAATTTATCTGAAAGAATGAGTTTCAAAGATCATTTTCATCATTTTTAGAACAATTCTTCATTATAAAATAATAGAAATAAAAGATTGACTTTATATGAAAATGCATATTTTAATCAAATTTATTTCAAACACCATATAATAATAGAATTATAAATTAGCTCAAAAATTAATTATTATATCTAAATTCCCTTAAAAATGATATTTATATTAAATTTAGGTATTTTTAGAACTGATTACATATCAACTAAACTTTTTTTAATTAGAGTTTACATAAGTTTCATCAATTCATTTTAAATGATGTCTTGATTCTATATGAATAATCATTTTTAATTCACTTTTTATTAAACAACTAATTTACTATTAAGCATAAATTTAAGTTCTAGTAACTAAGATTCTCTTTCTCCTACATACTTTCCAAGTTGTATTCAATATATAGAGTCGATTAAAATTTGAATAATAATAGTTTTTCTCTTAAACAAAAATTTAAATATAAAATATGATATATAATTCACATAACTAATTCCGAACTTACTTAAATGAAGATATAAGGAAATATTATTTTACAACAGCCCCTTGAAGTATCTTAATCTTAACACAATATTAATCATCTTATATTAAATGATTACATCTCAAATCTTTTACATCTGTATAAAATTAGCATTAATTAAACTTACATTTAAAACACTGTTTATAACATCATCAATTAAATTAGGTCTATATAAATATATAACTTTATCAAATATAAAGAAAATTTAGAATTACTTGGAAATAATTATTTATATTATATAAGTCTTAAGAATATGAATCAATGAATTTTACGAAACGATATAATTTGTGTATATTAACTAGATTAAATGTAATTAATTTTTCTCTGTAAATAAAATGGACATCACAGATAAATTTTTTTAAATAGCTGGAACATCTTCATTAAAATAGAGTATCTATGAAAGCGAGTCTGACTATTTTAATAGTTACACATAGTAGATAGTATGCAAATGAGCTTAATTTTAGTATAGCATGGTCATTACAATAATCTAATTTATGGAAATACAGAAGGACAAATATATTGCTAAATCAAATCTGTATGGACATCCTTTTTCTGAAAAGGAGAGAGATGATTTTGACCATGAAGTGCAAACTAAAATTAGTTTATGTTCGGAGAAGATAAAGGGTATTTAAGAGATGCTGAAATTATCAAAAACAAAGACAGAATATGCTCATAAAGAAATAGTGTTAGGGTGTCTGATTTGTGAATTAAATAAGGGTATTCTTCTATTCAAGGAATTTAAACTATTTCGACAAAGACAAAAGGAAAGGATTTCATAGTTGACAAAATTGAGCAAAGTGAATTCCAAGATTGATAAAAGGTCAGAAGGATAAGTTCCAGTTTCAAGTGAATAAAAAAACGACCCTCTTTATCAGGAGAATCAACAATTATTAAAGAAATACGATAATGAAATGAAAGATATTCTGAGTATTCAACAGTAAATCAGGGACATTTCATCGTCTCTATAGAGAATGCAAGAGATAATTGCTCATCAGGAGAAATTAACAGAGGAAATAATGATTTAAGCAAATGAAAGTTTGTTAAATATAGAAAAAGGAAATAAGCATTTAATTAGTGCAACGAAAATGAATGAATAACTTGGAACGAGATGGGGTTTGCTGTTTTTCTTAATGGGGATTATATTGTTAATTTATGATTATATAAATGCTTGAATTGATATAAAATTGGATATATATCAATGCTTTGTTTCTTAGGGTTTTGGTGCGCTACTTCCACCTCCAGTGGTTTATAATCCTACTGCTGTTTTGAAGCTGTCATAAATCCACCATTACAAACCAGTGAGTGTACCAATCATAATAATTCTGGTACCTAATCCTCTCCATAATCCTGAGAATCCAATTTCCTTGTAGATCTTACCAACGTTTTCACCCAAAGATCCTAAGATAATGCGATGTCCATACCTCCTGTTTAGATTGAGTTCAATTTTGATACGATAGTGTCAGCAGGGTGTGAAACGACGGCACAGAAGATACCAGCCAAATATCCTGATGCAAATGTCACTGACAATTATGTGAATTTAGAGTATGAGTCCTTTGGTTTAGTGAACACATTTTCGTAGAATAATGCAACAATTTATTCAAAAGCAACGAACTTGACGATTGTGTATGGAACTTGTCTAGCCCAAAGTGGTCCCAAACCTTTGTAGAGTCCATTGATGCCTTAGATTACTTAGAGGATTATAAATACCTTCATTTCCTTTGACTTAATTGAATGCTTGAGTTCCACTTGTGGTGAATGAACCTGGCTTTGAGGTTTACATTCTGACCTTGATTGCTTCCATTGGACATAAGAGAGTATCAGCAATGATTTCAGCACTTCCTGAAGCAATGGACCAACCGATTCTTCTATATTTATTGGCATTTTCTTCTCCGACAACCGATTTATAAACATCCTTGAAGATTTCATAGAATCCGAATTTGCCCAAGCCTTAAAGTGAATATCCGATCAAAGTTGGTCCCCAAGCCAATGTAAGTCCTCCGAATCCTTCGGTTTTACTGATTGTGCTTAATCCATCGCCCAAAGATTTGTACAAAGTTGGGAAAACCTAGACAAGGATTATCATACTATTGTACTTATCTTCTGCACTTGACGACATCTAATGGGACAATTGCAGTGTGTGTAAGACCACATGCTAAGGTGCCACCAATCATACATTTAACATAATAACTCAAATCGTGTTTATCTCCACCCATTAAAAATATAAAATATCTTTAATTCAATAAAACAGAGATTCATTTTTCTTAAATATCACAAATCCATTAAGTATTATTTACGAACGAGTTTTGGTTTCCGCATACTTATTAACTTCCCGAAATAGATCCAGTTAAATTACAATATAAATATTTGTGCAATTTACAATCTTGATATAATCATTATATTTTCAATTAACATCTAATCATTTAAAGGACGACTACTTTGTAATTCCAGTCAAGGAATCTCGTTTCATCGTAGAATTTGTGAACGTCTTCGATCTAAACAAAGATGGATTAACAGCATCATGCTTCTTTTTAGAAGGTATCATTTGAGTTATGTTAACCAATTAACATCTGATAGGGTAAAGTTCTTCGTCAGGTTCTGTATAAAATAATTATGTATACCATATTCTTGGTAACTCTGTTGGGTAATTGTAACTCGATGGTCCAGAATTTAGGAGGAGGTCATATGAAATTCTTATTCTTCCACGATGGTTGACAGGAAGGCCTTGGACATGTGTTGTTTAGGTTCAATTTTAAGATTTTACTTAATGTTCACGAACCATTGATGAATCAAAGCTATTTCTACAGTTATTCCTGGAGAAAGCAATTGACTCAACAAATTAAGTTGACTGACTCTATATAGAAATCTATATTGAGTTCTTTAAGAATTGGGTAAGGACCATTGATCCATTAAGGATTATATCAAATTTAAGTTAATGTCTTAAGAAATTTCCCCTCTTGATGTATAAAATGTGATTTAGTAAAGTAGTTTTCCTACATTAAAAATATCTTTTTCTATATTTTTGACATTATGTTCCTTATATTTAGGGAAGAGTAAGGCAATTTGCAGAGTTGGACTGTTCACATTAATAAAGATATTCTGAAGATTAATGTTCCCATGGTATATGGTTTTGGCTTGATATTTCTGAATGGTTTGTAGGGTCATGAAAATAATAGATACAATTGGCACTTCTTTAAATTCAAAACCATTTAATAAGAGTGATTCCAAAGATTATAACTTCATGCTTTCTCCAAGTATGTAATATCTTTATGCATCTTCACAAACCCTAACGACATTAGGAATCGATTAAAAAGCATGCATAATAGTTAATTAATTGTGGAACATTTGAAGTTCTTGATTTTCTTCCAGTTATTTCTTTTCAAATTTTAGAGTAGTGAAATGTTGATTATTTTTCTATTTTTATGTATATATTTTAATACTTTATATGATTGGGAAAGAGGTAGACAGTTTTTCTGTTCTAAAAGACGATATTTCCCACTATAATTTTTATTAACACAAAACTTTTTAAGATAAATCTTTATTCTGAGAGACTGTTGAGAATTGGAAGTAATTAGATATTCTTTACCAGCAGTATTCTTAATAATAATGACATTGACTCCTTCATTATTTTTAGGTTTGCTCACTCTCTCCTCGAATTGGCATTTGCTCAATTCTATGTATTGATTATCAATAATCAGAGCATTGAAGGATATAACCATGTCTTTAAGGAGGAATTCCTTTGTTTTTTAGACGTAGATTATGACTTACTCTTTCAGCAATTCTTTGACGCATAATTTTTCAGCCAGTGTTCCTTCCAATTTCTGGAATAAACACTTCTAATCGTGCATTTTCAGTTCATCTATCAACTAAGAATAGTGTTATTAAATTTGCATAATATTAAATAAATTGATATTTCCACTTTTCAATTTAATTCACAAAAAAGAAACGAATATTATGATAATCATATCATCATTATCATTATATGTAGTAATAATCATTAAAATTCTCTGTTTTGAATGTTTTTGAACTTTTCAATCACTTCTTGAATATTGTGCTATGGAAAATAGTGCATCAAATTGATTGGGCATTCGAATTCCATCTGCTGTATCTCAATTTACTCAAATTGCTTCTGCGTCTCTACTGTAGCCTTTGAAGAGACCTTCTTTTGAGGAGACGAGTATCTCTTGCTACTCATTGAATATTAGTGAACAAAACTGTCTTCATTGAGTGTGTTGATGTCACTCACTGAAGGGATAGCCTACAAGGGAGCATTCGGAGGAGTTATCTTAATTGAGGTTGTCCCTTGTTTCCCAATCTATTGCTTCTTGATTCGCGGTTGGGCTGCGAAAATTGAATCATCAACAATCTTATCTTCCATGTTCATCGTTATGGGTAAATCCTTAAAACTATTCGAACTTGATTGATGTTATTTATTTTAAGAATTACTTGAAATTTTGTCACTATCCTACTGTTTTGAAATCTTCCTCTATCCTTAGACATCCTTGAACATTGAAAACGTACTAAATGACAAACCTGAACCTTGAGGTTTTTGAATTGCACTCAAACTGTGACCAGAATTCGACTTTTGCAACGCCTTCGAATTTTCTTCAGAATTCAATGATTTTGACTTTTTTCTGGGATTGCTATTTTAAATTTATTAGGGCACTATTGAGTATTCTTTGACTGTTTCATCTTAAATTAAAATTTCTTAGAACATCGATGCAGCATCCTCAAACAACCTCTAAGAAAATACTGCATTTGTACTTCTATCTCTCTTTCTCTTGAACTTTGCTCTCCCCATATCTTCCGAAGTCAAGTGATTAGAAATCACACTTAATTTATTTTTAAACAGATGAATTTTAGGACACTCATCTAAACCATGTCTCACATCCTAACATAGAGCACATTGGATCCCAATGTCCAACTGATTCATCTCCAATTGCATTCTATACATTTACTACATAATAACATTTCACTTTTACATAATCAATTGGATATTTCCTCATCACCTTCAGAAACGAGTATCTACTTAAATATATGAATTGCGTTTTGTTTATTGACACCGCTTAACAAACGTCTGGTTTATCATAGAACAAGTAGTTCAATCCATAAAAAGCATTGTTCTACTGCGGACTTTCAATCCTCACGCTGTTGGGTAAAAATAACTCAAAACTACCTTTGGAACAATAGTATAATCCAGTTTAATCAAGGATTTCGTTATGTGAGAAGGTGTACTCTTTGAATTACAGAATTATTTCCCTGTAGCATTCTTAAGAAATCTGTGAGAAGAATGGAATCTACTATAGGATTTTTGAAAACATCTCTATCTTCAGGTCCTCATTTAAGTATTGCGGTAATAACTGTAAAATCTATTGTTCTTATTCATGATTGCTCAGATACTTCTCCTACCATTTGTTATATAAAATTGACTTAACTTCCTATTGTAATTTTTTACTTATTTTCTTCTCATTTAAATAATGATTGATCACATCAACATTTTCTGTGAATTACCCAAATTTCAGAAACCACTTTTATATGTTTATCACAACAAAGATTATAAAGACTATATTCGAAATCTAAATCAAAATTGTGACTATAACTAAAGATTCATTTCTCAACTGAATTAAGTTCTATCCCACCGTTGTTATTGTTGTAATCGACCAAAATAAGGAATAACAATAACTGCTACTCCAGTCTTAACTCTCATTCAGGTCTTCAATCCATGGATCTGCCTTGTTGTTTGATACTATAAAAAATATCAGAGCAGAAACATGGATAAATAGTAAGTACACAATTACAATCTCAAAAGTGGAGATATTTTTAATGTATAGTAGATAATTCTACTTTACCATTTTGTATTTCTTAATCGAAAAATAGAAATGCAAAAATAATACAATGCATAAGTATTGGAACTCTATCAAATTATTCACAATGATTAATACAAATATTAATACATGAGAGACTGATTCGTAGATGTTATTCATTTAAGTTTGCTCTTTAAACTATATTATTGATTCCAACACCATTATAAAATATTGGATTATATAAAAGGAAACATTAAAAATTTACTTGGTTCCAAAAGCAATAGTGATTGTACATTCATAAATGAATAGGAATCCGATCACAAAGTAAACGATATCGTAGACGCTGTAAAATTGTTAGTATATATTTCTTAGCTTTTTATAGATCAGTTATTAATCCAAGGGTGAGTAATTAAAACACAAATCATTTAAAATCATCTAGTATCTTAATGAAAATTCATTTAAATTTACAGTAGCATTCTATTCCTCATTCACTAATTTTAGTAGGATTGAATTATAGGTCTTTTGGGGTGAATTTGGAAATTCAAAATACGACTAATTTTCATTCTTTTATTGAAGCAGTGCCTATTAGGGCGATTCCAAATTTAGCGTATTATCTTTGGATGTCAATTTCTCTTTATTGTTTTGTTAGTCGTAGTTTAGATAATCTAAAATATTATCTTCATTAGGTCTTCTGACTTTGAGAAATTAATTGTTCATCATAACGATCACTTCATTAATATCCTCTTTCCTGTCTTCTGATGAATTAATATCTATGGAACTTGAATTTTATACATTCATAACAATAAATTTTATAATTGATAAATTTCAATTTGATTATATACATCCATATTAACACATCCATCATCATATGACTCAATCCAATGAACCAAAAGGCCTCCCCCTTGAATCATGGCCCAGATAATTTAAATCCAAATAATATTATATTTTATATCGATAATTATCGACAATGAATCAAAACACAGAAAACTTCTTCTAACACATGTACTCTAAAGCTGGAAAGTCAAGCTCTCAAATATTTGCTCATCTCCTGGGTAAAGCTAGCAAAGTGTAATCCATCTAAAAATCAAACGATGCTCAATCCATTATTATAACACCAAGTCAATCTCCTAAAAAACCCTCAAGATAATAACCTTTTAGCTTGGGTTTGTCGAGGGAATATTTACACAAGCTACAAAATTAAGGGAAACCTAATATGCCCATTGGGGTTTACAATCCGAAATATTCTGTCATATAGAAGTAAAGAATATAACTATTAAGAAAGTCTGATTTAGGTGGTAAATTTGCTGTGGAACACAAAATTATGATAAAGCAAGGCAACGAGTCCTAAACATCAATCGATTCAAGCAATACTTAATCTAGAAGAACAAAGGGGTTTGTGGATTTGAAGAGACAATTGTCGAGAGAACAATCCACTCGATAGTAGAATGCTTCTTCAAATGTAACTTTGAACTAGTTTATATCAATTGACACTAATTCAATTAGGGCGTATGATATTGATTTTAGCATCATTTTAGAAGACCTCGAAGTGCTCATTTTAAGGGATCTGGACATTCTTTAAATATTAACAAATATAATTGTTTTTAATCATTTTATGATGCCGATTATGAGGCTGGGAAACGAAAAATAAGTTTTGTTGGTCCTGGATTTGAAAAGTAAACCGTTAGGAAATCTCTAATGAATAAATCTGTTTGTTTAAGAGAGTAATCAATTTATCAATATGATCAATTTTCAAATAAAAATTCAATAGTACATCCAAATACCAGAAATGTCATGATTGATTTCAAGAAGATTTTGGGCAGAACTTATAGAAATGAACAAGGCGTGCCCAGCCACATGTCTAAGACAAACAGAAGCAGAATTATGATTGAAACTCTTAATTAAAAAATGCTAGAACTTAATGCATCAGCTCAATGATGGATTAAACGAATGTTCAATTATAAAAGAAATAAGAAATCAATTTTCATATTTTATTTATAAATTAAAATTATGACTCATACTAATAATATAGCCTTATAAACTTCGTACGATCATTTTCTCAATTTTGATTTGGATGAAATGTTACCTGAAACCCCATTAGGACCATGGTTTATTTAAAAAAAGAAGGAACCCAAACACATTAAGGAAAGTCCCTTAAAAGAAAGAAAGCAATTTGTAATCAAAAAGCAAAATCACAAACATATGTTGACTGAACCGGTCAAATATTAGGATCAAATAGAAGAAATCTCGCAATTCAAACAACCTTCAGTAGAATAAATAATCAAACAGCACTTCACCAATCACAATCTCAAAAATAATAAGAGTTCATAAGGTATAAGAGAGAGGCCATCTACTAATTTAATACAAAATAAAGTAAAATAGTAATTCACCAGGAAAAAAGAGGAAAGAGTATCTTCGGTCATACTTTTAACTCGTAAAAAGAACATAGATCTTTAATTAGATAAGTTTTTAAAACTATACCATATTTATAAAATACCATTATTGAATAAGTGTAATATTACTGGTAATGTATGCAAGCTGCAATCCAAAAAAATATGAATATATCTAACATATATGCTATTTCATATGTATTGGATAACCTGTTATATTTTAATTATAAATAAATACCCTTAAGAAATAATAATTTAACAATAAGTATAATAATATTCAATCTGTGTCATAGGTTATTTTTTTGGTCACTTAATTTTGTTATTCAAAATCAATGGTTTAGATATTCTGAGGAGACTGAGGAGACTGATTCGAACCTTCTTCCAATTACTCTTTGTTTACTTATGAATTATCTATTAAGTTGTCCACTTCATTTTATTACTGTAATTGTTCTTCTCTTACATTATTCTTATTTCCTTCTTACTCCTTCATTTAATTGTCATTAGATCCCACTTTATCCTGATCTCCCTGTATATTTAGTTGCTCTTTTTCACCTTCATCATCTGCATCTTCGATGTCTTCCTACTTTTACACTTGTTCTTATTACTAAGGTTTTTCAATGATTTCCTGAACAATCTTACTAATTTTATCTTGATAGGGTTCATAAGGTTGAAAATCAGAATCAAAGAGACTTCTAATGTATTATTATAGGGTAAATTATTACCTTTAAGGATATTCCTAATTTGTTAAGATTTATCTAGTCTCTGTGTCGTTGTCTTGCCTAGTTCTTGATCTGAATAGATTAATAATACTTGATACTTTGTTTATTAGTTTTTAATTTCCAAGGGATCTAATTTCTTATTGTTAAAATTATCTCTTTCTAAAAATATAACTTATGAATTATTACTTTATAGTGAAGACTCGCTAATTCTTGAGTTTGTCCAATATTGAACTAAAGTTTTAGTTGGCTTGAAATCCTTATAGGGATATTCACAAATATTAGAAATTTATTTTTCAACCCATCTTCTCTCTTGATTCCAATCTTTAACATTATATTAAGATTTCTAATCTTAAATTCTTTTCAAGAGTAATTGGTTCTCCATGACTATCTTGATCAATTCTTTTTTTCTGTGATCTTTGTTAAGCGACTTTTTTGGACCAAGACTCACAGTAGTGGATTTCTTAATTGCAAAATTCGAGATGGAGTTATCTAAATTAGTATTTAATTATTACTTGATTGTTACTGCATAATATTGTTTAATTTGGATATAAGGTTATAATTTTCTCTGTCTATTTCTTATTGTTTTTGTGATTTGATAGCTTCCTTAATCTTTTTGTTTTTTAGAAACTCATATTGTTTTGGTGCGCTAGTGTTGATTTATGGTCTCATAGTCGATAGATGAGTATTTAGAATGTTTTGGTTCTAGAATATTTCTTTAGTTGCACAAATTTTATTCCCTATTGGGATGTTTCGATTCATTTAATAATATTTATAAAACTGTCATAATGTTCTTTAAATACTATATGATAGTAACTGAGAAGAAGAAGAATTAAACTATGAAACAAAAGGATGTCTTAAATAAAGGTTTCAATATTGACATTGTCCAAATTGTATTTAACCACATTGAATCGATTATTAATGTCAAAGACCTTTCTATTTCATTAATAATTTTTTTAGTTCTCTACAAAGAGCAGTTCAATTATAAAGTAAGTTAAATAATGCCAATAAATACATTTTCTACTTATAAATAGATGGTTTTATAGAATTTACATTGATAAATAATTCATTAAACCAAAAGACAAATTAAGAGATTTCAGATATCAAAAATAGGTTAATATCATTTGAATACACTCAAATATTATGTGAGGATTTTTATCAATTCTGAAAAATTAAACATAGAAAAACTTTGGTTTGCGATTACAAAATTTAAATTGAGATTTAATGATAATAATTCATTACTCATTTTGATCTTATAATAAGGTTTTAGAATTCAATAATTAATTAATTATAATATGATCAAAAAATATACATTAACATTTAATTCATCTGAACTTGAATAATCATTTAACGTATGGATTATTGATCAAAGTCAAAATATGTATGAATTTACTTTGGCCACATTCTCAATCTATTTGATACTTAACCTTATTAACTACAATCAGAGCATCATCTATATAATAACTACATCGGTGACTCTCTGCATTGAATTGACCATGCTTTTCTTTTTCCGCAGATATCCTATGCAAAGGGAGGTCATAAAGAGCTTAAATTTGATTGTCATTAGCATACTGATAGGCATTTACATATGGTTAAACCAAAGCTAAAATATATACATAGAAGTTGGAGCTGCTAGATTATGTATAATATTCATACCATCCACTAGGTCTCTATTTATAGGGTAACATATTTACCATCCAAACAGCAATATTTCTATTCAGTCAAGCTGCTGAATTATCAATTCTTCAATAATAGATGATTCCTTTAATTAAGTATAGTGTTTTTTGTGTTTACTTTATCTATCACCGTTATCAAACAGAGATGAATAGACGCTAGCACTACCTGGCTTACAGATCTCAAATCCTGTATGAGAATTTCATAGAAGAATAATTGCCAGCATGGGTAGTACTGGTTAAATATGATACAAAATAGGCTCAGTTAAAAATGGACAAAATAAATAGGGTCATGAAGGACACTTTTAACTTGAATTCAGATTAGAAGTTCAGAGAATTTCTAAGGGATTCTAATATTTAACCACTGGAAGGAATCAATCACAAAGCATTTAGCTTCGAAGACGAACTCATTAAAGATTTACTCCAAAAATAACAAAACGACAAAATTACTAAATTTGTTGGAAGATTCGTTGGCAATGACAAGAAGGGGCAATTTCAAATCACAAAAATCTATTTTAATACTCTAGAACCAACAATTTTGTTATTATTTATAGAGGAAGGTGATGATTTATTTGATTTTTTCACTCATTAACTATAATGGAGAGATCAATAACTTGTTAATCATAGTAAAGCATGTGTGAAGTATATCAAAGATTAAATCAATTTATTAAAATTCCTCAAATAATAAGCGACCACATAGTAACTTTATCATATCAATAATTAAATTAGTAATAGCTATCTACTCTTCAACTAAAGTTTGAACATTTTTAATATCACTAAAATCATCTACAACAAATTAAAATATCATATCAACTAATTTAACTTATAAGATTTAATTACATAATTAAAAGAGGATTTAAAATTTTCGAATAAATAATTATTATTTGATTTAGAATTGAAAACAGACAGATCAAAAATGATTTCAGTTATTCTAAGTATTTCAGAATTTATTAGATTAATGCTTGCCATCAACTCAGATAATGAAAAACAGCTTTATGAAATTCACCCTTTAGGCTTTCCAATTTAAATTAAATTTAAAAGAATTTACACTAATCCAGGATGCCTATTAATTACAATGAAACATTAACTCCTAAACATTCCAATTTAAATACAAGAATTTTTATCAAAAGGGGCTTCTTTTACTGATCATAAAAAAAGAAATTGGGGTGTAAATCACTATTATGAGAACATTTAAAATTTGAGTGATTAATTTCATAAAATCAATGTTACAACTCATAACTTAAGAAATGGTTAAATGCCATGTATTGAACTTGATCTAAATTTGCAGCAACAGTAATAGAGGATCGAAGTCAATTTGGATGGAAGTACTGAACCTTTCAGCACTTTAGGACTTCCACTGGCTTAATATTTAATATCTTAGATTGGTCCCAACAATCAAATCTAATTTTAAGATAAACCATTGAAACATTTCCCCGATCCCCTGTCTTTCCGAAATGCTACAACCTAAACAAAAATATAGTTCAAATTATACGAGGACTTAAATTAATTTATATATCAATTAAATTAATAAGATCCAAATCCTTATTTAGACTTTTTCATCTCTAATAGTAGTTAGAAAGGTGGATTTAAAACTTACTGCAGTATGTCTCCTCAAAATCATCGAAAAAGTGGAATGACATCATAATTGATTAATTTTAAATTAAATTGACTTCATTTTATTTTACCTACATAAACAATTTTTTATTTCTTTTTTGCATCTTTATACTTTTAATTATTTTAAATTATAATGCTAATCACCAATATAATCAAAAAACAAATAAAAATTACTAAGAAATTAATAATTCCTACTAAATTTAGACATATACTATCACAATAATATATTAAAATTTTTGCTAAAATTGAAAAAATTGATTTTTTTGGTTAATTTTCAAATATTTGAAGGTGAAATATTTTGTTTTATATACTATATTTAATAGATCATCTTCTAATGGCTAATAAGGCTAACGACATTATTGAAGAAAGCCCAAAAAATAATGAATATGCTTAATGTGTCTAAGGAGTAGGCAAAGGCTTATCAAAGTTGTCTTTGGTGGCAGGAATTGGATATAAGTTAGCTGATTCTTCATCATATTCTTGCACCAATCTTTCTATGTATGCAGATGAGCAATCTGTCTACAATATTAGCTTTCATCATCATACCAAATTGAACGATCTGTACAATCTTGACATGAACCACAAATCAATATAATTGTACACTCCCTCTCTTGGCCAATTTCTACGTCCCTTCAAAACATCTTCCTCTTCTCCTTTTCTTACCATTCCTACAAATTCGACAAAAGGCATTTGATAATCCTCTTCCATATTTAATACATTTCTATTGAATCCTGTCAATTAATCGTCATCTTCATTATGAGGTACATTTTCATAGGTCTAATTTTAATCTCAATTTCAATTACTGTTGTTCCAATAGGCTCTTGTCCCATTTGAATATCGCTAATGTTATCCTTTGGCACCCATCCTAAATTCACCATGACTTGTGATTTGGTAGTTTGTTCAGGATCTTGTTCTGTATCATTGAATTACAAAGCTGTTACAAATGGGGCAAAGACTAGGAAACCGTCTCTTCCCTCTCTTTCTCTTCTAACGAAAAATCTTTCATCCTAAGAAATTATAACAATTCAATCGAGTACTCTGAAATATCCATATAATTTCACTAATTTATATTCCCATTATCTGATATTACGAGCCCATGGATATCTATTAGCATTGAGACCATTGATTGTAATGGGTTTCCATTCAGTAATCTCATTTTCTACTTTCTCGTATAATTATTTTTGTTAAGCACCCTTCCATTGATGCCAAGCACAACCCATAAGCTCCTCCAAAGAACACTCCATATGCCAATAACTTAATGATTCCATTACTTTGTCTTTAGGCGAACGAATTGAAAACTTATGTCGAAAGCATAAAAGATTGAAAAATATTAATATAAAAAATCAATAATTAAAGCATATAAAATTATTATACAAAACAAAATCATTTTATTTATCTCTATAACATATATCTATACATTGAAGTTATTATACATGTCTTAAGTAATAATCATTGAAAATAATACTAATATTAATTGATATTATAATTCAAACAACGGTTTTCTCTAAATCATAGATATCTTGTTATTTAATAGTTTTCAAAATTGTTTTGTTTTATAAGAGTTCAGGAATACTCATTTTTTCTCCCCTCTCATGTTTGTTCTTATCTTGCATTTGTCTTTAGAGTATTTTTTTATGTTCAATTTTGACTTTTTTAATTTAATCCAATTTATCCTATTCTTCTTAAAAGAATCTGTCAGTGTCCACCTTCCATATTAATCCTTATAGATTATCCAACTCCTTCTCTTATTACTTCTTTTTCTATTTAAGTTTAATCGATTATTCCAATGATTATATTGTCTTTTATTTTAGTTCATTTACTCTGTTTTTCTTCCTCTACTCTTCCTCTAAAAACTTCTACTCCTCCAATTATTTCCAATACTATAATTTATCATCATCCTCCTTTTCCAATTTATACTTTAATAACTATGATTCACTCCAAGCATTATTTTTATCAACCTTCTCCTTCTTTTTTCTGTTCTCCTCTATTCTTCTCTACTCAATTTAATCAAGCAATTCTCCATATCTTAATATATTTATATGATTACTTCTCACAATTTTCCTATTCTAATTTCTCTTAGTCTCTTTATTTCTACATGATTACCATTTTATCTGTCTCCGATTATTTCATTACTTTGAACATATACTCTCTCTTCATTAATTTTATTCTATTTTCTTCATCAATCTGTTTTTATAACTCATCTTGATATCTCCTGCTGATCTCCTTTTTGTAATTACGTAATTCTCTGTCCTCACTATGTTATTTCTTTTTCTTGTTATTTAACTACACGTCTCTTTCTGATTACAAAAGAAATAATTTATTTTTCGCAGATGTCTACTTATCTAATTCTTGTTCATTTTTCTTCTGCAATAAATCGCTTTGAAATTTATTGTATTTCTCTTCTAAATCCTTCTCTTTTTGCTTTCTCTCTTATTTTATTCTCAACTGCATATCTAATTCCTTTTTCATTTGCGCCTTCTTTTATTACAACAACTCCTTCTTCCTCTCCTATTCCTTTTAATACAGTTACGCATCGAATTTCATAAGAGCAGCCCATTCATCCTCCTCTAATTAAGTAAGAATGTTACATCCTATCGATCAACGTAGTAAACTGATTTAGGTGGTTTTTCAGAAGTTTCAGAAACTTAATCAAGCTATTATAAGTAAGTCCTTTAAAACGGCTGCACGCGATTTGTGAATGGTTCAAAGGTTTTCCTCTATGAATCATTAGGAGTCTTATTAGGTAATGAAGATTCCCCATTTCCCAAGGTTGGAAAAAATTGTTATTGAGATTGAGATTAACCAAGTTTTTATCTTAATTTAGTTACTACTTAAGAATTTGCTCCCTCCTTATGCAAGACCTTTTGAATAGATTTCTGTAATAATGAATTCTTATTTGCATCTGATGACCCATATTTTGATACAAACAAATTTACAATATCCTCTGTCATTTATATATGATAATTTTATATTTTGAAATATTAATTCAATTAATTTTCTAAACTCCTCATTATTTTTCAAAATAGTACCTATAATACTTTTTGATAAATATCCGAAGGCTTTATTCAATATCTAATAAAATACTGTAACTAAATTAATTTCAATTGAATCCATAGAGATTAAGTGAAATTATCTGTTGTCAAAGCAGATTAAATTTAGATAAATATTATAATTTATGTAAGACTTGAAGAAATTGACATAATTTCAATATCAGTACTATAAGTATTATTATAATAATTAATGTCAGTCTTTCCAGTTGAAAATTTAAAAAAATTAACAAAATGCATACTAAGATTAACAAACCAAAACAGAGCATAAGGCACTCGCAGGAGGAATATGATAGAAGCGAACAATCTCATAATTTTTATTGCCATTTTTTTTTTATATTACATGACTCAAAATATATACTTATAAATTCTGTTGGTATAATACAAATCCTGCATTTTTACAATGTCATTGCGTTTATTGGGAATTTAAAAATAATTCGAAGTTGAAAATTAAACAAGATGTCTAAAATAACTTATTGAACAGAATTAGAGAATTATATGGTATCAATTTTAATCTTTTAACTCTTTGAATATATAATTCAAGTTTTCGTCATTCATTTCTATTTTTAATACTAATTAAGAAGGTATGTTCTAGTTTATTTTAATATAGACTCCATTTAGGAAATGATGGTCTTTAACACTTTACATTGGCGAAGCTTAGCCACATCTTTACCTAATACTAGAGTATTAGTTTTTTTTTAAGACTTAAAATCAGTTTCTGTGTCTGATTTTCGTATTTTTTTGGATTTTTTAAAGATGGATTTATTCTTCTTTTTTGGTGATTCCTCAATGATATTAAATAATAGAACAGGTTCTTCTTGCAAATACCCATCAAAAGTGATATCCTAATTAATTTCTAGGTTAGAACTTTGATCATATTCGCACATTTACTCTTCACTAACTTATATTTATTCCTATTCTCTTAAATCTAATCTTTAAAAAAATGAATACCTTATCCAACTTATTCTTCGAATTCAAGAGTATAGAAATTCATAAGCTATTAAAAATAACAATAATGTTACTCTTAATAAATCTTAATTAAATACGCAAAAATTTCAGTTATTGATCATAATGAGTATTATAATTTTTATACGCAATAAATATGCACAATTAAATAAAGTATCATTAGAAATTAAAATTTATTTTGAACACCCACCTATAAGTTCATTTATGCTTTAATAATTAATATAATATTTAAAGTTTATTAGGAGACATATAATTTAATAAAGAAATACTTATAATAATTTTCTATTTTAATTTTAACAATTAAATTATGTCTCTCATCATAATATTTTGAAGTGAGAGAACAATCAAAACAAGTGTTTTCCAATATGGAATTATTCATATAAATATAAAAAATAATAAGTCATTTTCTTTTATTGATTTCGGTTCCTAACACCTTAATCTAGTCCCTTAACTGTAGGTTTTCAATTAGGGTTTTCTATTTGGTTAAAATATTTGAATACCTCTAATATTTCTTGAATGTTGAGTTTTATCTTGAGTTGTTGTATCATTTTCACATCCTCCTTATCCAATTGATTTTGTTCTGATAAAGATGGAACCTATTTTGTTACTTAATTGGCAATCTAATTGATACAGTTGGTCTTCTGCTCTAATTCATTTTATAAAAGGACAATTTTAGCACACAAAGTTTCTTTTATTTTTTTATTCTCCAATTCAAGTTCTTACACTCTTAATGAAAGGGATTCAACTACAATTCTTTCTTTTTTGGTAAGAGGAGCTTCAGGTGCCTTTTATCTGAATTGCAATTCTCTTAAAGCCTAAAGGTCATTAATTAAGGACTTATTGGATTCTTCTAGTGTAAGTATCAGCTTTTGTTTTTAACGACATTCTTCCTTTAATTATTCTGTTTCCTAAGATACTGATTGATAAGTTACGTGAGAGTATTTTTTTTATAAAATTTTAACTTAGCTTTACATGTCTTCATAATTGATTTAAGATTCCTTATATTTTGATTCAAGACTTGAATATTCTTAAAATTAAGATTGCAATAGTTTTTCTAAATCTTTTTGTTTTATATTTTTTTAATCCCTCTCCTATTTGACATTAGCTAATTCTTATGAGGTTTTTTGATATTAGATAGTGATTTCATCTAATTTTATTTATAACTATAATAATTGTCATGACATTACATTGTTTCTAAGTTGTTCACTTTATCTCAAGGTTTTTTTGGTTGTTTCTAGTTGTTCTTCCTTATTCTCATAATTGGATTGAAGTTCATTAAATTTCTATCTTTAACATATATTAATATTACCTTCATTAGATCTTTGTTTTCTGAAATTTAAATGTGTGCAGATGCTAATTCTCCTTCCAGTCTAAACTTATCTGAGACGATCACTCTCAATTCTTTTAATTCTTGTTAAGAATTGTTCAGATCGTCTTTAAGTTATTGATTTTATAGTTTAGACGTGTTGAGTTCTGAAGCAATTTTGGAGTTTTGTTGGCTGGTTTCATCAACGATTTGTTACAAGACTTAACACCTTTAAACCATTCCTTCTAATGAGAGATTGGATTTCATTTATTTTGAATTTTATAATTTTAATTGCTCTTCTTATTGATTTTTTAGTAATTAAATTTCGTTAGACAAAGCTTTAATTTGATTTTATTGATCTTTTGACCTTTTATCCCAATTCAATAACTCCTTCATTGAGATGGTCACCATTTTCTCAGCAGCATTGTTATTTGTACCTGCTTAAGCTTATTGAGTTTGTTATGATATAACTTATTTTTATTATTATTATTTTAAATCTTCAATTTGATTTGTAAGTTGAGAGCAATTCTCATTTTTCTGTTGTAATTCCTATTAAAGTGCTGCTAATTCGAGCAGTTAATTGTCATTATTCTTTTACAATTCAAGTAATTGAGAATTCAATAGTCCAATGTCATTCTGCAATGATTTCATCTTTTCCTCTTGAGTGTCAAATTGCTTAATGTATTATTATTCTTGTTCTATGATGTACTGATTCAACTCTTCAATTTTTGGATCTGTTTTGTTATTCTGTTCCTTCTCATATAATGTTTTATTTAGATCATCAATTTCATTCTGCAATATTTTGACAGTCTATTCCCAATCCTCATCTTTTGCTTACTTTGCAGATTCTATTTATTGATTCAATTATTCTACTTCAGATAGATGATTTTAGAGATTAGATTGGATTTGTTTTTCAAGTTCATTGAGTTTTTCATTCAATAAATCGATTTCATTTTATTTATTATTGATAATAAGGAGATTTTCATCATTGATTTCATTAACTTTCTCCTTCTCATTCATTAATTACTAAAGAAGTGTTTTAATTTCAATTTCATGTCTACTCTAAATTTGTTGGAGTTGTTACAAGGCTTCATCGCATTGAACGGTGACTTTCTTCAGATCTTCATTGAGTTACGTAATCTATTGTTCATAGGATTCTATTTAAATCTGCGACTTTTGAATTTGCTCGTCACAAGATTTTCTCTCCTTATGCAATTCTATGAGTTCAGCCTCATAATTAGCAATATTGGTTTTCTATCTTGTGATTTCTTTTTCCAAGACAATCTAATTGGTTTGTAATGCATTTGCATTTTGAATCAAGGTATCTCTCTCCTCTTCTAATAGTTTGATGGTTTGATGTTTTTGATTGATTTCTTCCTAATAATCCAAATAATCCATTAGAATTTTATTTATTTTATTTTATTTTGTTCCAATGGAAGTAGTTATTTCACCGGATGAATTTATGAGTGTTAGAAGTGGTAATCAGAACACGTATAAGAAACTGTGTCAATCATTTCTGAAAGTGAAGGATCCAAAAACATAATTGAAGGTTGCTTAATATATTTTGAAAACACCACCTGATGATCGAATGGATTTTGAAGTGGCAGTGTTGGAATAAGCAACCAAGGAGTTGGATTTCTTCAAGAGTCTGCGAGATCCCAAACAGCACCAAAGATGTTGTAAAATGATGATGTACAAACATTACAACAAGAATGATATTGTGTTCAAGGAAGGTTGTAATGAGTGATGTATGCAAAAAGGTGACTCATCCAATGAATTCTTCATCATCATAGATGGGAGTGTCAATGTTTATGTGCGCAAGAAACAAGAGCGAATCCAAGCAGAACTCGAGTTTGAAGAAAACCAACTGAAGACTCTGACCGAAGCAGAATTGGAGCAACACCCAAGCACAATCATTAAATTCTATTAGGCCCCAAAACAACTAAATAGAAGACTGACAATAAATCTCAGAGAAGACGATTTCGAGCAGTATAGACCACATTAGAATAGAATTTAGGATAGCCAAGTCGTATAAGCCACGCTTAATCGTTTAAACTGACCGCTAAGATGTCAAACACAAAGATGTGGAGACAATCAAGAAGTTAACCTTTGGCCTTGAGAAGATCCCAGACAAAGACTTCCTTTTCAACGGAGGAGTGTTCTTGCATGATTTGGTCGCCTAGATACACGAAGGACAAATGTTTGGAGAACGAGGATTGATGATTGAATCTGCCCGTACTGGCACAGTCATTGCCAAAACCTCCTTGCATGTAGCCGTACTTACTAAAAAAGACTATAAGACAATACTGGAAGATAGTCAGCTAGGTAAATTAAACTCAGATCTATTCAAGAAAAAATTAGAAAAAAGACTAAATTGCTCAGTCTGACGATTCTCAAAAATTTAACATACAAAGAAGCCGTAGAAAGTTAATACAAATTTGAAAAAGTTCATTACCCCATCAGTCATTACATTTATAGAATTGGCGAGGCTCCTCAGTCCTTAATAGTGATCAAGAAGGGCACTGTCAAATTATTCAAGAAAGAAAACAACAAAGTATTCCCACTTTGCGAATTGGGATAAGATCAATATTTTGGTGAGGTGGAATACTTTGAAGATTGTCACAGGATACACACTGCTTAAGTAACGTCACAAGAGTTTTCGGCCTATTTGATCACCTATTAGGACTTAGGCAAATTGTTCAACAATTATCCATAATGTGAAAGATTGGCAAGAAGACAGTATGAACAAAGGCACAAGATCAATCACCAGAGAATTAATAAAAACTTGAAAACTCACAAGAAGTTTAGTTATTCTGAAGAGTTTTCAAAGGATCTCCATAGTTTCTAAAAGAATTCCTCGCAACCACAATTAGAAATTGTTATTCCAACTGAGGTACCTTAGACTGAGTTTAAGATCAAGGAGTAGGCCAAGTAATATTCCATTTAGAAATCCAAATATCAGTTATGTTAGATGGATTTCATTTAGACCACTTAGAAGAAACTGAAAGCCATAAGGAGAGTGCAATAGAGTGAATAAAGAAAGTAAGGATTAGTATATAGTGTTTTTAGAGCATAAATGGAAAATGAGAAGAGTTTAGCGGATACTTTGAATCATTTGGAGGTTCAATCTTAATTAATTAAGAAGGAATTTAGAAGGAGAGAACAGAGGAGGTTTAGTTGTATCACTTTTGACAAGGAATCTCAAAATGGAATAAATCAATCTCAGATTAATTAATAGCCATTCTCCAAAACATCTTAAGGGACTCGACCTCAAACCTTTGATCGTCAGAGTAGTCTTTCTCATCAATTCAAATATTAAAATATCACTGAATAAATGCTGTTTAATGCGAAATTGCAATAATATGAGATTCTCGATGATTAATAGAGAGACATCAAAACACCCTCGGCATCAGGAATTATGATCTCCTCGAAGCACAATCTCTTTAGAACGAAGCCAAAGAAAGTGTTCCTTATGAACCATTACGAGAGAAGGCAGCCAAAAACCTATAGCACTGAGTTATCGATAAAAACATTTTTTAATTGATTCAATTATAATCTTAATACTTAAATAGAATCATTAACATAAATCATTTTGATGTCTTTGCACGTAATTTAGTGTTTTCATAAAACTATCATTGGCATATAAAGTATCACGAGGCAATAAATAAATCAATTGTTTTAAGGATTTCAATCTCTATTTTAGGTTTTATGAAATCAAAAGTGATAGGATTACTTGTAAAATAATAGTCAATGTGAAAATGAAGATGAACCAGTTCATTTTTAAATCAATTTGTTCCTGTATGTACGTTTCCAAATTTTATTTTGATCTGTCTATGTAATTAGTGATTCCTTTGATGATGAAATTGATTGAGACGATATCCTCTGTGGTACTATAATCCAAGTTGTCTTGATAATTAAGTTCATAGTTGTTCCTATACTGAACAATGTAGAATTGGGTAGACTCCAAGACTCCATTCTGCAGCAACCCTTAATCTAGTCGTTCGCATAATTGAACATCAGTCTAATCTGAGAAGATACTGCATATGTTAATAGATAGGGAGTCTATCACATCAGCACTCCTGATGCCTGTTGGCAGTCGAATAATCTTGCTCAATTGCTGAGTGGTGACAATGGAAGGTTAGATGTAGTCATAATATTGTTGCAACTAGGATTCAGTGATGTACTTCTTCTAGAATAGATAGTCTTTATTCTCTTGCAAGATGCTACTAATACAGAGCATCGAAAACTGTTCCTAAAATAATATGCCCTGATTGTATATGGTTATATCCTTTTGTAAATTAGACATAACATTCTCCGTATCCAAGTATGTCAGTCCTAAATAGATTAATGTGATTGACAAACAAAATAGAGGATACAGAAAACTCAGAGCTCTTTTTATCGAAATCCCATCTGTGAAATTGAGTGATCGTTTGGTATTAGTTTGTGAACTGTTAATCACCTTATAACTTGAGAAATGAGTCTGACCTTCTTGATGCTATCGAAAATCAAAATTTGCTGTGAAGTCCATCTTGTAATCATAAAGACACAATTTCTAGGTTATAATGAGTACATACTTATTTATTGGTTAAGATTGTCGCACAGATATTGATCTCAGATTCAAGTGCATCGAATTGCACCTGCTCACTACATCTGGTTATCTTTTTCATGTATTTAAAGTAGTTATGATACACAATAAGAGAGATGAAGGACACAATAATGCTTAAGACTATTAGGATTATTATGAGAGCCTTTTAGGAATCTGAAAAGTTGTCAATAGACAACTAAACATAATCACTAAATGCTTGATTGATATTTTCATAGGCTGATTTGTGATATGGGAAGTCCAGCAGTAGATTTACATAAGTTGGCATTTAGTTGGTTTGATTCTGGTTCTGATCCTGTATAAAGTCAAGTTGATTGTAGAGGATGTAGAAGGCTGCATTCCAAGCACTTGTGTCCTGCTCACTCTCATGTTGCACTTAGGTGTCACTAAATACATTTTAGATCTATTAATTTAAGAAGTAGTTCTTTTGGTACATTAAATAGTTTTTGGCATCCTTTACCAATAATCTCTATAAGTGTTGATAAAACTGATCCTGTTGATTGAGTTCCTTCTATTTATTGTACATCAGGGACAATTGGATGTTGTCAGTGTAATCAGTAGTAATGAAGGCTTGTAAAATTTAAATGGTCGGGATTATCGATTCTGCTTAGCTTTTAAACTTCAATTAGTAAAGCAACAGGAACACTAAAATGATTCCCAGAATCAAGGCATTTATCATGTGTATTACAAATATGATTTTCTCGTAGTCAGAATTCGAGAATTCCTGATATTGCATACCTTTAGAAACGAACTTTTGAAAATCTAACTGTAACTTCTGCGATGTTGCCGAAGCTATGTGATTAGAAGAACCAGAATTGCGATCATTATTAAATTGTTCATTGGAATCAGACTTCCTGGCAACTCCTTTGAAGTTGAAGAATTTAGATTTCCTCTCATTTCTTTTCTGGATGTTGATTTTTTCATCCGATTATTCTTGTTTTAATCCTTGCATTTGATTCTGAGAGACTGTGATGCATTGTTCATTGATTTAGGGAAATGAGTACTTCTGCAATTTGATAGATCCCTCGCTGCTTCTCCTCTCGTTGTCTTAGATGTCGTATAAGGTGTTTGTTCTTTGAGTATATTAAGACTACTTTACACTGCTTTTCAGACTGTTGGTTTGATTGGAGTCATTATTCTCAGTGATGTCAATTTGTTAAACTTTATTAAACTCAATGACATAGTACTATTTAAAATATAATATAAATAAATAACAATACTTTTGAAATTTTCCCATTGATGATCCCATATGTCATTGTGACTGTCATATCAATAAAGAACTTGTCCTGCTCACTCATGATGAATAGTTGATCCTCCAATTTCAACTTATAATGATTGTACACCGAATTCGCATCCTTCTATTGAATGCCCCCCTACTAGCTGACCACCGATTACGTCATGCCCCTATATCTGCTGGTTTTGGTGTCCATCATTTGATTTAGCTTTTGAGCAATTTCAGTGAAATCTCCATAGAATTCTGAAATCTCCTTATTGCAAATTCCACTTGGCGAATCCAGAAATAAAGATTGGTAGGCTAATGAGCTTATGCCTTGAATGATTTCGTAATCGTCCACAATTATGTGTCCCCTTATATTCTCGAAAACTCCAATTGGTTTGATTTCTTGCATGAAACAATACACCGGAAACTCAGTGCCAGTAATCACAAAGCACAAGTCTATAAACATCTCAATGAAAACGATTTCTTAATTGGTCTTCTCGGCTATAAGGTATCGCTCCTTTCTGATTACATTAGGTCGATTGCTCATTAGAAATAACTCAATAATGGTGTTATGCACAGAAGAGATCAAATGTGGAACTAACTCATGAACAGTAACTCGTTGTCGGAGGAAATCATCCTTGGATTCGAATCCAAAAAACTTAAAGGAATTCTCGGATCTTGTTAAGATTTCACCTCGACACTTGTGTTTTGAGAATCTTGATAAATTCACTTTCAAATAACATATGTTTTGAGGAGCATTGAACATAATTGGGAACTCAAAAAACTTAACGTCCTTTGTTCTGAGATACTAAAGAATATATAGTGAATAGAATTACATTTTTATATTTCTAAAATTACAGGTAATCACAACGAACCTCACAATAGTACAGCATCATCAGTAAACAAGAAGTTCTACATTGTGATTGATCATGAAATTCTTGCAATTCACTTTGCAATTTTAGGAAGTAAGAGTTTGATTCAATGTAAAGTTATTGAACTTCCTCGTATGATTACTTATTATTGCCTAATCTGATCAAGTAACTCTTCTTTACATCCAGACTCTACATCAATTTATGGATGAATAGACTTCTCTGCAACTCAGTATTCCTGTAATCTCCGTATAAGATGGTCTTCCTGATGGATTTGTCATTCAAATTAAACTAGGCTCTAAATAGTGTTTGATATTTAGTGTAACTTATTATGAGATTAGTAGTTATTTCATCAAATGGCTTTTTTTATTCTTGCAATTGCAGTTTAACCTCCATAACTTAAAGCCATGCCTGTAGTGACTCTTCTGATTTACTTAGAAAACTGATCAGCTGAGCTATGTAAGTTAAATTAGGTTGGGTGACATATATTTCTATATTCAAAATAAGTTTAATGTAGTATCGAATATATCTATCGATCAAATCTATTGAAATTGTTAGACCCTTACAAGTGTAATCAGAGAAGATTTTCATATCCTGTTTTTACATGTTTACAGAGAGAGTCTGTTTCTTTTCTCCCCAAAATCCTCTGCAAAAACAGTAAAAATTATTACATAGTTCTACGTGAGTTTTTATTAGAATGAAGCATTGCATCAGAAACTTCGATTTGTTGGGATTAAACACATCAGTTGTCTGATAGACATGCTATTAATTAACGCACAACAACTCATAGAGCCGCAGGAATTGTAGAAAATACTAGTAATTTGTGAGTCTAATCATACTCACTTACTCTAACTTCTATAAGCAGATCTGTCTTTCAATTTGATGAACATCGTCATTTACGATTAATGATTTGGTTATTGATTAGGAATTTCGTTTCAAAATCTTTTATTTAGGTGGAATATTCTCAGGATGCAAGGTGTGAGTTATTATTTTTTTGAAATTGAAGTCTGTCAATTGGTTGAGCATTTTGCACATACAAGGAGATATCATCATTGACAAGGTGATTATGTCGTTTATGTGTAATTGCAACAATTTTAAAAAGGATAAACAAAAAGCCAAAGAAAATGCCAAGTGAAATACATAGATTTTATATGGCTAAACAAATGGAATATTGAAGGATTGATCTTGTAGATCAAATATCAAGTTCAATATTCCAAAGCATGACAACACTTGCTCAAATACTAGGTTGTTGTATATGGTCATTGGATCTACGATGTAAAGTACGCTGAAGTATATAAGAGTTGGAATTATTCTCAGCATCTGTCCTATCTTAAATGAAGTGGTGATTCTCAATCTCAAATAATTGGTGTCTTTAAGTCGATAGGATTATTACATGTACAAAGATAGAGTCTCTAATATTATGAGAAAAAGCAGTTAGATTGAGTTGAGGGTAAAGTTTAAAATAAACAGTCCGATTGAGTAATTGGTTTGATTGTGGATTCTATAAAATATGATGGCAACCCAATAAATTTAAGGTAGGAACATGATGTGGGTGAAATAATTGGTTAATATTGAGGTTCGTAGTAATTGCAATTCAATTAGGGATCCATTGTCGGTGCCCATTAATTGTTTCAATAGGAAATGCTCTGTAAAATCATTGTTATTGTAGGTGCTATTCAGTAGATTAAGCGATTCTATAAAATAAGTTAATAATCATTACAAAAACTATTTCCATCTACTTTGTTAAATGTCCGCTTATTTTGAAATTTTATTTATTTAAAATGTAAATACTCCAATCTCAATGCAACCACGTTGATAAGCAACATTAAAAAGAGTGATGCCAAAAATATTATTTAGAAATATATAATTTCTTCTAAGGACAAATATTCTTATATCAAAATGGTAGGCATCGTAATTCTACATAACAGTTCAACCTTATCCTGACTCGAAGATGGTTAATCAAATTCAATATTAGTATTAAGCATTCGAATAATATGTTTATATAGCAAAACTAGAGCAATCGTTTAAAACATTCTAATGAATTCACACACTGTCCAAAATATTTTGTTTTCCTATTCTAATGCTACCTAGGTATGTCCAATCAAATATTATAATTGAAGCCTTTAATATTTCAAACATTTCTTAATAAATTTCATTAATAAATGGAAATTTATCTATGTTTTTTAATTTAAAAATAGTATTTTTTTTATTTGTTTTCATTGATTTTGATGGAAGATATTAAATGCCATTACCACTCAAATATGGGAATCAGAAGCGAACTTATAATAATTATGGATACAAAATGACTTTTTGAATTGCTTGAATATCATTGTATCAAAATACTCTAATTATAATAAGGATTATTATACGAATTGCCATAATAATTTTGAATTAAAGTGATGATATATTATTATATATGTATTACTTAATATATTTATTCTTATTAAATTCAAGTTTATGAGAATAGAAAAACATGTAAAATATCTAAGATATGCAACATAAGGAGTATTCTAATCAATGACCTAATTATACCTTAATTGTAGTAATCTTTGCTTATTAAATTTAAGGTAAATTGATAAAATTATTAAGTTTAAAAAAAAATTAGTCAAAACTATTGGTGCAATTCATAAGATTATAGTCTAAACTATTTTGTGATATAAAAATTTGAAAGATGTATTTCTCAATATAATAATAATATTTTAAGTATTCATAACGGCTAAGATTTCAGAAGTCTTGTAATCCTTAAGAATTTTATTACAAAAAAACTGATCTTTTTTATGTCGAAAAAACAGAAATATGCCCAATAAAGGATAATTTAAGAAATTAATAAAATCTTAAATTATCATAAACAATTAACTTAATTATAGATAAAAGACATTTAATACTAATAATCAGAATTTTATAAATTGTTCTAATTTTAATAGAAAAATAAAACAAAGAAGTTTTAAAAATAAAACTATTTCTTTAGTAAAAATGCCTAAAGACATTTTATAATTGGATAATTATCCAATTAATAATAAATTCATAAGCAAATTTTTTTTCATGAGAAGCCTATTTCTTAGTATATTTAACAAATCGTATTTTGCACTATTATCAGATAATATTTTCTTTATAAACCCTTAAATCTATAGTATATCTTTATTTAGATCAAATGCAACAAAATCTCTATCAGCTTTTATTTTAGGAAAACTGATAACTCTTACATTTTGAAATCAATTACTTAATTTCATTAGATTTTATTATTTAACTTTTAAATATTAAGATTGCTTAAAAATTGGATTTATAAATAATTCATGGATTTATATTTAAAGTTTTTACCAAAGTCCTTCAAAAAGGGTAATTTTGAAATTTAATTCATATTATTTGTATTCTTAGAAGTATTTTAATCCATTTTCATAATTCAAAGTTATAAGCTTTTTATCTAATTATTTCAAAATAAAGAAAAGAAAAGTTGATAAATTAATTGGTTATACAAAATTTGGTTTAATATCCGTGAGGCTTATTATTGAAATGTGTTGAAATAGAGTAAAAATAAAAATTAAATATTATTAACATAACCATCAATAACATTATGGGAATAATAAATATAAATATATATTAAATTCATTTATTTCGATTCTTAATTTTTTTTGAACCAAGAATATTATAAGGCACTATCCTTAAATGCCAATAAACTCAAAAAAATGAATCTACATCTTCAGAATATATTTACTCAAAAATATAACATGAATAAATAAAATTAATCTAATAAATAGTATTTGATATTATTTTACAACACAAAATCATGGAAGATTAGGAGAAAGAGAAAAGTAGAAAACCGATGACTTTAAGCCAGAGAATAAGGATGGAATTGTCTCAGTAGTAGGAGGAAAAGAAACCTGTCGAGGGACCTTAGTTGATAAAGCACAAACCATCGAGTTATGATGAGGAGACAGGATAATTGTATTCCTTCTATGCTAGTGCAGTGAATCAAACTTCTCAATTTTTTTCAAACATTTTTGGGGGAACATATATTCCACAGTATTAATATAGTTTCAAGCACAAACAAAATGTGATAAAATATGTGTTCGAAAAAAATAATGTGATTGCTGAGTATGTGAGCAAGGAGATGAGAAAGAGTCAATAAGAGAAGGACTTGAATGACTTACTGCAATTGTAAAATCGAATGATGCTGGTTGCTTAACTTGCTGATTGTAGGAATAGAATAGGAATCTCTGCGTATTGTTGGGGTGCTTTGATGGGTAGTCTTTGTATGTTATTGCCAATCTCAATCTGGAGGAAGGGGGCGATATCGATGAGTGTGTTTCATCTCTTTGGGAGTTACGTAAGCCAGGCAAACATCGATAGGGTTTTCGATAAGGTTTATTAGTTCTATGTGCAAGATTTGGAGGAGTACAAGAAAGAGAGATAGAACATTACGGTGGGGTAAATAAAGCAGAGTAAATTGGACAGAGATTTGGAGGATGTAAAATATATTGATATATAATTTATTTAGAAAAGACTAAGGAAGTACTTGCGAGAAATTAGTAAATAATAATGAGTTTTAATTTTATTATATAATTATGGATATTATTAAAAACTGCTTCAAGAAGTGTGTGTATGCTTTCAATAGTAGCACGTTCATCAACAGCGAAGAGGAGTGTGTAAAGGAGTGTGTGGAGTAATACAAAAAAAGAATTAATTTAATCGAAGATGCAAAACAATAGAAATGAGTTATTTTATTTATTAAATGAGTAAAGACTTCATTCATCCTCCCTGTAAGAGATTCGGTAGAACTGCATTCGAGAATACTGGTTTCAATACAGTTCGTGCTCATCACAGTCTTCAAAAAGATGGTTGCACAAGAATGGAATCCTTAGTAATAATCGTATGTAAATAAAAATAGAAATTTTTGGCAAGAAAGAATTGCAAGATTGATGCTTCAATAATTTTGATGGGACCTAAGAAGCATAATATTCTGAGGTTGAAACCGAATAACAATCTGTGCATCAATGGTTGGGATTATGGCGAGAGTAATTTGAGTTAACAGAATTAGAGTAATATGAAACGAAGGAACCAAATAGAGATACATTAGTTGAGTAGATTCGTAATGGAGATGAGATGATGAAGAAATTGGAGGAGTACGATGACAAGATGAGAGAAAAAAATTTATTTAACTTTGGATATTAGGATAGATTCGTACAATTAATAAGCAATCAATTCAAATTACCTTAAAACAAAGAACAGAAGATAGAAAAAGTAAAATGTTATTATTAAATAGATCTTAGCTCTAAAAAAATAGATGAGAAAAATAAACAAACTAAATCAAGAAACATTAAGCAAAATTAGTTAATAAGACATCGAAGTTGTAGACTCCACTTCAAGAATGATGTCATCTACTAAACGATCGAATTATTAACTGCCAATCTACAGTGAAAATGATTCAGTCATACAAAAATGCGATACTGAAAATAATTTAAAATCTCGAGAAACTGAATCCCCAAATTTGAAATCCATCACTGATTTCAAAAACAAAATATTTGGAAATTATATCAAGAGAGTGAGTAAATAAAATAGTCAGCCCACTCTATTGTCTACTCAAAATAGTTATCGGCAACATTGCAAACCTTTAAGAAATTTACTCCTATGTAGTGGAATACAATTAGGAGAAACAAAAACTAATTGCAGGGACAAAAGCTATTACACTCGAGCAGTATTTTTTCCAACTGAATCGAATATAGCAAAACAATGCTCTTTGCTATAATCATAATATCAATTTTGAATATTCAAATTATGTGATCAAATTACGATGTATTCAATTTTTTTATACTCTTTTGTTTTTATCTGGGTTAGCTTGAATACTGCATCCTCTCTGTAGTCACAAACGATCCTTAATACTCCTAAATTTCCTGATCCTTACTGAATTCAACAGTGTGCTATTTGGACTACAGAAACCCTTGCTTTTTTTGGATGACACTGTATTTTTGTATGTTCTTAAAGAATTCATGATTCAAACACTAAATAGCTGTAGGTCTCAACTTAGGATCTCTTGATAACATTCTTTAAACAAGATTCCTCAATAAAACAAATGCATACTGTCAAATTCACAGGCAGTTATTGCAGAGTTAGATACGTGAAATCAATATTGCATTTCTTATTGAGCTCAAAAACATAGGAAAATTAAGATCCTGGAAAGACATCCCTGCCTGTGAGCAATCTGTAAAAGATCACTCCACAACTGAAGATGTCGCAAGCCTTATCATAAGTCCCATTAGGATTTTATAAGTTAATGATTTCTGGAGCCACAAATCCAATAGTGCCGCATTTGGGATTTTTGAACTTCTCTACTTGGTTATGCAAATAAATTTACTCAGTGTACTATAAGTAGCCAAACCTAAATCTACTATTTTCAACCTAACCTACCCTCCTTTTACCTCCAGAATGATATTTTCAGGTTTAATATCTCTATGCATAATGTTTTTTGAGTGCATGAATTCTATACCCTCCAATAAGGCCTCTCATATTTATTGATCATTATACATGCATAATTTGTTTAGTCTACTCCAATTGGAAAGGCTTATGATACCCAAGATACAATTATAAAGTTTTGCCCTTCAATAGATCCATCACAATGTAAAAACTGGTCTCTCCTTGATACACTTCCTTGACCTTAACAAAAGTAGGGTGCTACAATTGATTATTAATTTCAATTTCCTAAAAACTCATATCTTCCTTCTTCACACATTTTGCAGCATATTCTTGTCCACTTTCCTTCTCTGTCACACCCATCACTTTCGAAGAACTTCCGCTCCCCAATATCTTCTAAGGATAGAAAAAGTCTTGAACTTTGGAGAACAGCATTCTCCCCGCTAAGAGACTTTTTAGTTTCTTCAGCAAATTGCCTTGATGACTCGTAAATTCGTATCCATTTATTGAAAACCCAATCAATAGGTCTTTCACAACGTACCATTGTACTAAGTTTGGAAAACAAATCAAAAGAGAAATAAAGGGTTCTTCCTTATTATAAATATGCAAGAAATCTTTCTTCAAGATCAATCGATATGAATCTTGTAATTTAATTTAAAGTATTTCATCATTATCGAGAAATTAGAGTTGAGTTTACAGAACCATCTAATAGACCTTCTCAAGGCACGGAAACATTATAAAATTTGATAATTATTTTATGTATAAATACTTCCCAACTCAAATCATAGTTTACATAGTCTAAAACACCAATTCTTATATTTCTGATGAGGGTTCAATTCTCATTTACCTCCCCATTGATTCAGGATGCTTGTCTATCTTCAAAGCCATGCTGTCAATACAACTTAACTAACTAGTGTAATCTCGTCTCTCACATGAAGAGTATTAAGATATCAACTCTGTTACATTACTAAGCCGATTATCTATCCACATGAATTCATTGAAATTTGATCTAACGTACCTTCTCTAATAGGATGTATATTATCTCCATTTAATATAGAAATTCTCTATGAAACTTTTAACTCTTTGTCTCTTTAAACTTTCCTTTCTTGATTGAGAGTAATTGGGATTCGCATTAATCGCAGTGAAGTGGCCAATCAACTCCACAAAGAGATCATACCCTATAGGTGTACAAAATCTTAACTAACTAAGGTTGCCAATTTGCTTTATTTTATAAAATGTATAAAATTCCTTCAAAATTCCTTATTAAATCATTTCATTGCACCTTTTGTTTCATGTATTGAATACCTTTCATAAATTATTTAACATATGTTTTCTTGGGGTTCACTAAGAAAGAACCCTCTAACATCCAGAATTTCACATAATTTAGGTTCATCATGTTTAAATGACGACTGATATTGTTTACCATTCGTAAGCAGAGCAAAGCGGATTGCTTTTATCAAACGATATTTATCTGTAATTGGTGGAGATTCGTTATATTTGTTACACAGTTGCTTCAAGAGAGTTTGAGGATCAGAACAATCGAGGAGGATTTATTGAGCCTTTTGATCAGCCATCTGAATTTCTTCTTCGGTGAATTATTCATGTCTCGATTTTAATACTTAATTAATAAAGAAGCAACATCCTCCCTCAATAATGGGATTATCAATATTTTGAAGGAGTTTCAAGACTTCCTTCTTAAATTAGAAGCTAGTAATGAAATTGGTTAATCCATCGTACTTGCCTACCAATTCATAATTTGATAGATCCTTTGGCCAATGGGTGGATATTGGCCAATTTTTATAGACCTTTTTAAAGTTTACGATGAGCTACTTGCAAAGAATCAGCAGGGATGACCTTAGTGTTCATCTATTTGCTTAAGACTTGGACAATTTCTTATTTTTATGACCCAGCGAGACCGGAGACTATTAATAATTTTTTCATATATAAAAAATGCTTAAAAGAATTGTTAATTGGTTTCCTCGATTCTCATATTAATTCGGAGGAGTCTATAAATTTGTCATGGAAGCAAATGATTTGTAGGAAATAGAGAAATTAAGTGAAGAGAGGATGATCTTTTTAAATTGTTATGCTTCTTGGTCCTCAGAATGCAAATAATTCAATTAAACATTACTGGGACATGTGAGACAGTATGAGAATGTAGGCACACTTATTAATGTCGACATCAATAAGAATGAAGAAATTAAGTAATAATTGTAGATTCAATCCATTCCCTTTGTAGCTTTGGTTTATAAGAACTCTTTCATAGATATATATTAGAAAAATTAAAATTTAGAGAATTTCATTGCTTCTATAGATCGTTTATCCAAGGAGATAAAGGGAGAGGTAATAGGGGACAAGATTATAGTGGAGTTGAATCAGCATTCCTTCAAAGAAAATGCCCAAGAATTGATTAAATTAAGTGCTTCAGGTCTGGAAAACGAAAGATTAAAACAATATTATGATAAGTTTAGACTGTACTAGGCTAAGGGACATGTGTTATTAGGGTAATTTGATATGGCGGAGGCATTGTTCAAGTAGATTGAAAGGAAATAACAAGACTAAGAATTTAATAAACTACACTAGGAGATCACGGAATTCTATAAAATGATTAAGGATTGGCATGAACTACCTCAGACGATAAAGGAGGAGTTGCAAGAATTGGACAAGAGACCAGATGATTTGAATTTGAGATTTCAGATTAGTGAGAATGCTATAAGTCATAGAAAATACGATTTGGCTATAGATTTGTTATTGGATGTATATTTGATTTCGAATTTAGTTAGTAAGGATTGATAGGAATTGGGAGGGCAGGAAAGCACAGAAGAGTTTACAATAAATTTTTAGGGAATTGGGGTCGCAAAATGAGAGAGTAATTAGGAGTCGTCATGAATTGGCGTAGTTATTATATTGAATTTAAATTAATCAAACTCTTCCTCCGATTTCCAATTGATTTTCTTATAATTTCTTGTTGATGAAGTCTTGTATTAGTTGTGTTCTCACTTGCAATCCATTATACCAGAAATATCCAATTCCAGGGATGTAAATGCAAAAGAAGATGACCATGAAACAAATGACTGTGGCTTCGAAATTGTTATGAATGCCAGCCATACCTACGATTAAAATTCACATTACACACAATCCAAATGAATATGATGACCATGTATGTTAACAATATCAATCCAACGATGGCCAACCATTCCATTAAAGTTGTTTTTTGCTCTTAGGCTTCATTTTTGTTTTGTGGGACATCGTCATAATACCCATTTTGTTATTACAAGAATCCTTGTTACATAATTAAATTATTTAAGATTCCATATTATTTTGCAAATAAATTTCAGAGTGTATGATGCAATGTATAGAGACATTTAAAATAGAGGATTAATTGTTCATATTAATAATATTTAATCAATCAATCATTTTTGCTGAATCTGACAGTCTTGAACTTCTTATCCAGATATCTCTAATCTCTGCATTAGCCAATTGCCACCAAAGGACATTGCTGTCTTTTTTCAACCATCCCTTAAATGATACATTAAATGCAAAATAGGAAATGTTAACACGGAAAATGGATAACTTCCCTCGTGTTCTTCTAACACTTGATACATAACTCCTGAATAATCCTCTGTCTTCTTCTAGTCTTGCTTTTCAGTTTGTCCTATTCATCCTGTCGCAGTTTCTCCCCCAAATTTGTGATTTAAGCCTTGAGATCCTGGGTTTCGTAATGAACCTTGTTTCTTTTCTCGGTGTAGATCTCAACTCGTTACAGTAGTTTTAGTTTCTCTTTCGCAAATGAATCAGCTAATTTGAATAGTTCAGATTGATTTGTCATATCACTTTAGATTTTGGTTCTTTAGACTTGATAATAATGGTCGAGTTTAGTGCTACGATCTTGAAGATCGATTATAGATTGTTCTTTTAATTATTACTTAACTGATTCGAAATCATTTAATTACTTATTTTACGTAGTCAATTGTATTCTTAATTGGGTTTCCAGGTTTTCAAGTTTTTAGATCTTTTATTCCAACACTTTGCTTTCCTCAATTTTCTTCTAATCGAATTTGGACTTCTCCTGTTCAATAGATTTTGCAATTTCCAATTATTCATTCAATAACTTTTGTAATTCTAATAATTATATATTATCCGTAGGCTTTTTTGTGGGGAGATTCAACAATTGCTCAGATGATGTTGGGATGGCCAGTATCACCCAAGGTTCTTGAAATTGAACACCTGGAAAGGGATTCACATCCTCATGAATCAAAATCCAAAGGTAAAAGAACTTATTGATTTATCTTCTATTCATATACATGATATGATCCTCTGGATTGGTGAGAGCAGTTTCCATAAACTCGCATACTCTTGATTGGTCAAACAGCTGACTACTCAATTTGATATTGTGTTTAACCATTAATTGATGAAAGGAATCTTTGGTTAATTTATAAGGATACTCTTTATTGATCATTGAGAGATCTTTGTAATGATTAAACAATTTGTGATAAGCAGACTCCAACACTTTGGATTGCAACAAGTACAATTACAATTTCTCCTTTTTCTCAATTTGCAAATTCCTGATTTTGGCAACGGTGTCTCTTGGGATGTTCAACCTAGGATCAGTTTTGTGCAGAGGAAATATGCTCTCAGGTTGGTGGTCCTTCTTATTCAGGTAATGGTCTTTGTAGTTTTCAATAAGTTTGATGATTTCCCATCTTCCTTTTTTGGACAAATTTATCCATTGCTCTGGCTTTTTATCGAAAACCATCTCAAAGTTCATTATATGTTCGGTGTCTTTGTGATCCAATAATTGCTGGAGTTCCTCAAAGACTTTGAGACAGCGATGACACATGTAGTATTATGAGGATTATCTGATTTCGGATCTCTGATTTAGTAAATGACATTTCTACAGGTGCACCAAGTAATCCCAGACATTGTTGAATGTGATTGTGTGAAGTTGTACTGAATTGTAGGGACATTCCTAATTGAAGTTAGGTTGTTGAATCGAATCGGGATTTTCTGGATTTTGCATTGATATTATTTAAGAGCCATTTCAATTAGCATCTTGAGGATTGCTGCTTCGAAAAGCCTCTTAATTTTTTGTTGTAATGATTAATATTTTTCAATTAATTTATCATGGGAAATCAAATCATGGGCAAATTCAGGAAAACCAGATTCCAAGGTTTTTCCGAAAATCAAATTGATTATTTAAGGTATCTATAACAATTCCATTTAAGTGACAAATGGTTGTAAATTGAAAGCAACGGAGTGATCGATCCAAACAAGTTCGCTGATCAATACAATGTTACTCACAAGGAAGCCATTAAGGTAATGAAGTTCTGTTAATTTTAAATAGATTATCAAGTTGATGGACTTTGATGACAGCGGCCGAGTCGACTACTATAAATTTAAAGTAGGAGTTGCACAATTATGCCAGAATCCAATGACAGTAATATAAGTATATTTATGAACCTCTAGACAACCGCAAGAACTATTTTTGATCTCTACGACGAGGATAGAGACAACAAATTGGGACCTAAGGAAGTGGGTATCTTTTTAACAAGCATATTTAATAATCTTCACTACTATGAAGGTTTAGATGACCCAACACCCAAGGAAGTTGAAGAAAAACTCCAACAATATCTGGTGAAGTGGGATTTGGATAGAGACGGAGGATTTGAATATGAAGAATATTTAAAATTGATGCAAAAAGATCCTGACGTGTTGAAAGTACTATACAATATGGGATTGGCTAATAAAGATGAATTGACAATCGAAGAGACTTGTTATAACGACATTGACAGTGACATTGAAATCGAGATGGAGAGAAGATTACTGCCTAGAGATGAGAGAGTTGAACGTATCAAAAATGGAATTGAACACACAATATCAGCAGAGGCAAGTGACGAGTTTGGAATGGAAGAGGAGGAAGTGGTAATGGAATGGAAGGATTAAGCAAAGAGATTGGAGCCAACTAAGAAACTAGAAGGAATGGATGCTTCTCCACCAAATGCTATTCTTGATTTGGAGTATATTTATGGATATAGATGTCATGATACTAGAAACAATTTAAAATATGGAAACAAGGGATAAATTGTTTATCATACAGCTGGTGTTGGAATAGTCTTGGATCCAAGCAATATGAGTTAAAAACACTTTTTGGAACATAATGATGATATATCTTGTTTGGATATATATGAAAATTTGGTGTTAACTGGATAAGTAGGTCTTAATCCAATGTTGATGGTGTGGAACATTGACAATATGAGAATGGTTTGTCTCTTCAATGATGTCTTGAAGAATGGTATATCTAATTGTTGTTTTTCAAATGATGGAAAGAGTGTGGCTGCTGTTGCTATGGATGATGACCATTTCATGGCTGTTTATGATATTGATATAGCTGTGAATTCAAGGAAGGATCCAAAGAATAAAGCATCTCCCTTGATTGCAGGTGGAAAATTAACAAAATAAGAAATCTTTGACATTAAATTCTTACCAGGTGATTGGTAAATTGTTGTAGCTTGCATGAAAGAAATCAGTATTTGCACATGGAAAAATGGTACAATCCTGGCTGAAAGAGGAGTTTGGAAGGAATAATAGCCTCAACCTGTCTTGACAATTGCTATCAATGGAGGATATATTGTTACAGGTGTTTTCAATGGAAATTTCTTGTGTTGGAAGAAAAACATTTGTGTTAAGAGTGTCAAGGCTCACGTTACTCCAGTCAAAGCAATCATGACAAGATCAGCTGGTAGAGGAATCATATCTGCTGATAAGAGAGGTATCATTATGGGTTGGGATCCATAATTTAATAAAGTGTTTGAAATTGACACCAAAGATTTACCACTCAAATTAAGTTATCCACCCAAAGGATCACCTAATGTTATTTCCGTCTGTGAAAGTCCTGAAGGTAAAATCTTGTTTGGTACCAGGAGATCAGAGATTGCAGAAATCCTTAGTTATGAGGAGGGTTAAAAAATATAATGTAAATTACTCATGTAAGGACATTTCAATGGAGAATTGTGGGGATTAGATACACATCCAACCTAGAATATATTTTATACTGTTGGAGAAGATGAGATGTTGGGTATGTGGGATGTCAAATAGAAGAAATTACTTAAGTCAACACCTAATCAATATGCCAGCAAAACATTGAGTGTTAGTCAAAATGGTAAATGGGTAGCCACTGGTTGTTCTAATGGAAGAACATTCATCTATGATGCAAGTTCTTTAAAAAAATTATCAGAGATAACTGAAGTTGTAGATCCTGATAAGGAAATCATTTCATTAATCAGATTCTCCCCTAATAATGAACTTTTGTGTGTTTGTTATAAGCCACCATTTTCAGAAATTGCCTTCTATTCAACGAAAACCTGGAAAAAACAAAGTAAAATCCCTAATTGCAAATATCATGTCTACACTTTAGACTTCTCTGCCGATAGTAAATTCATCCAATTAAATACCAGCAATTATACTATTGAATTTTATGATGTAAGTTCAGCACAACCTGTATAATTTGAAGCTGCCAAAGATATTTAATGGTTCACTTGGACTTGCATTTATGGATGGTAAGTTTAAGGTATTTGGCCAGATTGTTCTGATGGTGATGATGTCAATGCCACTGATAGATCAAAGGATGGCAAATGTTTGGTTGCTTGTGATGACTTTGGCAAAATCAAATTATTCAAGTATCCTTGTCCACAACCAAAAAGTGGATGTATCAAATACACAGGACACTCCTCTTATGTCTGTGGAGTCAAGTTCACAAATAGTGGTGAGCATATCATTTCAGTGGGAGGTGACGAATTATCAATATTTTAATGGAGATATATCTTCTCGCCATCCAGATTAGATGTCTAAGATATACAGGAGGAGCCTGAAAAAGTTGAAGAAAATGTTGGTGGAGCCATGTTTGAATAAGAAGAATTAGATAAGGGTGATATGATTGGAGCAGTCAAACCATTTTTAGGTGAAGTCTAACATTCAGTTCCATCATGGTACAAACCAAACAAGGCTAGAGATAATTAGGACCCAAAGGGTAATTTATCATTGTATCATGTTCATGGATTCAGATTCTTTTATATTTTGGATGAATGCAGAGACATGATGGGGTGGACAGATAAAAATAAAGTTGTTTTTGTATCAGCTGCTTTAGGAGTGGAGGTAGATCCTAAGACTTAACAACAAGCATTCTTTAATAAACATGAAGAGGACATAGTTAGTTTTGCTTTGCATCCAAATAGAAACATAGCAGCCACAGGACAGATGGCTTAGGCAGGTAAAGCTAAATGTATTGATATTTTTGTTTGGGACATCGACTCAAAGGAGGTGTTGGCTAACTTTAACCAATTTCATTTAAGAGCTATAGTGTTATTGAAGTTTTCACCAGATGGATCTTTATTGTTAACAGTTGGTTAAGATGATGACAATTCGCTAGCCATTTATGATTGGTAAGGAAAAAGATAAATTTGTACATCCAACATAGATAAGGCAAAGGTTAACGGAGCAGCTTGGAAAGACAATGAAGAATTTGTGACTGTAGGAAACAAGCACATCAAATTTTGGAAGATAAGTGGACGTAATGTCTAAGGCAAGATGGGTTAATAGTAAGGCAAATTCGAATCTTAATTCTCAGTGGCTTATGCATTTGACAATCAAGTCATAGTTTCAGGAGGAGGCAGTGGAACTGTGTTTTGCTGGAAAGGTGGAAGTAGTGATAAAGGAGTCAAGGGTCACGAGGGCAAAGTGTGTTCATTCATTATGGATAAGGCCAAGAAGTTATTATATTCTGGTGGTTTAGATGGCAAAGTAAACTCATGGGGTTATGAAGGAGGTTAATTGGTAAAGAAATAAGAGATCATCAATTTGGCTACAAATCCACTCTTCCCACCAGGTGTTGTGGCCATGGATTACAACGAAAAGACTTAACAGTGGTTATTTGGTACCAATGGTGCTTAGATATTCTCTTATGATCCAACTAAAAAATAAACTAATATTGTAGTGTAAGGTCATTATGGTGAAGAATTATGGGGAGCTTGTGCTGCTCCAACTGGACACAAATATGTCACAGGAGGTGGTGATAAGACAGTTAGAGTTTGGGACATCGATTAAAAGAAGATGGTTTGTGTTAGTAAACCATTTCCAAGTGAAGTTAGAGCTGTCGATTGGTCAACTGATGGTAAATTTATAGTTTGTGGTGATCTCAATGGATTTGTATATCTATTAGATCCTAATACTTTATAAGTTATGGACACTGCCAAGACCATCTTTACCACTATGCCTAAGAGATAGTCTACATATTGGATTGATGATTTAAAGATATCACCTGATTGTAAAAAGGTAGCCTTTGGTGCTCATGGTGGTGCATCACATTTGGAGGTTTGGACTATTGAATATCCAAAATTTGGTAAATAAGGAACCAAAATTTAATGTGGTTTAACTTCAGCTTTGACTGCTTTGGATTGGTCAGTTGATTCATCTATCGTAATTGTCAATAGTGGGGCATATGAACTTAAGTATGTTGATGTAAATGCCAAGAAAAATCAAGCATCCTCTAGTTAAGCTAACACAGAGTTTGCTAGTTGGACTTGTAAATTGGGATGGCCTGTTTAAGGTATTTTCCCTTCAGCTGATTACAGTGATGTCAATACTGTTTGTAGAAGCAATAGTAAAAAATACTTGGTTTCTGGAGAAGATACTCAACATGTTGTTTTGATGAACTATCCAGTTGTAGTACCCAAATAAAAGAGAAAAGAGTATATTGGACATTCATCTCATGTTATGAGAGTCAGATTTACATGTGATGATAATTTCTTGATTTCAGTAGGTGGAAATGATAAGTCAATTATTGTATGGAAAACAGATTTTGGAAGTGCCCAAGGAAAAGTCGAATAAGTAAATTTGTAAGAACTCTGTAAGGAAGAAGGAGCAGATGATATCGATATGCCTGTTAAGAAGAAGAAGGCTTAAGCACCTCCTAAAAAGTAAATCTAACAAGATGAAAATTCAGTATTCTCCCAAGAGGAAACAGATGAAGGAGATTAATTTATGGCATGCAAACCATGGATGGGAGCTATTAAAGAACCAACATACTAATATTATTCAAATAAAACAGAGGGACATAAACCACCAAAATGTGATTTGGAAATTGAATATGTACATGGTTATCGTACAAAAGATATGAGAAATAATTTATTCTTTTTAGCAAATGGCTAAGTGTTGTATAATGCAGCTGCATTAGGAATCATTTTAGACGTTGGCAGCAACACCCAAACTTATTTCAATAAGCATGAAGATGATATCACAGCAATAGATTTGAATCCTGTAGATAGAATGACCGTAGCTACTGGTGAACTAGGAGCTAAGCCAAATATCTTTGTTTGGAATGCTGAGACCAAGGAAGTGAAATGCTAGTTCAAAGCCCCATTGTAAAAAGGTATCATAGCAATGGCATTTACTCCTAATGGCAAAAGATTAGTTGCTGGAGCAGTTGATGTTGATCATTCATTGGCAGTTTTCGATGTGAGTGGAAAAGGAGCTGTATTGTGGTCAGACAAGAGTGGCCCAGATGTTATTGTTGATTTAAGATGGAATACAGATGATGCATTTGTCACAGTCGGAGTTAAACATTATAAATGTTGGAAATATGATAATGGTAAATGTCAAGGAAAGAAGGGATAATTCGGAAAGGGAGCAAGTAACAATTTATCAGGAATTGCTATTAATGGAAATGATACCTTATGTGGAGGTGCAGATGGATGCATATAATTATGGAAAGGAGAAGCATTTATGAAACCATTACCAAGTAAACATGCTCAAATATGCGATTGTATTACTGTGACACAAGATTATGTTTTCTCAGGAGGAAGAGATGGAGTGTTCTTTGTTTTAAGTAAAAATTATGAAGAAATCTTGGCTGTCAAAGTAAAGGAAAAGTGTCCAGATTCTGTGTGTCCTAGTGTCAGAGCTATCTATGCTGATTTGCCAAATTCTAAATTGCTGATTGGAACATTGGGAAGTGAAATTTATCAATTCTCTTGGGATGGTGGAGCTATTAATAGTTAGACAGACTTTTAGGTAACAAATCTTATGAGAGGTCATTTCTGTCCAAATTTGAAATGGACCAATGAAGTTTGGGGTTTGGATATATTTTAAGAAGACTAAGATAAATTTGTAACATGTTCTGATGATGGTACTGTTCGTGTTTGGTCTATTGCTGATAGGAAATAAGTTAAAATTGGTAGCACTCTTTTGACTGCTGATGGCAAAGAAGAGAAGAGGGATCTCAATACTGGAGATTTCACTGATTAATGTAAAGCACGTGTTGTTGCTACAAATCCAAAGGATGAAGGTTTCACTGCAGGAATGAAGGATGGTACTATAAGAGTCTATGATGCTGAATTTACTTAAACAAAAGTATTTAAATAGGCTAAGGAATGGATTAGTGATATCAAATTCTCCCCTGATGGTACTACTTGTGTTATTGGTTCACATGATAATGCACTTTATGCTTATAAATACCCTTCATGGAAAGCAATAGGCAAAAAAATGCTCAAACATTCATCATATATTACTCATTTTGACTTTAGTAGAGATGGTGTCAATTTGCATTCCACTTGTGGTGCATATGAACTTTTGTTTTGGGATGTTGCATAATGCAAATAGGTATTATTTAGTTATCATTAATTTAGTTACCTGGTGGAGCATCTGCATTAAAGGATGAATTATGGTACACTTGGACAGTTACACTTGGATGGCCAGTCTAAGGTATTTGGCCTGAATGTGCTGATGGTACTGATATCAATGCTGTTGATCGATCCAATACTACTATAAATGGAAAGAATGATCCAAAAACATCTTATCATTTGCTTGCTTCTGGAGATGACTTTAGTCATGTTAGAATACTCAGATACCCAAGTTTGAAGAAATCATCCGAAGCAGTTGTTGGTACTGGCCATTCATCCCATGTTACCAATGTTAAATGGACCAAAGATGATTCAAGAATCATCTCAACCGGAGGAGAAGATTAATGTGTTTTCGTTTGGAAGGTTACAAAAAAGTGATAATTATGAATAAATCATAATTCAATTGTTTACACAACCCATATTGTTATAAACTTCTATTTCTCTGTTGGATCATCAAACCTTAATACTTTTTAAGTTTTCCCATTTGTAATCTATGATTTATGATTGTTATTAGATTAATTCTGATGTAAAAGTGTGTTAATGGACATTGACATATTTATAATACTGATTTTTAGTTGTATTTCATCTTCAAAGTCATGGAAAATTACATTTATTATAATTCTGCCTAATATCAGTTTTTCTAATATTCTTATTATGTAGATATTTATTTTTTAATATAAAACTCAAGCTAATTTATTTGTAAATTTATTTCCTAACTTAACTCTTACAATAGTACTTCCTTTAGTATATGTTGAAGTAAGTCTAGTAATAAATTGGATATTGAAGTAATTCATGGAATTGGATGTGTTTTAAACTCATACGTAAATATAAAAATTGCACTTTACTTTGTACAATATTTAAGAAATTTGATACTTAAAAACAATATTGAGAATAACTAATTAATTGAAAAAGACATAATATAGATAACTAATGCATCATGAGATAGTTTGTATACAATTCATTGTATGTTTAATTTCTTCAACTTCTTTATAATGTGCTTTAAATCCTTTAATTAGAGAAGGATGTTCGAATTTTCCTGATTATTTAATTGGCTAGCATCATCTAGAGTGGCTACTTATTATATAAAAATATCTAAATTTAATGTTAATGGATACTTCGCCCTTCTGCAATATATTAGCTTGTCTTTGATTTCCTTTTGAGTTTTATTTTTCTTATGCATTTGCTCAGCCCAGTGCTTACTTTGTTTATCGACCAATTTTATGATGGAGGAGATTAATGAATGGTGTGGTATAAATCGAGCATCGGAGAATCATCTTCTTAGAAGTTTTCATATGACTATTCGAATTGAGATTTCTTTTCTTATACATCATCGTATAGGTTAAAACTCATATGTAGGCAATAAAAAAATAAAATAATTATTGAAATATGATGAAATACGATGAAATCATTATAAGGGAACTAAATATATTTGATATTTATAAATAATCTCTTCTCACACACATTTATAAAACAATATTATACCTAAGAATTAAAAAATATGACTTTAATTACAGTTCTTAGAAAATAAAGCTAGTAGAGTACAATTCTATTCTACAAGAGTATCTTCATGCTTTCACATTCAATTTGTTGATAAAGACAGAGTATAAACTCATTTAATAATTAAGATATGGTTTAATCAATTGATGCAACAGTTATTACAAAATAACCATAAGATTTTCTCTAAGAAATCCGTTACTAAATGTAATAATTATCAATAAATAGAAAGAATTCAGAATAATACAGATTGTTAATATTTATAATAATAATGTTTTACCAATCAGATGGAAACTGTACATCCTAAATGTAAACCAATCTGCCTGTTATCCAAGTCAGTCGAGTCATCTTAAATTCATAAGAATAAAATTACCTAATAATACTAAATCTTAAATATTACCTTAAGCCTCCTCTAACAATGAAAACAATGATAAATCGTATTGATTTGCAATCCTTAAACCAGACATCGTAGTTGATAATCTAATAAGGTGGTTTATTTTGTTAATGACTCTTGTAATAGTACAAATTTAATATACATTCTCATTTATATTTTTGACTATTGGGAAGAGAAATGAAAAGTCTATTTTGCAACAGGAGCAATAAAAGCCCTTGTAATGGCAAAGAAGCCTCTCATCACAAATAAAATTTATAAATATTATTATAAAATGCATGTAATGATAAATTTATTTGTGTTTTATTCCTCCTCTTATTTTAAATATCTCCATTAGAGAGGAATAGAACTCATAGTCACTCGAAATTATTGGGAATTAATCTCTAATTAATTAAAAATGTTTCATTTTATATTACTTGTAACGTTGCTGAAACAATATCATTTAATACCTTAGACAAAGGAATAAAATTTACTTATATAAGAATATCAAAAGCTTATGATACTTTACATAGTTTTCCTAATTATTTGCTCCTAAATTTCCTCTCTTTTTTCTAAATATAATAACCTAACTTACTCGTCTTACTGACTCAATCACTTTTTGATATAATTGCTAGGAGCTAAAGGTATAATACATCAAATCATAAGCTTTAATAAATGAATAATTATTCATTTTTTTGTAAAACATTACTCCTTCAATTGAAAAAATTTTAATCCTTCTATACGACATTAAGAGTTAAAATAGAAAAGCATCTCTCATACACATACATTAGTAAGCCATTATTGTGTCTAGTGTCATTTGTTTCTCCTAAGTATTTTAGAAATTCATTTGATTTTACAGCATAAGTAATTTTTATAAATATCAATATCAGTTTCAATTATCTTAGATTAATTCGCAGTTCTATAGAGGTTTCATGTCTTTTTATTAAAATTCTATTTCAAATTTTCTCAAAGGTTTTATTTCGACTTCAACAATTTTACATTTTCAATTGACATACAATACACTAAGATTCTCATATAATTTCCTCTCTTTGAAGTATTGGTATATTAACTACAATTCTGATATTGCATGTTATGAAAAATTCATTTATAATATATTGCATTAATCAAGATAAAATGGAAATAAATGAATCAAAAATCTTGTGTTCATATTATGGATATTAGATTAGTTCAAATTCTTTTATCCAATGATTTTATTGATAATTATTTGATTCTAATAATATTGTATTATTATTAATATACAAATAATTAATGGACATATCAAAAATAGGAAGCTCTGCAATTGATAAGTCATTTGGCCGAGGAGGGCAGTCTAAGGATGCTGTAGTAATAGTATCAAATTTGGAAATTCATAAACCTGTCGTCACTTTTTGTGATATGAATCAAGCCTAGAAAGAATTTGCATTTGAAACTGCTGAACATGCTTTTAGTATCTTACATTTGTTAATTTTAAGAATTGTCTGCTAAAAGAGAAAAGAGATATTTTAAAGACATAGCGGAATACATAAAAAATGAATTCGATAATAAATTTTAAGGGACATGGCATGTAATAGTTGGATTACACTTTGGGTCATTTGTTTCTTATGAGAGTTAATGTATGATACATTTTTACATAAACTAATTGGGATTCATGATTTATAAGTTTGGCTGAGCTATTTGATATGAACTATTATAGTTATTAAATAATGTTAAAGAAAGAATCGACTTAAAGTTTGTTAATAAAATATCCTCTATAATATTAGTTGTTATTCTGTTAAGATTTCTAGATTCTTCTACGCCATTGTAATTTGATATTTATTAGATTAGATCAATTACAAATTTTTGGAATCTCAATTCTCTTACTCAGGTATGTCTTGGGTATTAATTATGAATTATGCCTTTATCAAAAAAGTATGAATTTTTATTTAAAATTTATATCTTATTTAATAAAAAATACAGATTTTTGAAATCAGATAACGAATCCCACTTCAGCACATGCAAAGTTAACTTTTTTAGCATTTTAGAAATACAATTGGACACTGATTTTACCCTATTAATATTATTTAATTATTTTACAGATGGAGTAAAGGTTGGGAAGTTTTAGGTCAACTCGTAGGTAACACGATCTCCTTTGTCATAGACTTCGTCTTCTGGATAGTTGTCTTCAAAAGCATCCATTCCATTCCATTTGGCTTTGAGTAAAACATTATCTAATTCTGCATGTTCGTTGGCAGATCCATAAAGTGTGATTGTTTCATCAACACCCTTAGCAGGTGTAACACTGAAAGTTGCCTCAGTGAAAACAATCTTTGGATTCTCCATGCAATTTGTAACTTTGGTTGGGATGGCTGCTAAAATGGATGATACCAAGAGTAATGCAATGAGGTATTTCATTTTTTGATAATATTATTAATATAATGTTATTAATAATTTCAGCTTTAAATGGCCGCATTACGCAATCAATATTTATAACCATCTAAAATGTATTATTGTATTCAAATTTTTCAATATTCCGCAAAAAAGTAGCTTCAATTAAGCTTTGCTAGTTTTTTGATATAATTCTAATTGAAAACTTTTTTGATTGTTATTTATATATTTATGACTATAACAACCTAAAGGAAGATGTTAAGAATGAATAACTTCATTATAGCTGCTTGTATCATAGCCATAGAATTTGGATAGACTGTGAGCCCATTTAATCATTTATCCTGCAGTGAATCTATTTATCATATGAATAAATTTCCTATTGTTAATTTCAAATACTTTTCATCTTCTATCAACTATCTGCCCACCAGCAAGAGGATGTTGCCTAAATGGATCAACATACTCAGATACATCAAAATGCTCAACTGGAACAACCATACATTTACATTATTATTTCATAGATATGGATAAATTTTGTTTATCAAAAGTATTGTTAATAATACATATCTAAAACCTGTCCAATCATCGACAGCTTATCTTTAAATTAATTGGAGCAACTTGTCAATAATCAGTATATGGATATCACAAACTGAGGCAACATGTTTGTCTATCCACCTTCAGGAATATCAGTTCAACAATGCACTTGTAATACTTTAGGATCAACTTGAATAATGATCCAGCAACAGCAAATTTATTATCAACAGGATATTTAAAAATACATTTGGTGCTTGTAATTGGTTATCAGAATTTGCAACAAATGGAACTTTAAAATAATGCTTTGGTTACTTTTATAAAATTGGTTTGCCAGCCTTCTATCATAGATTCCTAATCGAAAAAATATTCATATTTACACATAATAAGAAGGAAAACTCAATTTTTATAGAAAATCTCAGGATAATATATTTGAATTTCATCAAGTGATACATCTACCTCTTGATATAACTCAAAATGTTGAACAATCATCATGAATAGAGCTTATTACTAGTAAACTATTGAAAAGGAAAGATAGTTAAATCTATTCATTTTTGAAGTCAAAATTAATTTGAAATTTAAAATTAAATGATCGCATAACAAAATAAAACGAAACTCTCTTCATTTTTAAATAGGATATCGATTTTAATAAATTATAATAATCTTGCAAAATCAAGTTTGAAAGGAATCCTAAGTTTTAATTATTAATATTGTATTTCAATTATAATGTTCCTTTCTTCTTTAATAGATAAATACCACAATACTAATAAATTTCTTCTATCTGATTGTAAAAATAATAGATCTAAGATTATAAAACTATTTCAAATCAAATAGTATTAATTTTATGCCTTAGAATTCATCTTTAAAGTTTAGGTTTCATAAGAATATCTACAGTAGTCGAAAAAACCTACATCAACAAAACTATTTTCAATAATTGAACCTGAATTATAAGTAGAAAAAATTGTTTGTAAGTTAATGCTATTGTTTTGTAAATAGAAAAAAAAAAGTTCTCTTATTTTTCAAAATTCATAATCACTTATTAATATTCCTACTCTATTTGTTGAAATTTACAATTAATGTTGTTCTCTATATGTTTCAAGATAAAATATATTATTATAATTATTAGAATAAACAACAATATAAAACAATTGAATCTTATTAAAAATCAATTAAAGATGAATATCATATTAATTACGGACAGCTATTCATATAAATGAAGCTTAATCTTATATTTTTCTTTCTAAATATGTCCTTTTCAATCATTTAGATAAACTGCCTGATTACTTGATTTATAGTTGAATGCCTGATAAGGGAAAGAGTGCTGATGCTGCAAGAGATGGAAATTAGAGAGGAATCAATGATTATACTAAAAAGCAAATATATATTATTTTTAATTAAATATGCAAATTTAATTTAAATCTTTAAATAAAATATTTATTTAAAAATCAAAATATGCAATAAAAAGAAATTCAGCAATAATTACCTCCACAAACCACCCCACAACAAATGAAGACCATAATTTACATTGAAAATTTAGATCAGGTATGAAAGTCTTTAATAACATCTTTTAGGGTATCTCCGAAGATTATTTATATCGTAAATTTAAGGAAGTAGGTGAAATCCAAAGTTTAAAGATTACAAAGGACAAGACCACTCAGAAATCAAAGGGATAAGCATTCATTACCTTTGCTCATCCAGATTCTGCCGAAGAAGCAAGAAAGAAATTCAATAATTCAGTGTTCATCAGAAATGTCATCAGAGTCAAGCCATACTTCAATTATCACAATGCTGATAAAAAAGCCAACATCTTCATTAACAATCTACCTGAAGATGCTGACATTTTAGAATTGGAGTAAGAGTTTTCCAGATACGGTACTGTGCAATCGGTCGATGTTCACAGAGACATTTTAGGAAAGCAATTGAAGTATGTCAATTAAGGTTAACCCATTTTAGTTATGGTTACGTTCAATTTGAGAAGAAGGAAGATGCTGATAACTTGATAAAGAGAGTTATGAATCACCCAATAACTCACAAGGGGAAGTTGCTGAAGTTGGAGCAATTCAAAGCCCAATCGGAGAGAAAGGTGGAATCCAGTTCGATCTATCTGAGAGCCATTGCTAAACCATTACCTCAGAAGTATTGGGAATAGGATAAGGTGGTCAGAGCAATTGAATATGGATGGTCTTTGATTATCAAAGATTACTTCTAAAAACACGGCACTTAAGTGAAGGACTGCTTTGTTAAGATCGATTTACACACAAGATAACCTTGGTCAATGATCTCATTCGAAAATTCAGAATAAGCAAAAGACAATTTGGATATTTGCGAACAATAAAGAAAACATCCATGCATAAATTCAGGTGCTCATCACGCATTGGAATTAATCAATAAACATGGACCACCTGTCAATAGTGATGCAAGTGAAGCCTTCTCCATTGCTGAAATTACTTAGGCATTCAAGGAAATGGCTCAAGATCATAATGACACTTTCAAAGGAGAAAGTGAAAATTTCTTCTACAATATGGTCTACAGCAAACACTTAAATCCAGATGACAGATTGATTCTCGTTCAAAACATCAAGGAAGAAGTTACAAAGGAGCAAATCCAAGAGTTCTTGTCAAGATTTGGAAAAGTTATTCGTCTAACCATAAGAAAGACTAAGAATCCTAGATTTTAGGTTCAATAATGCTTTGTTCATTATTAAACCATGGAAGATTCAAAGAGAGCAAGATCAGAAATCTATGATGAAAACAATGCAGAAATTTCTAAAATTAAGAAAGAGATTTTCAAGGATGGCCATGTGATGATGAATATATTATTGTCCAAAACCATGAGAAAGGAATTCAAGGAAGTCAAAAAACAAAGTCAAAGCATCTTCCAAAATCCAGGAGGTAGATAATTACTCCAACCTCCCTTCGGTGGAAACTTCCCAGTTATGCCTCCTCAAATGCCCTTCCCTCCTGGAGGATAAGGAATGAGACAAATGCCTCCCAGAGGACCAAGATCTGGCCCCTTCCCCATGATGAGAACCTAAGTTCCAAGACCTCACATGATGAACAAATAGCCCATGCAACCACCCATGAACAAGGTGGTCCAACCTTAATCATTCATCTAAGAATTCTCTGATTACACCTTAGTTTAAAGTAGAATGGAAGAATTCTTGAAGATTCCTCTTGCCGATCAAAGAAATGTACTTGGTAATCTGTTATTCCAAAAAGTCTTCGATGTTGTTAAAGATAAAGAGGCAACCAAAAAAGTTGTAGGTACATATTTAGTGTAATTCCTTAGGTATGTTAATTGATCCATCCTAATTTGAAATTGGTGACATCTTGAATATGTTTGAAGACAACTAAGAACTTCAAACCTATATTGACGATGGTCTTTCATTGATTAAAGAAGAAACTCAAAAATGAGTTATTATTATTGCAAAATGTACAAAAAAAATAAAATAAAATAAATAATTTAAATATAACTATCTTCCTTTATTTATTATTTTCAATCACAAATTATCTAAAGTAAAATCTATTGAATTAATAATAGCAGAATCCTTTCGAAAGGTCTGTGCCTTTTCTCCATGATGCTATTAAACCTAAGGAGACACTCTCCTCGCAGTCTGACTCATATTTCTATAAAGAAATTCCATTTTGTTTGATTTCAAATTCACAAACTGATTAACCTTCTTATTAACTAATGGATTTTTGTTGAATTAATTCATTCTATCGCTTAAACTACCAGCTGATTCTGAATTATCAACTTTAAGCTCTTTATAATAATCCATTTGCCTTAGCACTACTCTGATAAACTAAGTTTAGGAGGCTGAATTATTTTAAAGTTGTTCATATTAATAAAGTATCATTCTATTATTATTTTCCGTCTTTATTTTATTTTGAATCTTGAGTCCTTTTATACTGATCATCCATTGTGTATCACCCATGCTGTTCTAATAGAATTCCTCATATTCCTTAATTTTCTCTTCCCAATTGTTATGTATATTATATCTTAAATTCAAAGATAACTACTGTTTTTGATTCTGAAAATCTGCATTAGATAATATATCCTCTATTTTCTACATTTTGAGACAATTTTATTTGTATTTTTCAATCATCCCCTAGTTCTAATAAATAAAATATTCATTAGCACTTTATGGTTTTTAGTACAATATTTTAGTTTGATTTAATACAGAAATTGTAGATGTACCAATACTAGACAGGTATTTCCAACCATACTTTAATTTCATGATGATGAGATTTACGAAAATAGAAATTATCAACTTCTCTTGAAGTACTTCAGTGCAATAATATAACTTCTTCATTTCTTGAAGAACATTATTGCTCTGTTGATATTTTCTCATGATTTAAGAGATACTAGATAATATTTCCTGGATTTTAGGTGCCAAGGATCTTTGAGAGGATTATTGTTGTCGATTTGAAAGTAAACCATTCTATTCCATCAATTTGACTTAAGTTAAATTCAATCTGAATATCTTCCTTTGTTGTTGTTAGGATTATGGCGACGGAACTTGGCTTTTAATTTCTGTTATTTATTAATTCTAAGTTATAGTTTAGTAACTATTAAGGCTCGTCAAGTTCTCGTTCTTCTAGTAGGTTCGATGATCTTCATTTTCAATGAGTAATTTCTTTCTTAAGTATTAGTTTTCATATTTCCTTTAAATTTTAATTACTTACAATGATGCTATAGATACTTGTTTAGCGGTCTTATTATTGAGATTCAAAGAAAATGGATTGACATTCTTTCCTTAAATCAGTTGTAAGATAGTAACTAACCCCATCGAAGCTGCACTATGAAGGGGAGTGTTTTTATATAGATCTCTTTTGTGGAAATCAAATTGAGTGCTATTACTAGCAAATCGTACTGCAGCTAAAGATGGTAATTTTACAGCAGCATGTAAACTAGTTAATTTCATTGGGTTTCTAATGTTTGGATCGCATCCCATGTCTAATAGAAGCTATTCTTTAAGTTTTAAACTACTTTGACCATTATTTATGCTTATTATTATTGTTATGCATTTCTGCCAAATGATGTCATCGCTACATGCATAACAGTAGATCCATAAGCGACAAGTATTTTATTTGGTCCAATAATGTCCTTCTCCATTTGCTGATTTAATTCAATCCCATTCTGTAACAAGATCTTCATCATTTGAATATCCAATCGTTTAGCTGATAACATGAACAAAGTTTGCATTTCAATTTTACTTTTCCTAAAGGCTGGCAACAAACAATTAATACACTTTGTCCTATGCAAATTGAATGCATATAGAAGAAGTGAACAATCTTCCTCATCTTTTATCATAAGCAATTCTGGATATTTTTAACTAAATTGCTTTAACAATCCTATGGAATCTCTTTATATAAATGTAAATAAAATATTCTTACCACTAATATTATTAAAATTATTACTTTTAAATGAATTACTAAATATCAAACACTTTTCCAACCATATAGTAGTAAAATAACGAGAATGTTATGATTTCTTGTCTTTGCACGACTCTCTAGCCCAATTAAACTAATTTTGATTTGATCTGTCTATCAAGTTAGCAACTGATAGCACAATAATCGAACCAATCAAGATCAAAATATTATAAAGAATCCAAAATTTCATTGAATTTCGCTGGAATTGTAGTAAACATATTTGATCTTAATCCGAGACATGTTAATTTTAAATCAAATAGTTCCTATGGCAAATATTCTATATTGTTGTTATTTAAATTTAACTCTCTTAGAGCATTTAATTTAAATAAACTGGATGGTAACTGCTCTACAATTATCAACCAAAAATAAATACTTATCTAATTATCAGTCAATAATAATTTTTCCAAATTTGGCAGGTGAAATTTAATAGGAATTGATTGGATTTAATTGAAACTCAAATTTAGGATCTTTAACTTAGTGAGTGACCTGCACAATTAGTTATAGATAATTATACTTCAATTAATTGGGGAATTAATTCAATAAGTTATTTGACAAGTCTAAATCTAATAATTATTCTGATAATGTATCCAATACAGGTGCAGCAGAAGATAGCAATTAATTACTCAAATTTATTTTTTACGAAGTCTCTTTTATATGTTATTTTGTACATATTCTAATTCTTCATCCTTTCTCAATCTAAGTTTGTCGTTTTCAAAAGGAGTTCGTAGTGAAGGTATAAATGCTTTTTTCGAAATTTCCTGTTCACTGTCTAAAACCTCATGAGAACTGATAGATGACAATTTGCTCATTAATGATAGTAACGACTGCATTTTTTATGATTTAACTTTCCCTTTAATATATAAAAATAATAATAAGAATTCATTAATCGTAAGAGACTTAATCTTGTTATTAAATCAACCATGAAAACCTCTTTCGTATATGATACAATAAGTCCCAGTCTTGACCAGAAGGACATCTAAATCGTTACTTTAAATATTACTTTGTATGTCCCAATTACTTCTGAACAATCCGAGGACCATCAGATTAATTTAATCTCTCAATCAAAAAGTATATCTAACATCATTGTAATATACTTACTTTTTCTAACTAACTCAAGCCTTCCTCATCATCAAATAAGACCTCCAGGGCTGAAAGCGCCAGAGACTCAACAAACATGTGTTGATCAATGTGACCACTCTTGACATTTGAATTTTCTTGGTTCTCATACAATTTGGACAATATCTAAAATATCTGAACTATCTTATTCTTGGCCAATAAGTCAGGGAAAATTGAGAAATCCTAATTATTAGTTAAATGCAATAATTACTTTATAGAATCTTAAGAACTATTCAAAATTCATAATCTATTTACCAATTGTATAATGTTTATAATATACTAAAATAGATTTATGTAGCAATCCTAAAAACTCAACGATTTCTTTATCCTTTAACAAGGTCATTAATTAAGAGAGGAGATCTTTCATTTTATTTTCAGATCCTTGGCTCATTAAATGTAATACATGATCATATAAAATTGTCTTTAAGACATGTATGTCATTTGTTAATAATTAAAGACCTTTCAAAAACTATTAGAAGTTCATAGTTTATTTCTTTTATTTGATTGGAACTGAAGTTCTATTGTTTTATGAGATTGTGCAGGCCTTAGTAAAAATTAAATCAATTTCATTGTGAGGTACTTAGTAAGATAATTTACTGTTTTTGTCAATTAAATTTACATTAACCAAATTTGCATCCTTCAAGAACTTCATCCATTTACTACCGACCAATTCGTTATCCTGTCCAGTCTATTGATTAATTCCTGAATATTATTTGTAGATATTAATTAATTATGTGTAATTGTCTTGAAATAATAATTGGCATTAATCCTCGAATTACTTATTAATTTGGATTGATGGTCGAACTCTATTAGTAGGCACCGTATTAATTCGTTTCACTTGTTCATCATAAAATTCTTCATTTTTTAACTGATGAACCTTCATTCTTTAAGTGGTAGAGTTTAAATATTGAATTGCATCAGGCTCAGTAATTATTAATTCAATAAGTTCTTCAGGTACTTTTAATTTCCAATTTATTTTTGAGTTGTTTGATGGTATTTCCAGATTGTTAAACCCCTGACTCAACTCCATTCTCTCGAGTAAAAAAGCCAACTTCTGCAATGGAGTTATAATTTATTGTATTTGAGTGGAATCATCAAAGCTTTGAAGAGTCATCATGGCTAGCTTAATAATGTAACAACAGAATTAGTTAATATCAAATCGTGACTTTTGTTTTTTTTATTGGCTAATTTGAGGTAAATTAAGATCTGCTTAGATGTAGTCTAATAGTAAATAAGCAGACCCTTTAGTAATAAATTAGGGACAGATTTCAAATTCTTTTAAAAATAAAAATAATGAAGATCTTATCTATTATTTCATCATCAATTCTTCTTATTAGTCTTTCAGATTAAAGTTCTTAAATTAAGGAGGGAAGTATTTATTATAGATGAAAGTTATAGGTTAAATAACAACCTACATTAATTTGACACAAATTGGATCGATTTCTTGAGATAGTTTTGTTTCTTCATCTCCTAAATCTGTTGATGAGATAATATTTTCATATAATGGAGTCAAATGATTGTCCATTAGGATTTGAAATGAATTTTCCCCATATAAAATCTCAGATAGTAATTCCAAAAAGTAATAAAAATTCTCAAAATCCATATTTGGTTTATTTCTATTTGCTTTAACAAAAAGTAAGTCTATTTATTACTAATCCTATCTCTAGAGTTTGATTTGCGAATCTGACATTAATTTATGTACTTTGTTTGATCTAATATAATCAATATTGGTTCTATCTCCAAAAGATGCATAGAATTTGAAAATGACACTCAATTATTTCTTATCATCTACTCTTTTGACTTCTACAACTGGTATCTCGACTTTAGATTTTTTCATTTAAAGTTTATGTTGGTATTTTGCTCCATAAGAAAATAATTGATTTTTTCCTGCTTACATTGAATAATTCTCTTTGTTATCGATTCGTGAATATGCAGTCTCTTCTTTTTTATTTCTGATTCCACTCTTATTTCTCAAATCAATACTATCTATCTTTTAGAAATCTCTTTATAATGTGTAATTGGAACTTGAATTTCTCATTGGATTATTCAAATTTTATAATTAAAAACAAGTTAAATGATATCAGTTAGAATACAATAACTATACACAAGTTATAGAAATTTCAATAGTTTCTTTTATTGTTCATGGTATAATGAGTCAAATTAGCCTTTGTTGAGATGCCAGGTAAATTTGATAAAGGTTATTTTTCAAATAACTTATTTTGTGCATGCGTCACAATTTGAGGACCTGCATAAGAAGAATTGTAAATAGTTTACATAGTTTATAAATTGATTTTATTATTCTATTACATATTTGACCTTGTATTATTAAATTTAGAAGTTAGCATGCAATTTCTATTTTATACTCTAAAATTTTATTTGGTCTCTTATTTTGAATTGCTTCCTAAAAATTCATTATTTCTGACAGTCTATCTAAGCTCATTTTAAAATGTGGGCTCAGATTTTCTTTCATTTCCCAACTTTGTTATCAACTCAGATTTCTTTATCTCAATAGCATTCTCAGGTTTTTTATCAGAAATATTAGGTTGATTATCTTCTACTTCTTTTGGGTTATTCATTTTTTCATTTTCCTTTAGTTGCCTTAATTATTTCTCAAAGTTTTTCAATTATCGTTAAAAACCACTATTGGGACAAATGACAAATCTTTTACTCTTAACATACGAGAAGGCTTCACTATATGTCCACCCCTTGTTTCTCATAAGATAAGCTATAACTATTGAGGCTGACCTCGAAACTCCAGCAGCACAATGTACAAGAACAGATCCAGATTTCAATCCATTCTTGATCTAATAAAAGGAGTCGTCGAAAAATAATGCCACATTCGCCTATTCTGAATCTAGAATTGAATATGTCTCTTATGATATTATAAGTGTACCTTATGCGTCATTCTCTAATCATTATATCTGATATTAAGTTAGCATGCAACTGTTAATACTGTTCTAATTCCCTTGTTGTCAAGAGTGGGCTTGTCTTCAGCAGCAGTGTAATCACCCAACCATAATTGATTCCCATTTTCCTCATGAATAATATTCATGGCTTAATAGGAATGACCCATATTTCTATACATCATAAAATTTATTTAATACTGAACCTCAAATCGAATTGTGTTATTTATAATCAATTAGAAAATAATATAAGAATAATGAATTCATAATTAAATGTTCTCCAACAGTTTAATAAATTCGTCTTCTTCTATGACTCCGTCCTTGTTGAGATCACATTTTTACAATATGTCCTCCCAAGCATAATTATCAATTTCGATTCCACCAAAAATACTTTCCAATTCAGATTTGCTTATCACTCCATTTCCATCAATATCAAACATCTTAAATGCTACTTTGATATTATTAATCGTAATTTTCTATTATTAAACTAAAGCAGCAGAAATGAATTCAGTAAAATCCACTTTCCCCGACTCATTCACATCCAATTCTTACATTAAACCATCAGCCATAATCTCAGCTTTTAAATGATCCACATCTGCACTCAACATTCCTTTCAGCAATTCCTCCTTTGTCAATACTCCATCCCCATTCTAATCTAATGTCTTAAATGTTTAAAACAACTTTGAACTCTCCTCCTTATTTACCAATTGAACAGAAATAAACTGAAAGATTGCAGCTTTCAACTTATTCTAAGCAGTAAATTGACTTAAATTCTTAATTAAATTAATATCCTCAATCTCATTCTATTAGATATTCTAAATCCAAGGATGATTAAAAGCCTCCTACATACTAATCCTTTTCTTGGGATCCACTATAATCATTTTCATCATCAAATCCTTTGCCTACTCATTTGTTCTCAACCATCTCTCATTATTTGTATTCAATTTTCCCTATCTTGCCAATCTCAAAGTCTCAATATCACTTGCTCCCTTAAATGGAGGTCTCCCTATTAGTAAAATGTACAGGATGACTCCACATGACCACACATCCACTTTCTCATCATATCCTGAATCTGACAACACTTCTGGAGCAACATAATAAGGAGTTCCAATCTTTTTAGTCAAGAATGACGAGTCGATCATCTTTTCACTAGCTCCAAAATCAATCACCTTTAAATTGGCATCAGGATCTCTTGAATCAAACAGGATGTTTTCAGGCTAAATAGTTTTAAATTAGGTACTTTTAAATCTCGATGCACAATGTTTTTCTGATGACAATACTAAATGGCTGAAAACACTTACTTCATGTATTTCGCAGCCAGATTCTCGTTGTAATTTGTTATGGTTTTTATTCTCTCCAACAATTCCCCTCCCTAACAATATTCAGTTACTATATAATAATATTTAAAATCTGCAAATATTTCCAACACCTTTACTATATTTGGGTGATCCAAGGCCTTTAGGATTTCGGTCTCTTCCAATAATTTCTCCTCACAATTTATGGTTTTCCTCACCACCACCTTCGCAGCTCTCAAATTCTCCGTTGATAAATGTTTAACCAAATATACTTCTCCAAATTCCCCCTTACCCCAATTTTTTTACTATTTCGTAATGAGCTAAAAACTTTTCTGTTATGCATTGCTTTCTCACCAACATTTCAGGAGTTAATTTCATAGTTCCACTAATAGTTTTTTTTACAAATTCTACTGTATCTCCTTCCTTATGTTTAGTTTAAACTTACTACTATTCAAGATCTTTTGAATAACCCTATTCTTTTGATAATGAGTTTGATTTTATAAAGCTGGTCTCTTTGTCATGAATTATTATTTTAGAATGATTATTAGGCTATTAATTGATTTCCAGTCCCTCCGCAACTTCATTTATTTCATTTTCTGGATCCATTATAGCTTACTTTATGTTTACTATTACCTTTCTCATCAGTATACAATTTAAAAGAGCAACAACCCATATTATTATTATGCCAATTAATAAATATATGATATATTTAATAAAGTGAAATTCTCAGCCCCTCAGTCTATCAATAGGTTATTATACTCTCATCCTATTAAGCCATTCCCAGAGAAAGAGATTCGTATTTCATCAAACACAGAATGAGAATTAACAATAAGAACTTCAAACTTGCCAACAACCAAATCAAAGCGTATTGTTTACTGCCTTATAATTTAGGTTATTCAATTGTTCTTTGTTTGTTTTCAATAATTTTGATAAAGCCAAATTTCTCATTTATACTTTTTATAATTTATAAATCATAATTATGAGTTTGAACTGATTAATTTATCAAATATATATTAAAAATATGATTCTGCTTTCGTATTTAAATTCTTCTTTATTTATTACTACCCTAAAACATTAAAATTTTTCCAATCAAGTTACAAATTATTATCTTCTAAATTTAACTTAAGAAATGTATTACACTGACTAGATTTTATTACAGTAAATTATCTCACTTTTCAGATCAAAGAAACTAAATCAGAGTTTAAAACAGTTCATTTTTAAGAGATCTTATCTCTTTTGATATGATAAATCATTAACAATATGTATTCAAAAGAACTTAATTTTATAAGGTTTATTATTTTAAATTAATAATAGATAATAAAACAAAGCATCGCATATGAGGTTAAACCAAAAAGCATTTCTTAACTTATTATAAAAATGATTTTAATTTAAAATAAAAAACGTGTCATAGAAATGCTACTATACTATTCAATCATTTCTAAATAGTTTTTCATTAATAAATGCTCTTTTAAGTGCTTTTTCTCTTTTTATCTCTTGATCAGTCTAGGTTATTGCCTTGATTTACTAAAAATATATTTTAAGATATCATACCTTTTCTTACATGTCATCATCATACAATTAAGTGATAGGTGGTAAGAGTTCATGCTAGGATTTCCGCTTAACAGATAGAAATCTCTCTATCTTTTCATGCTAATCCCCTTAGATGTTATGGGCACTCCTAATAAAATTGACTGGTAAATCCTAAAGAAATTATTGAATAATGTACAGCACCGTAATTCTTCTTGATATAGAATTGAGTGATGTTTTTGGACTCTTTAATAATTTTTCTAATTTGATAAAAGTTCTTAGATTTTCCATTAAATGCAGAACCCATCGGAGTTTTTTCACTTTCCTCTGAATAAATAGGCTTGGATATTCAATATTATTTACTTTACCAGGAGAACCAACGAATTAAAGACTCTTTCGAGTTTCTAATTTTCTAATGGTTTCAGATTCATGAAATTAGTCTAGATCATTAATTTTGGATTCAGGTTGACTTATGGCTTTAGTTTAGGCAATGATAGCATTTTATAATTAAGATTAAACCTTCTATCTCTTAGCTTCTCCTTCATACAATCCCTTTCTTCATAGCTTGATTGGAGGCTAAACTCTAAATTCTGGTGATTTCATTATTATGTAGATTTATTTGCTTAAGTAGAACATCATAATCCTTTTTCATTTGTATGATTAATTTATATTCTGTTTCTTATAGTTTACCCTCTAATTATTCTCTTTCTTTCTGTTATTTAAATAACAAATCACTGTGTTATTTTTCGATACGATATTTTTAAACTTTATACACTCTGTCTTACTCATGCTTCTCTAGGTCTTTTAATTCTTTTCTAAAATCTAATGCTTCTTCTACTCTTTCCTCCAGACTTACCAACTTTTCCTGTGTTTGTAGATCCTTCAGCTTTTTCTTAGGTTTGACCTTCATTAACTCAGTATCTTTAGAGAGTCGATCCTCCAACAATCCTAATTCTTTTTCTTAAGATATTTTTAATTATGCTCTTCATTAATATAATACGAGTACCTTCTGTCTACTTTGTACTTTGTTAGCTATTAAAATTCTTAATAGTATTTATCATAAAAATCGTCTAGCTTTTCTTATCCTATTTCCTATATAAACTTTTCTTTCTTTGATTGATATACGTTATCTCAATTAATTTTGATAATCTGCAATATTTGCTTCTAGAATTCTCAATTCTTTCATTAGCTGTTTAAATAATATGTATTCTTAAATTTTTCAATAAAGCAGTAGCTACCTAATGCATTTTTTCTTTGATGACTGAAAACACTAAAATCTACTCATCTTCATTCAAAATTCTAATGGAATTCATTCAATTCTTACCCATCATTATCCTAATCGAAGAGCTCAAAGAAATCCTTTTCATTTTACAGTTTCAATAATTATACGATCTCACTTCTACAAGCTTCAAAGATTCTCTACACAATAGTAAAGTTTAATTGAGCATCTGTCACAAAATCATTTTTTCTCATTTCCATCCATATTCTCGAGCATTTGTTAGGTGCAGTGATATACATTTCACCTAACATTGGATTGTTATAATACCTTCACTTTTTATTTAATTAATAATGTGTCGAGGTAGATTAGATAGTGCAGAATAGTTAGACTATTATATTTTAGTGCTGATTGTCATTGATTTTGATTCCATTTAATTTATCATACTATTATAAATATAATTATGTGATTATTTTCAATCAAGAAATCTTAGCTGCTTGTCTTCGATTCTTCTGATAAACCAATAGGCTCTTCGTTACAGTAGTAAAGATCATGGATTCACACATTTTTGATGTTAATCTTGAACAATTGAGACTGGGGTATTTAGAGATGCTATTAATAATTTACGATATAATTTATATGAATTAATATGTAAATAATGTTATTAATTTTGCTTTTTATATAAGTAAATTCGTATTTAGATGCTAATAAAATTAAATACGCTGTTGATGCAGGCAATCAATATTATTATAAGGACAGGCAAAAGATATTATATCGCTATGATCAAAATTATAAGGGCGGCTAACAATAAATGTTCTATTAAAAGGTAACCTCAGATTAAAATCATCATTTGATACCTCTTCAATATTTGGATTATTATGTATTCTAAACATCGAGAACGGTATCCAGCGAGCAAGACTTTTTTAAGTATTCGATTACCATGAGGCTGAATGGGAATTACACTTTAATTTTATGTTTCATTGAAGTATAAACTAATTTTATAATAATATAGTCAGAACAAAGATCGGCTCGCTTTTTCGATATCTATTTGGAGGATGAACTAATAAAGGAGTAGTTTGATATTTACAAGGAAGCAGGGGGAATCAATATTCCACTATATTTTGCTTTTGAATTTGAATTTGATGGAAAAAACATTACAGCAAATCGCAAAACGATATATCAGATGAGCGATAATAAGCTGCATTTCGATCTGACCTTCAAAGGCAAAGGATCCTCTGTCAGTGCAATCATATTGTATTAAGGCAAAATAGAAGATATCCTAATTGACTTAGAGAGTGCATTACTTTCTAAAGATTAAATCGAAGCTACTTTCATCAATTAAATTGAATTCATCAAAGCACTGAAATAGAAAGCAGCTCGCTATGCTCATAAATAGAAAGGGAAAGGCAATGAAAATGTAAATACTTTGATGAACTAATACCTCAGTCCATTTCAGAAATTGATCAATAATTTCGATATCGGAAATAATGTGTATAATGAGATTTCAAATGGTTTAGATCCATCTCCTTTAGAATTGTTTTTAGATGCTTTATTAAATGTAATCTATCGAATAATATTTAGAATATTTTGGTTCCATTGGGGAGTGTGTTATTTCAAATTATAGATTTCATTTTGGATAATAAAATTCTCACTACAATTTTAATGACTAATTTAATATTGTATTATTATTGTTTTGGTAACGATAAAACCATGTTTGCCAATGTTCCTGTGGGATTAGTAAGAATTATTTTAACAATATTTAGGTTTTAGACCCAGAGGTTGATAGTGAAATGGAGATCAATTATAATGCATAGTCACCAAAATCGAGACATGTTAATGTATTGAAATCAAAAAAAAAGAAGAAATGATTTATAAAAATATTTTTAATAAAATTACAATTTAATGAGAAATAACAGCTAGTAAAAGGAGAGTATTTCACAATTAAAGGAAGTAATTAAATTTAATTTATTTTTAAGACAATTCACAAATTGTAGTAGAGAGAGGCTTCTTAGAGATTTGAAATAGTGAAATTAAAAAAATTATTAGTTGAGAGAAATTAAGAATATAAGTTAGTATCAGATTAATTATAAGAACTACAAAGAATTTAACAAAGAGTAAGATATATGATGTTATTGCTAGGATAACCAATATATATTAAAAATAGACAACTATGTTTCTAATTTGAAAAAGAAGCTGTAAAAAGCAAACATCAAAATTGAGTCACTCGAATCAAAGTTCTCCTCTTCGAGAGTTAAATAAAATATATCAAATGACGATTCCTTTAATGGAAATGACTCCTTTTAAACAGAGCCTACCACAATTTCCACTAAATAACCAATCCTTAAATAAACCTCTAATCGTTCAAATTAACCTTATTCTGTTAATAAACCAAAATTAATTTGTAAACCTATTAAGGTGTAATTACCCTATCCAAACACTAGTTTCACAGAAAATTAAGAAATATCAGAAAATAGCTCTCTCATTAAACCAAGAGCATTATAAGAATAAATTCTTAACAGAATCCTAGATGACGAAGAATTTATAAATAGTTTCTCTCATTAATGTGGATAAATGCAGACAGATTTGTTCTCCTATTATAAAAATTAGACTCAACCTCTTAGTTTTGCATGTAATTCAAGATAGAGTAGTTTCAGTTTTGCAAATAGTGAAAAAAAGTAGAATCAGAATGTTAAGTAATAGAAATAATCTAATCGATAATGTAAGCATATTTAATTAAGGTTTTAGATCATTCTATGTCTATCGACGAGAAGGAAAACAATAATAAATATTTTAATTGATTAAACTAGTTGTTTTACATTATAAATATATAAACTAATTTTAAAAACATATCTTTAATATTTAATCATTTTTACATATTGTTTTCCCTAATCGCAACATTGTGAGTATTTTACTGTTGCCAATTATTAATAATATTTTCATTATATATATTGGTTTAATTTTATTTAGGTGTTAATAATTGAGCATAGGCTAAACTTGGAGTAAAGCTATTGTTTCTAGTAGTCATTGACGTTGATTAATTTATGGTTCCAATAAGATTTAAGTTTAGAGAAGGAATAGTCTTTTTTACTCTCTCTGTCTTTGGAGCGATATCCTTTTTGTTGGATATTAGTTTTTTCATATCCAATATTTACACATGTTTCTAATGTTGCGAGGAATTGTTGTTTTTTTGTTAACGTTGATTCTAATCTTGAGATCTTTTGGGATTTGTTTTGTTTTGAAGTTTGTTAAAATTTAATTGTCTAAACGAATCAGGAATTTTGAGTATCTAATACAAGGCTTTTTGATCCAAAGAGAGTACTTAATTACTATTATTTTGATTTTAAGTGGGTGTTTGTTTCGATTCATGACTTGATAGATTATTGCTTTTGATATTCTTCATTTCTTGGAGACTTTTAATTATTTTCATTTCAAGTTATTTGATTTCCTGAATTGCTTTATTTTGATCATTTTTTTTGGGTGAATTACTTTTTTTATTCCTCTCTTCTAATTTAAATTTTTTACTATTAAGGTAATATTTGAATTTTATACATGAATTATTCTTTATTTTATTTGAAATCAATAATTTTGTCTCTTGAGATGGTTTAAGAGTGTTTATTTTAAAGTTTAGTTTAGACTAAATATGATAGCACAAATTACTTTAGTCAATCAATCTATTGGAATAAGATTATTGATATCTGGCCGATAAGGGCATTTTTGCTTCTTAAGGATTTTAGTGAGTTCTGGCAGACAAAGACAAGGCAAGTTCATCCAATTTAAGAGATTTCTTGCTCTGAGTCTTCTTCTTTTTAAACCATTAGTATTGCTGTTTTTGATTTGGAGAATCTGATTTTAGGTTTAGCAAACTTATCATTTATTGTATTTCACCCATAGGAGGAGATTCAGGGACTTATAATATGCGACTAATTTCTTAGGAGGGTTGAGGTTTCTTATTAGAGAAACTGATTTCTTTGAGAATGTTATCAACATTAACTTTGGATTATGGTTCAGAATTCTCAGATTACGGTGTGGAATCGCTTAGTAAAGGTTTATCACCTACTATTCCTTTGGGTGGATCAGTTGGGTTCATTTAATTTTCAATTTCAATTTATCTTTAAATTTTGTAAAATTCAATTTTCCTTCGTTTATCATAATAATAATTGAGAATTTTGAGTATGGGATGTTTCAATACCCATCTTGGTAAATCTTTATGAAATTTGTAGAATTCTGTAAGCAGTTTTGATTTGGGAGGATATTCATGCATTTCATAAAATCTTTTAATATATTCATCTTCTTCATCATAACATAGATAATCCTAGGGATATATTTGAATATTATACATGATATAGAATAGTTCTGGCAGTGGAAGTTTTGGATAATATTTCATTAATATCTTTGGTATAATAGTAGTTTTATGAAGTGGCGTATTTATGATAGAGAGTGTGTCTAATCATTTTATGCAGATTGATTTCACAAGGGAAATAGTTTTTGATATATCCTAGAGTTGTTCTCTTGTAGCAAAATTAGCAAGAATAATTAGACATTTTAAAATTAAATATAAATAAATATAATATATTTCAAACAATGTAAACAGTTTGGACCTTAATACATCCAACAAGGATAAGTGTGTAGAAGACTATAAAGAATTTATTGCCATCTGGTTAAGAATTTTTTGGTACTGTAATTAGAGACAGCAGAAATAAATCATGCAAAGTAATTTGATCTATGGAAGCGACTAGGTTAAAGTAAGCTACAAATATTGGCATAAAAAATACAAGTCATACTTTGGCGATACATCTGAATTTATAGCACATGACGAAGACAATTTTTGCAAAGTTGGCGATAAGGTGGTCATCAAACATTGCTAAAAAACAGGGGGCAAGTATTACTATGTAAGAAACGTGGTCATTCCAGTGGGTAGGAATCAATCGGATGTGTAGGATGAGGTGATGAAAGAGCTCTAGTAATATTTGTTGCTTATAATTAAATTAGAAATATTAGAACTTAATTGGTTTAATCGGGGTTGTGATTTATTATTAATACATAAAAATATTTACAAATAATTATGCAAGATTCTTTAAACTCAAGTCTCGACTCTCTGGAATTGGAGATTTTCCATAAGCCAAATCCTCAAATTAAATCCATCCTAGAATATTTACGCAATTAGAATGTCTAATTCTGTACGGATCCAAAAAAGAAATAAGATAATTATTACTCAAGTTCAACTGAATCACTTGATTCTTACTCATTAAAGAAAAACAAATTTTTCCAGAAATGGAGATCAAGCACCTCAATCGAAAATCACGAAAATTGATTCTCTATAATCACTTTAACATATATAAATAATTTCTGAAACTTATAATACTGTCATCCTCATAACTTTTTATTTAAGGGTTGACTTTCAAAATCCTTATGAAAATACAGAAGATACAACTCAAATATTAACTCTTCAATAGATCAGTGTAAAAAACACTGATTTGTCAATCAGTACTTCATTTTTTTTTTTTATTTGCTTGCAATTAAATTATTTTAATATAAACAGTTTATACTCTGCTTTATTATTAATCTAAAATTCTTTATTTAATTAATTACCCAAAGGGCTCTGGTCTGATATATCATTGAGTATTGAAATGCATTATCATCAATCATATTCATTTGATAGATTTGTTGGTGTAAAATACTTCACTCATAATAAATTGTAAATTTGGATAGGATTGCAATGAGTCAAGAAATTATAAAATAAATTACCCGGCAAATCTGGTGTTTTTAATATTTCCCTCTATAATTTATTTAAATAATTAAAAAGATTAGATGTTCGAAGCCAAGTTTGAAGACGGTGTCCTATTTAAAAAAATTGTGGAAGCAATCAAAGAATTGGTTAAAAATGTAAATCTTGAAGCCAATGGAACAGGAATCTCATTATAAGTATTATTTTGATCCAATCATCTTAAGGCTATGGATACATCTCATGTGGCTTTGGTGGCACTACAATTGAACGAGAAAGGATTTAAAAAATACAGATGTGAAAAATCTCTTACTATGGGTTTGAGCATTGAGAATTTATAAAAAATTTTGAAGTGCTCAGGAAATGATGATTAGATTACTCTTAGAACTCAAGAAGAAGAACCTACAACATTATCATTCACTTTCGAATCAAAAAGTATGTTATTAATTAAATTCATACTAGATCGCATAAGTGAGTTCCAATTGAATTTGATGTCTTTGGATTAAGAACAATTAGGTGTTCCAGACACTGATTACTCTTCAGTTATCAAAATGCCATCCAATGAATTCACTAAGATTTGTAGAGAGTTGGGAAATATCAATGAAGCAATTGGTATTGAGACATCTAAGGATGGAATCAAATTTTATGTGAAAGGAGACATTGGAGAGGGATAGGTTTCAGTTAAATCTAATGATGGCGAAAAGAAAGAGGAGAGAGTAGAATGCGATGTTGATGAACCTGTGAACTTAAGCTTTGCTGTTAGGTATACAATGCATTCTATTTCCTATAGATATTTCAATTTGTTTAATAAGGCAGCCGCATTATCACCTTAAGTTATATTGTCTATGTCTCAAGATTAACCTTTGGTTATTGAATATTAAATTGAACAAATGGGATCATTAAAATTGTATTTAGCTCCAAAAATAAATGATGATGAATAATAATGAATAATTGTTTTTTAAAACATATTTTATATATTATTTCTTGTTATGTAATCATAATAAAAACAAGCAATTCAAGAAAGACGCAGAAGAAGTGGGGCTTTGCATGCTTAAACCTGTGAAGAATATTTAAAAGTACTAACAACCATAAAATATAATACAGAAATATGATTAAATTGGACAAATTAAAATAAGGGAAAGCTAAAGAAAAAAAAGTTTGTCAGAATCAGCGTTTCTTAATTTTGATTTCATACCAGCTGATGAGGGAGTTGAAGATATCACTCAATTGAAGATTTTTATCTACTCTCCAAAGTTAAAACTCAATGAATAAGAATTCTTGCAAATATTGAAACGAAATAGAAATCGTTCAATCACAACAGACAATATTCCCAAAAAATCCTTTACCTTCGATTTTGACTTCTTCTATAGAGAGTATGAAGTTAATGAATCTCAATTTGGATTGCATTTCTGGATTTAAAACAACATCAAAAATAAGCATTCATCATTTTTTCAGTGTAATTAAATTGTATTACAAAAATTTTAGAATCTTATTATAAAGTATTTAATGCAGCAATTCTATTAGAAAGAGATGCAATTGTTGAGTAAGAGATCAGAACTGCTAACCCCAATTGCATGATTAAGATTTTCCCATTAGTAAGGAAATTATATATTTTAGATTGATGAGTTGCTGATGGAATCATTGTAGTCTATCATAGCAGAAGTAATTTATATTAAACATATAAAAGATATGCCACATTCACATTAAATCTTGATCTATTTATATAACTTATATAACAACCAATTTATTATCATATCATCTTTCCATCTCTTTATTCCTACTTCATATCTGCTCATTATGGATAACTTAATTAAGTTTTAGATTCACTTTTGAGTACTAATTACAAAAGAAAGATATTACAAGGTTGAAAGGAATAATTTGGAAAATCATTACTTAAGGAGCCTATTTAAATAAGCAAATTAGAATTATGATCATGTGCATTTACTAAATATTCAAGAAGTAATGATTTAAAAAAAAAATAAAAAAATTATTATTAGTTCGTTTTGTTTATTTTATACCTATATTAAACTAATTACACAATAAAGACTTATGAACATAAGATTGATGGAAATTTTATTTAGTTAAAAATGTAAAATAATCATTATGAATTAACTAATCTAAATATTATGATATAATAGAAAATGAAATTTTTTTTTTAGAATTTCAGATTTATATTCAATATATATATTGACCTAAAAAGGATTTTTGATTACGTGATTTATCAAAATAACATTTTGTACATTTGCTGAGAACTAGGGTCCAGTTTGAAATTTTAAATAAGAAATTTATATAAAAAATGTTTAATAATTGATAAATTCTTTTGGAATAATTTTTTGAATTATTTAGATTAGTTCAGTCTAGTTAGACGGTTAGTAAAAATTTAAATACTCAGGAATATTAATTATGTTATTTATATAATATTATGATTAATTATTATTGTCTATGAAAAATTAAGCTGTACAGACAATCGAAACGGGTGCAATTTTTAGCTTTAAAGCTATGGAAGAAATTGAACCAAAGAGATCAATATTACCAAAAAAGGTTGTCAAAAAGAGGATTAAATAACAGGAATCACAATTTATCGATGAACCACTTCCATATTTAAAACCATTAAAATAAAATAACCAAATAAAGTTAAGACAGTTATTGCTACCGAACATTAAATTCTAATAAAAGCCATAAATGTCAAAGCGAAGTGAGCGATATTTGTCGATATAACAGAATTCTCAATAAAGTTCTAATTGCGTCATGTAACTAAGAAGATATTCTCATTATGATTTTATTTCCAGAACAGATAGAACACTCTCATTATACCCCACGTAAAGTTTGGTAACTAGCAGAGCATATATAAAGTAAAATTGAAAATTATATCAAAATTATGATTTTTTTAGTAATTTAGTTCAGCGCTTTCTTTTTAATTTGGGTGTCTTGCTTATCGAGTACATTATCTTGGGGTTTTCGTCTTCGATATTATGTTCTGTGTGTTGATTTTGAGCGTAATTTGTGAGATCTCTAAGTAAATGATTATTTTACCCCTAATTAGTCTTATCCTCTAAGATTCAAAAATAAATCGTAATATTACATATGAATTCTATCTGAATATCTTGAGTTGACCCCATGATTTCCCATTCTCCATAAAGGAAATCATCCTTTCGGTAGTAAGAGTCCTTTTATTATAAGTATAATAATTTATAACAGCCTTCATACACATACAAGTTTAAATTTAAATAAAATTATTAACTACTGTCGTCCTAATTGTTTAAAGGGATCCTAACAGAATAAATCGCCAAAAATTACTAAAACTATTGATTCAATTTGGTCAATGTGTAATGCAGATCCTCTTTGAATTCCTTTAGATTTTGTAAATAAAGACAATCCTTCTTCCTGTTTAACTTGAATCCTTCCAAAATCACATTTACATCCATTGTCAAAGATATAACCTTATCCTAGTTCATCGAATGCAAGATAATTTGTTCAATGAAGAGATTACTATTAGGTATGTCTAATCCCTATTCGATATTGGTGCAATTGCAACGAAAAAAATTCATTATTAAAAATGTATAATAATAATAATTATTATAATAATCGGCAGACATTTTAGAATGTTGGCTATTAATCGATGAACACCTATAATAATGTACCTGCTGTCAATTAATAGTAGATCCTGGAGGAAGATTACAAGAGGTAACATTTATTTGAATGATAGGCGATTACAATAGAGACAATAATATTTATCTATGTAATAACTGATATATGACTAGAACATGATGCTCAATCAACTAATGTATTAACAACAATATTAATAATAAATGCAACAATATTAATAAAATTTGTAATATCAGCAATAATATTAAAAGCCGAATTAAAAGCCAATAAATGTTTAAATAAAATCAATTACTTTAAAACCATTAGAATATTATTCTTAGCAGATGAGCAGTATTCACTATCCTCCTTATGCTTAACCATACCCTTAAAGATAAGCTGTTGAAATTCCACCGAAAGATGAAAGGATCTATGGTTTAAAAAATGAAGTTTCGAAAAGAACTATTGAAGTGCAAACGGATGACAAAATAACTGAATATGAGAAATTCTTAAGAATGGGATTGGGTAATACTATCAATAAGCAATTTGATGATAATTGGGGACCAGAGAAAGATGAGCAAGCACTGTTAAAAGCACAGATGGATTAGAAGTATTAGGGCAACTTTGAAATGAATTTGAAAAATGAGAGAGAATTGAAAGAGAGAGAGAGAGAGTTGGAATAGGCAAAGTTATACTAAAGAAAAAGGTTTAAGCCTCCTGGAATGACGAAAGAGTAAAATTTGTATTTAATTTTCTTAGACAATGGGCAAAGATAAATTTTAAGATTTTTAGAGATCAATTTATTTATCTTGCATTGTACTTTCATAGATTCAGAAAAAATCTAGATAGCAGGAAACAATAGGCTTTGAATTAGAAAGGTGAATAGGCTATTAAATGCTTATAAAACTTTTTAGAAATGTTTTAAAAGAATTCAGCAAAAGTTATTGTTTAGTTTTCAAGTAATAAGGATAACTTAAATATTACTGATAAGAGAAAAATATTAGAAGCAGAAATGAAATAGAGAAGATAGAATATTAAAAATCAAACAAAAAAATTGTTCCAAACTTTGATTTCAAATTTTAATGCAAAAGACATTAAACCAGAAACAATTGAATTCTTAGGATCTATATTTCATAACTTTGAATTTCCTATTTAAAACTTTTTGTTTCTTTTTGAAATAAATAGACTTAATTTTACTCATTTTGGTTAGTTGGATGGTATGACTGATATAAAAGCATAATGCTTATTAATAACATTAATTTTAATAAGAGTGTTTCTACTTAGAGTTATATTAAAGCCTTGGGCTGAATTTCCAGATAGAGTTAAAAAGAAAGAGTTATTTGAATAAAATTGTTATATCGTAGGAAGTTTAATGTACGAGATCATAATGGATTTTCTAAAATCCAAATGGCTAAAAAAGTTGGGTAATTAATCTCATTTACCCTCTAAATATAAAACCTATCCTCGGCCTTTAGGACCATTGTTATCTGATAATTACTAATTGCCTGAAGATGTAGCAGAAGTGAGATAAATTAGATAATTGGAAGAGCCATTAATTATGGGTCTAACAAGTAGGGAAGACTTAAAGAGCATATTAGAGGATGATAAACCATTTTGCATCGAACAATAAAATGTAATATAATAATGGGCTGAAAACATCTATAAGATAGTTCACTAAACTTATTTGCTAAAACAGAAACAAAGGAGAAAGGAGAGATATGAAAATAAAGTGAAATTTATTGAAATTGCCTTCTTTACTAAAGAGGAGGAGAAATAAAAACATTTAGAACTTGCATAATAAATTTATGAAAAATATGAATCCACCTTACCTCAGCCAGAACAAGATCAAACATGAATTATTATATATTCAAACAGATTCTAATATATTAAAAGCAAACTTTTTGAATCCATAGCTTCATATTGTCAATTGATACAATACTTCAGCATAGAATATAAATTTAATATTTTCAATGATTATTATGATTTTCAATTTTCATGTGTTTATGGTAAGCTTGGGATAACTAATAATAAACTAATGGCTTATTTCAGGTTCTCTATATAGAGGATAACTGCTCAACAATATTTATCCAAAGTTGAGTATTGAAGAATTATTAGATTAATCTTGTGAGTGATTATCATTATTTCTTCTTTTTTAAATATCTTCATCATTAACCTCTTGTTTAATTATTTGGCTCTGCTCATTTTCTGATTTTCCTTACTATTTTATTTTATATTACCTCTATGGCATTCACTCCCTTCCTATATTACCTATTAAAAATTCATTTAGTCTTGACCATTTAAAGGGGGTGGTTCTCTACTTGAAACTTTATTCTATACAGGTTTAGTTCCTAATTAAATTGCAATCTGAGGTGGATTCTGACGTGCAGAAATTAATTGAAGAGTTTAATTATCTACTGTTTCGCTTATTTTACAAACTCCCATATGTCTTATAATTATAATAATATAAAATAAAGATTTATTTTCAAGATTGGTTAAATTATATTTAATGGATTTTATTAGGAATAGAGTTGGTCAATCCAGATTTTGATTAATTACAATTAACATAGATTTCAAGGGTCAAAATATTATCAAAGTTTGCTTTTATGGCTTTTTATTGAATCCTTTATCAATATTGATATTAATTGATAAAGTTTTTAAACAATTATATTTAATTTTTTTTAACAGAATTAATGAATTTAGCAATTTCATCAAGCTCAGAAGAAGAATCCTCTTATAATGCTAAAGAATAAGACAGAATATTAAAGAATTCAAATATTTTTAAATAGAAAGCCAACTCTCATTTGAACTGTTTAAAGCATCCAAATAAAAAAGTATGAAGCTATTACAATTCTTATTTATAGGCTAAGTACTATGCCTAAAACGATAAGCGAACATTCTTTTGTTCTAAATGCGCCTTGAATTTGGCATTGAAGGGTCACAAAATAGAAGAAAGTGCTGGAACAGAATTAGAATTCCAAAGGCAAATGAGAATAAATTAATTTTAGGAATTGATGAAATAAACCTTATTGGCTTGCAATTCTAAAATTATAGACTTAAATAACCTTTAGATTAGTCAAAAGTAATTGCTTGAAGATTAAAAAACTAATTGCATAAAATTTTTTGAATAGGTAATTGAAACAGCTCAATAATTAAAATTAACATACATACAAAAGTTTCAACATGATCATTCAAATTTAGAATAGAATATATTAGATTGTCAACAAGCTGTGACGAATTATGAGAAGCAATTGTAGTAATTTTAAATTGACATCGAAAAAAACCACACAAACATAGTTAAAAAGATGGAAATGAAGCCATTTGATGATATAATGCAGAGATATGAGAAGAGAGTTAGAAACATTTAACAATTATTATCAGAAATGAAACTAGAATCTGGAGTAAAAATCAATTAGTTTGATTAATCTTCAATTTTAACATTCATGAATAAAATGTGCTACAATATATTGTTGAATGATACATCATAATAATCAATTAAATCTAGAAGCAATTCAATCAATTTTAATAATCCTTCGATTGATATGAAAGTATTTGATATCTTAGAAAATGACGATATCTACCAGAGCACATTCTCGAACACAATTAAAGATAGCAATAGCTAAAATCCACCATCTCCAATATCAAAATTGCCGATTTATAAAAGTAATGGATCTAATCCAATTTCAACAATCCAGAATTCAAGAAGAGAGAGCAACTCTAATACCCCAGAAAGTTGGAATCATACCAATATCCAAAATTGTGATCAATAATCACAAATACCATAATAGGTCAATAGTCATAATGTTTAGTTTGAATGAGTAGCCAATTGCGATCAATCAATAATAGTAACCTAGTGAGAAGTTCAGTGTACAAGAAATTGTCAAATTGGAACAACCTAAAAATTTAGAAATAACTCCTTTGATTCATTAGAAAAGTTAAACGATCTTGCCATAATCTATTAAGATTTATAATAGTTAAAGAAGTATAATAATCTGATATTTTCTAGATCAATATGATTCAAACACAATTAATAAATCTTAAGATTAAAAATAAAGAAAAAAACAGCCCTCTGTGGATTAAATTGAATAGAAGAGATTTTATATCCTAAATCAGAATTAATAAAAGCCACAATCACAATAGTAAGAGGACACCTTGAAGGATAGAATTTTTAAAGAATTAAGTGGACATTCCAGTGAATCTGTTTACAATTAAGTATTAAAAATAAATACTACATAATAAAAAACGAAAAAGGGAAAGGAGAACACTCAAATTGATTGGACAGGTAGTTTAAGAAATAAGCAAAATTTATTAGCAAAAAAATGAGTAATTAAATTATCGATAATATACTTTTTTCCAATAGAAAATTACACTTTATATATTATATATACGTTATTTTAGCAAAGAATAATAAATATGAAATATTTTTTCATAATTTGGTTTGCTTATTTGACTCTCGGGAATTCAATAGTAGGAAAAAAAGCGTCAGGTAATCATAGTTATTATTTGTTAGAATAGTTCTTCCCACAAATAATGGATTGGCTTAAAAAATAAGAATAGAAGGTGGACTAAGCTTTGGCTTTCAGTGCTCTTACCAAAATAATTTAATATACAGATGAAGAACTATTTCAAAACACTGAAAACTCAGAGTTTATCAAGGCATTTTAATAATAAGTATTCTGTTAGAGTAACATTATTAAGATATTGAAATATTGTAAAGAAAAAAAAGAGTTTGAATATGATAGGATAGGAAGCATTGAGTAATTCATAACAGATGAACTCAAGCATAACTCTAATTACTTCAAAATTATGATTAAAGACAAAGAAAAAATGATAGATCAAGATGATAAAGAATTAGAGAAAGTCAAGAAATCCATCAAAGATCATACTAAATTGCAAGATAAACTAAAAGATATTCAGGAATTGCTCCAAGAGATTGAAATTAGTAAAATGAATTACTTATCTGATAGGTTTACAAATTGGCACTGCTGAAAAATTATATAAAACTTTGGAAGTAATTGAGTCAAAAGCAGTTATAGGGTTGTTTAAGTAACAATCTGAAGAAATATAGCTTTATTTAACTCACGTCGATTTGCTGTTCAAGACAAAAAATTTTCAATAAGACTAAGTAATTTTTGATGTTATTTAAGTTTGAAATACTAAATCTGATTTCAATGATAAAGAACCTTTTGCTAGACATGAAATTTAATTTACAAATAAAAATGCAGGAGGATAATATGGCTACCTTTGAAACTATGAAATTTTTTGAAAATACTAAAACTACTCATTCAATTGCATTAGATTATTTTAAGGATGAATCCATTTAGTTCTTAGGTAATATATTGTTGCTATGATTATCATAGGTAATTTAATAAAAACATGGGAATAATCATTTGAAAATTAAAATGAGATATACAAAGATAACATAGAATTTTGTTAGATCATTGAAAAATTATCAGATGAGACATATAAGGTTGATGATTCTCTTAATTCAAACCCACAATTTAAAAAATACTCACTAAAAAAAACAGAAGTCTAATTCTTAAAGCATTCGAATTGATTTAATAGAGTTATATATATTTTATCTATATATATACATACATAAATTTCAATAATTTATTAAATAATCAACTAATTTGCATGTATTTTTTTAATTATCTTTTTCTAGAGAATAGCTAATTGTTTGTTTCGTAGATCGCTTAGTAACTACAGATGAACTCTATTTTTAATAGGAAAATCTTTTGTATAAATGAGATAAGGCAGATGATAATGTTTATGGTTGTTATCTTTAAAGGCTTTTCTTTTATTATAATGATTGCTATTATGTGAGTGAATTTTATTATTTTTGTTTTTGTTAATTCATAGATTCATTTAGTGGTGAAGGTAGTTGAAAATGCCTTTTCTTTGATTAAATAGATTTGGAAGTTCGAATTTCAAAATTTTCATGAGAAGTGTTAACTTTTAATTTGTTTTAAGAAGGTAATTCTTTTTGATACGAAGATCTTACGCGATATCTTTTGTTGGCGGAGGGACTTGAGCATTTATCTTGAAAACATGATAATACGTTATTAACTTCAAGACTAGGTTTTGCCTTAAAACTTTACTGGTGATGTTATTAGACTTGTTATTATTATTGCAATTAATGATATTATTCAACATACTTAATAATTTCTTTAGTGGATTATTAAGTTTGAAATAAGCTCTCAAACTCTCTTGTTTGTGGAACTTATTAGGGACTTTTTTATTAATTGCCTTAATTATTTGATTCTTTTTGAAGTGATCTTGAAGAAATCAATCTAGAATCAAAACCAGATTTGATATCACTAATGTTGCAATCCAAAATATTTTAACGAGGAGGTGATAATGCAGAGAGCTCTTCTAATTCGCTATCTATTAAATCTGCTAATTATTGTTTCTTCTTAAGTACACTTTTCTTTTTTGGTGACTTATCTACTAATTATTGGAGTTTATATTAGATCTCAGAAATATCTAGTTGAGCATCTTAATTGTCCAGTTAAAATGATGTCGACGATTTTAATGAATTTTCATATTCTAAAAATACTGCTTAATTTAAAGAGGAATCCCTGGGTATAGATGGAATTTCTGTATAATGACTAAAAGGTGTAGATGTTTTGCTTGAATAATGTTCCTCTTAAATATTGTCAAAATTTATGAATTGATTACAATTTTTATCATCAATTTTATCATACTTGGTTGCTTTAGCTGTATAATCCATATTTTCCAATCTCCAAGGCTTTTTCTCTAAATATTTATTTATGCGTAACAAAATTAGTTGAGAGTCTGCCTTTTTTGAAATAAAATACTCTAATTTCTGTAATCTTCTGGAATAAAACTACTCAATTTTTTTTATCATTTTGCGGAAATATTTTTCGACTTCTAAAATAGGACTACTTTGTTTTTCTTGATTTATTACTCCATAAAATAATTATTGTATTTTTAATGCAAGCGTTCGTTATGGTAAATCGTTAATTAATGATTCTAATTCGAAATAACAATCATTCATTATTTAATATAATTAAATACTTTTAGACTAACACCTTTATTCGTTTAATATATATATATATTCAATATAATAATCAACTAGTTCTAAAACATTCACAACATTAATATCAACAATTACAAAATTAAAAAAGAAATTAATTATATAAAAAGCATATCTTATTCTTATCAATTCAGAACGATTATGGTCGTGAAAAAAAGTTAATAAATCGATAATTAACATAATGATGAGGGATATAGTGGAGGATTTATAAGGTGTTGATAGTGATGAAGAAGGCGAAGTTTAATGTAATGTTTTTACTGAAAAACTATTAGATTAAGCAAGTGCTAGAGATGCACCATAAGCTGAATAAAATGCACGGTTTTAAAAACGGAAAGGTTCCTTTGCCTGTAGGTGCTTATAATCCAAATAATTATTTTAATTTATAAGTAGGTGCAGAAATTAAATTATTGTTTTAGTAGATCGTTAGATATTTCTATTTCTTTAATTTAACAGAGAGTAATATTCTGTATTATAAATGTACAAAGTTCCTTAAATGATTTTGGACAAAATTAAATCATTTAAATCAGATTATGTGCCTTCTATAGGTGAAGCAAATGTGTTAAATAATACGAAGCTGCAATTAACCAATAGAAAAACGCTAAATTAGATTAATTGATGAGAGATTATGTCAGAGTAGCAAATAGAGGTAAAAATATCACAATAAATGCAATTAAAAAATGCTGATAAAAATCTAAAGGAAATTACAGCCTGTTGCAGAAATACATAAAAAAAAGTAACCTCCCTCTGTTTCCTATTCTAATATAATGCATGATATCGAAGAATTAATGTAACTCTGCCATAAAAAATAGAAGACTAAATCTAAAGCACCTGATTATCAGTGACAACATTGATATGGACATAGAAGAATATTGTTAATCCTCCTGCAATTTGTTGGATATTCTTATTCATCCAATTACTAACAAAAGAAACATCATAGAGTCTTTGCATGTTTTATTCACATTATTTTCAGGATTCAAAACCAATCAACATTTTAGACAAAAAAATGAAGAAATTAATGAATATAAAATTTTGTAATATTATTTAAATCTTTATTTAAGAAATCATTTTTGGATATCTTTACTCTAAGTAGTTAATGAATATGCTCATAATTTCAAATTGGAAATATTTTACAAAAGATTGAAAATAGAAACTAAAATCAAGCAAGTAAGATTTGAAAAATATGATATAATTTTAGAAAAGTTACGTCCAATAAATTAATTAAACAGATAATTAAATCATTTTTAATCTTTAAAGGAAATCATTATTGGAATATTTATCTTTTTTTCTGCCAAACAAATCCAAATCAGATTAGGAGTTATTGGTGATACATATTATTCAATGCGTTAATTTCTTTTCGAAAATATTAGAATTAAAATTCTCCTTTTAAAGAATGATTTATTCCAGAAATGAAATAAATGTAACTAAAGACAGATTAGTATTAAGTTTATTAGATATAGATAGGTTTTTCTATTTCATACAAGAATAAGAACAAAGAGAGTATTTAATATATTTAACTTTGGGTTTTTTTGGCGGAATTTTCAATTTTAAGTATTCATTAATATTTTGTAAATCATAATAATAATTATTTTCTATTATTTTTGAAATTCCAAAATGTCGACAGAAGAGGCAGTATTCCAATCATAAGTATTAGATAAAAGAATTGATCTCACATTTGAATAAGATGAGAAATTGATAATAATTGAATTAAATCCCCAAATGGTTTAATAAGAATTAAAAGCTCAATTCCAATAATTGAATACAATTATTATCAGATACCTCGACTATGCTCTATAAAATTGTCTGGAAATTTAATATAAAAAACATCAATTGATTATTACATCATAATAAGCAACTGTCAAACTTACTGATAAAAGAATTGTTATGTTTACAAATGATAAAGATCAGCTGGTGGATACATAAGGAATATGGATATATTTGAATAAAAACACCTTAGATTTAATGATTGGATATGGGGAGGCAAGGATAGAAACTTAGGTGTCTATTTATAAAATGGAGTCAGTTCAGAAAAATATCAAGGCAATCACATCTGTTGTAATTTGGCAAGAATCCATTCCCATAAATATCTTGCCAAGTCTTATGTATAACCACAAGGGTTCTCTAAGACCAGTAAGGATTCATACGAAGGATCATTTTATTCCCTCTCTTAGCGAGTCTATCTTACAAAATTGTTAAAATATTTTTCAATTGAATTAAGGAAAATAAGCTAAGCAATTGGCAGCTGAAATTGAGGATTTATATTAGTCAGCATCCTAAGTTGAATTGCAGAAAATTGAATAATCAGAAAGCTCTTAATATCCTTAGAAGGGAGCTAGATTCAGTTTAGGAGAGTTGATTCATCATAGTGTTACAATCCCAGGATGCAAATTAAACTAAATACTCTAAAAGAAAAAAGCAACTGCTTAACAGAATGGTTTAGATCCCTATATGTCATATATAAGGTTGGGCTTAGGCCATTTTAATAAAGATTCAGCAGGTCATTAATTTGTCTTAGAAATTTGGCCTTTCAAACATTATTCATCTATCCATGATCATGCAGGATAATATGGGTTGGTTAAGGTCTTATAAGGAGTAATTGATATAAGCATTTATGCAATTTTATCAAATGCTAAACATTTGATGAATCCGATAAAAACGCTTACATGCAATCAAAATGATATGACATGGTTGTCTCCTAAACTAAATCAAGTTCATTAATTAAAAAACTTCTATCCATAAACAACTATAACTTTATAATGTTATAAGTATTCTCAAAAGAGTTAAAATAAAGTTAAGAATTTTGCATATGTTGCAAATGAATAATATAAAAAATTTAATCCTGTCTCAGATTTTCCAGATATAGAATTACATTAAATTTTTAAAGAATTGGTTGCAGAATATTCTAATCTGCATACATTAAAATGATTATTTATAATGATTCATGTATAATATTTGGCTTAAAAAGTGACATTTATAATATTTATAAACAGTTGTTTAATTCCACAAATTTTTGAATTTTGCAAGGACGAAAACAACCATAAATTGAAGCTTTCCTTTTAAATTTAAATCAATTAATTATTTTACATTAATATAGTTTCAATAAATATTATAATATCTAGTAGTTGCAAAAATACATCATCTCTACAAAAAAAGCGTTTTTTGCAGCCATGTCTTCATTCCATCAAATATTTTAGAAGTAAATATTTAGAGTATATGAAAATATGTCAAAAGTTAAGGAGTAGGTGTCTTTTGCTTCCTTAAAGCTTTTAAGGGCATTTATTGAAATAAGCACAATTTTTATAAATACAAAAGCAATATTCTTCTCTAAAAAATGATTGCTGATATAAATTGAGACAATATTTCGAAATTTTATCTCGTTTTCAAAGATAAAATTGAGGTAATTAAAGACTTTAATAGTTAAGTATTAAAGGTCAATTAACACAATTAAGAATAAATTTAAAGATTAATTTGATTGAATAGAGTAATAAAATTAATTCTAAATTCTATGACGTATATTCTTTTCCTTTTTATGTTTTACTACTTTTTCGTTATGTTTTTCTCGTTTCCTCACATTGAATCATGAAAGGAATTTTCATTTTCATTCTCCGAGAGGAAAAAATTGCTTTTCTAAATTTTTCTGTAAGATTTTCACTTAAATATATTTAAATTCCCATTTTTACTAAATCACCGTAATAATCAATAGAGATTCACTTTATTGTTCATAATGCATTAAAAGTACTTTAAGAAAATAATTTAAATTAAAATAGAAATAAAGTTACAAATTCAGGAATAGTAAAGGGTTATTTATCTAAATATTAAATAGTAGAAATTATAAAATAATCATTTAAAGTTAAATTTGAAGTTTAAATCACATTGAATAGAACTAGATAGTCTGTATTTGTATTTATAAAAATTAATCGAACAATATCATTAAAATCCAATTTTATTTTAAATTTTATGGCCACTCAACCTCTCCTTGATACCTTGCCAACAAATTTCCATAAAATGCCATCAAATTATGATTTCTCACACAAAGGTAAATTGCATATATTTAACATTGAAAGGAGTTAATTGGAAAGATTACGAGAAAGACTTCATATTGAGAACAGACGCTGTTTGGGAAAAAGAGTAACTAAAGGATTGGTTTAGATTATATACAAAGGTAGAATAAATATAAGAAATTAGTGTGTTTATTTTTATACTACTGGAAATAAATATTCTTTGATGGAACCTGATTATATTTATAGAATCTATTCGAAGGATGTAAAAACTCCAAATCTGATTATTTAGGGGCACTTGAAGATTGCTTATTCCCATTTAGATGAACTACTCCTACTGGGAGAACAAATTGTTTCCAAGTAGGATTACCACAAAAACAAAAAGTTTATGCGCCATATCCAACATATCAATCACAATAAGATTACTTCACTTTATACGCCCTTAGATTTTAGAAATGGTTTGATTGCGATTAAGCTGAACATTTCAAAATGGATAAAACAGAAGCAGATTACCTTAAGAGAGCTAAGGTTTATCCTTGTTACGCAATTTTTTATGAAGCTGCATATGCTTGCACTGTAATTCATATGTTTGATTTCCTTATGGAATTAGAATATACTAGAAGATCAAACAGAACGTTTGAATATAATCACTTTCAACATGAAATGCGTAGACCTTCAACCATTTATGACTCTCTTAAAATGCAGAAAGAGTTAAAAAGACATAGTGATTTATTATCAAAATAAAACAAAATAATTAGAAAACTGTGTAATTTTGGTTAAAAAACTCAACAGGAAATATGCCAAACATATTTTCTTTCTATCGGGCTCGGAAAATCAAATGTATATTCTATTTTAAATAGTTAATGATCATAATTTACATTGTTGGATCTATAAATAAATTCATCATCATCTGCCTTAAGATATTTTTATTTTGCTTTAATATAATTATATTTTCTAAACATTTTATTCCAGAATCAGTGAATTATGTACCTAGTAAATTATGATATATTAGAATTGTTCTAAGGAATATTCATACCTATTTTACAAATGTCATTATATTCTACCATCAGTCTAAATTAGTGAAATGATCGGGTTATTTACTTGATTTTTGAATCCTAGTTACCTTATATTATTAATATAATTAGATAACATTTTAATCAAGTATTAAGTCAGACTAAACACTTATAATTCTAGTTAATACTTTCTTTCCACTCTGCTCATCTTTAATTCTACTTTAATATATAATTCTTAAAAATGATCTAGGTGGTCTAGAATTTATTTAAAGATTTATTTTATTGCTTATTGTTTTAAAATTGAAGATTCTTACATTCGGTCTTATAGCAATGATAATTTCCAAGTTAGTCATTCCTGCAACATAATGGATCTAATATTAATGCCAATATTTTGATTCTTTAATAATAATTCCATTATTTATTCATCATCTAACAGGGTTTTTGTATGTAGAGCTGTTCTCATTTAACAAGAATTAAGATCTTTTTATATTGCTAAATATTCTTAAACTAAATAAACATGTTTCTTTATTCAACGATTGTTAAGCAATTCATAAGAGTGTTAGAGATTGCATCCAAATTTGCTTCATTCTATTTCAAGAATAGCATTATTTTCATATGAATTAGAAAGTGATCAAATGATTATGATTAGTAAAGTGAGCTTTTGATTTATTAGCTTTTAATGACAATAGATAAAAATCTTCAAAGTATTACTCACCTTCTTCTCATAATAATATACCAATAATAAAATAATTAATATTATTATTTTTAATAATTTTATAACATAAAAAAGTTGTATAATTTTCAATAAATTCATAATATATTATTTTATTTGATAAAAAAATAAATAAAATGAAGTTTCTAATTTGTTAGTAATTTGTCAAGGATTTTTCTTCACCAAAACAAACAATTTTGAAATTTGAATATCAATATATATGGCATTCATTTTTTATTTTCATGACTTCAGATATTCATTATCTTAGCTATTATCCTGATCTCTCATTTTAAATAGAAAGAATTAAAAGAATTTAAGAACTTTAAAAATAAGATATTATAATTATTTTATCTTGGTAATAGTCAATTTGTCCATGAAAAAACTTCCGATTGATTTTCAAAAATAAAGCAACCTTTAGATTAAAATAAAGATCTTAAATCATAACCTTAAGAATTAACAAATTCTCCTTTTAAGATTACAGCACCTTTAGCTTCCAATTGAGGATTTGGAGATAGAACTAATTTTGAAATTTAAGCTAAATATTAAATAATTAAAATGAATACAATTTTGTAAACAAAAATTATAGTATGATTAAATGTTAAATTCTGCTTGCTAATCTTTCTAAAGATTATTCTGAATATTTTATCCAGTTTGGATATTCCACAAGCGAATAGAGTGATCATTACTACCAGATGCCAATGTCGTACCATCAAGTGAGAAACAGACTGAGAGAATTCCATTAGTATGGCCATTAAATTTTACTTTTTAACATCCTGTCCTAACATCCCACAATCTTATAGAGTTATCCGCGCTACCCGACGCTAATTTAGTACCATCAGGAAAGTAACAGACTGACATAACATAATTAATATGACCACCTAAGCGATCTTTTAATTATCCTGTCCTAACATCCCACAAGCAGATAGACTTATCATGACTACCAGATGCTAATTCGGTACCATCAGGAGAGAAGCAGACTGACATAACATAATTAGAATGACCTTTTAATTTGGCTTTTTATTATCCTGTCTTAACATCCCATAAAAGGATAGACCAATCTGCACTACCAGATGCTAATGTAGTATCATCAGGAGAGAAGTTGACTGACATAACTGCACCACTATGACCCTCTAATTTGATTTTCTATTATCCCCTCTTAACATCCCATAAACGAATAGATTTATCATAACTCCCAGATGCTAATGTACAACCAGAATTAGAGAAACAAACTGAACAAATAGCTTTAGTATGACCATCTAATTTGGCTGTTTATTATTCTGTCTAAATATCATATAATCGGATAGACTTATCATCACTACCGGAGGCTATTGTATGTCCATTAGGGGAGAAACAGACTGTACATACATCATTAGTATGGTTCTTAAATTTGACTTTTTAATCTCCTGTATTAACATCCCATAAGCATATAGATCGATCATCACTACCCGAGGCTAACAGAGTACCATCAGGTGAGAAGCAGATAGTATTAACATTATCGCTATGACCATCTAATTTGACTGATTAAAATTCATTCTTAACCTCGTAAAAACGAATAGAGCCATCTAAACTACCAGATGCCAACGTAGTACTATCAGGAGAAAAACAGACTGATTTTACAGAATTAGTATGACCATCTAATTTTGCGACTTTTTCAAGTGTCTTAGTATTCAATAAATGTATAGAGTTATCTGAACTACCAGTTGCTAAAATTCTTCCGTTAGGAGAGAAGGAGATGAATTTGAAACCACTGTAACTTCGTAAGAAAATTTTTTATCCTCGTTTAGCTTCCCACATACCTATAGAATGATCCTTGCTAACGGATGCTAATTTAGTACCATCAGGAGAGAAACAGACAGACTATATGGAACTAGCATGATCTTCTAATTTTGCTTTTAAATATCCCATCTTAAAATCCCATAAACGGATAGACTTATCTCCACTACCAGATGCTAATGTAATGCCATCAATAGAGAAACAAACTGACTTGACCGAATTAGCATGACCATCTAATTTGAATTTTCTATTTCCGGTCTTAACATCCCATATATGGATTGACTTGTCCTTGCTCCCAGATGCTAATATAGTACCATCATAAGATAAACAGACTGATTTGACAGAATTAGTATGACCCTCTAATTTGGCTATTTAATTTCCTGCCTTAACATCCCAAATACGAATCGAACAGTCCTTACTACCAGATGCTAATGTAATACCATCAGGAGAGAAACAAACAGACTTGACAGAATTCGTATGACCGTTTAATTTTTTTTTTAAAGATCCTGAATTAACATCCCATATACAGATAGACTTGTCCTTGCTACCAGAAGCTAATGTAATACCATCATGAGAGAAGCAGATAGATTAAACAGCATCACTATGACCCTCTTATTTGGTTGTATATTATGTCATCATGACATCCCATATACGAATACACTTATCCCTGCTACCTGATACTAATGTTGTACCATCAGGAGAGAAGCTGATTGATTTGATAGAATTAGTATGACCATCTAATTTGGCTTTTTATAATCCTGCCTTAACATCCCATATACGGATTGACTTATCCTTGCTACCAGATGCTAACGTATTATTAGGAGAGAACCTGACTGACTAGACAGAATTGGTATGACCATCTAATTTAGCTTTTTAATATCCTGTTTTAACATCCCATATCCGAATGGAACAATCCTTGCTGCCAGATGCTAGTGTAATACCATCGCGAGAGAAACTGACTGACTCTACAGAATCAGCATGACCATCTAATTTGAATTTTTTATATCCTGTTCTAACATCCCATATATGGATAGACTTGTCCTTGCTTCCAGATGCTAATATAGTACCATCATAAGATAAACAGACTGATTTGACAGAATTAGTATGACCCTTTAATTTGGCTTTTTATTTTCCTGCCTTAAAATCCCAAATACGAATCGAACAGTCCTTACCACCAGATACTAATGTAATACCATCAGGAGAGAAACAAACCGACTTGACAGAATTCATATGACCATCTAATTTGGTTTTTTAATATCCTGTCTAAACATCCCATATACAGATAGAACCACGACTACAAGAAGCTAACGTAATCCCATCAGGAGAGAAACAAATAGATTTAACCAAATAACCATATAATTTGACTTTTTTTTCTCCTTTCTTTATATCCCAAATATAAACATATTCTAAATCACTAAATGCTAATGTTGTACCATCAGGAGAGAAACAGATAGAATGAATCCTTAATGGATCATCCAATTTATTTAGTTCATCTATTCTTATATTCTTCCATTTACAATTGAGCAACAATGCTCCATTCAAGTTTATTCCTAGAATAATGACATTATCAAATTCAGACCCACTCAAGTCACATCTGAAAAAATTCGCACCACACAATGAAGTATTGTTAATTTTAATGTTTTCAAAACATTATCTCTTCAAATCAACCTTCATTTCAACTAATAAATGAAGAGAATTTGATCCACTTTGAATGAATCTAATATCTATAGAAGTTAGATGTACTAAATATTTTAAGAATGCAATTATATTTTAGTCACACAATATTTTTTCAATTAGATCATGTTTTTTTTTAATATTAACGTCTGAGTAGTAATTTTTGTTATTGAAATCATGATTTTTAATTTTATACATTATTTTAATAAGACACTTAATATCCTTATTGAACTTCTCTTTGTTATACTTTTACTTTAAACCTTCAAGTAGATTGTGCTTTGCCCAGTTTTCATCTTTTGATAAAAAGCTTAAAGAATCTGAAATATTTTCTTTTTTAAGAATTTTAATGATTAGCTCGAAGCTTGAGTTATTAATATCTTTTGAAGAAGAATAAAACTTCAAACANNACTGGCCTTCTTCTTGCAGATGTTTTTTTTTAGCACACTAAATTATTCGGAATTTCTTTTTTTTTTTCAGCTTATATTAATTGGTTAAAAAAGTATTCTATCCACTAACTATGAACAGAAGAATTAATTTTCTTTACTTTTTAATAAGCAGCTTTGTTGGCTTTACTGAGTTTATCTTTATGATTCAGTAATCTCCTTTCAACTGGGAGAAAACATTTTTTGCTAGTTTTGAATAAAATTTTGTGTTTGTAATATAACTTTTAGTTTTTAGTAAATTTCTAATTGTGGTAAATTAGACAAAATATTAGTTCATAATTAAGAAATTATTTGACAACAGAAAATAGATGAGATTAAATTTGGAGAGATTTAATAATTAAGAAAAAAAAATTTATCGACAACCTTGTTATGGTCCAGTCGGCTTTGATGGATATGCTAAACCTGAAGACTTACACAAAGGTTAAAAATGGTTTGGTATTATCTTACTTTTTTCTTTTCTTAATTTTTTAAAAGGATTTATTGAAACATAGTGAAGACTTTTTGAAATGTGATAAATTTGTTTTTAACTACCTGCTTTATGTGAAGTCTAAAAATTCAATTGCGAATTCAGAAAATCTTCTATTCACAAATACAATTTTTTTTCTTAGCTAACTAGGAAAATTTGGTAAATGGTTTTGGATTAAGAATTATATAGTTCCAAATTTATTGTGACTTTCTATTTTTCCCTTTCTTCATTACAATTGATAATCTATTTATCATCTCCACCTTGCACAAAATGTTTGTATTCTTAGTTACTGTTGATTTAAACACTTTCTTATCCACAATTATAAAATTATTTTTTGGATTAAGAATGGATGAACATCTCCAAAATTCTAATAATTACTGTCGTTGCCAAGCTCTAGCGCCTAATCTAGTACTACAATTGATATTCCTGATGCCAAAGTTATGATCAAAAGACATTCTTAACTAACTATTATTAGCTGTGTAAAATTCTTATTCTAACAAATTTGATATTTTTTCACTCCGTTATATATTATTTGTTTTACAAGAAAAAAAACTAGTGGATTGATACTAAAGCATTACATACCAAAATTCTCAAATACGTGATAAATATGATTAACAATTGCTCTAAAGATTAGACATAAGAAAATTATCTGCATGAAAAAGATGATTTATAGGAGTCAGGAATGCAAAAGAGACAAATAGTGCTATCAAAATTTGTTTAGGAAAATTTGAACATCGATTCCAAGTGTAAGTTGATGCTTAATTTCAATATATAATCCAGTACCATAAAATCACTTAGAAAATGAATCAAATTTACGCACAGTCCCTTTATTAAATTGTGATATACAATTTTAATTGTCGAGGGAATTAGATGACACAAAATCCCCACGTTGTTTTTGCTCAGCATTAGAAACTGAACTGCATCTATGTGCAAACACATTCAAAGTGATAATACAGATACTTGAATTAATAATTAAGTTGAAGTTGTGCAACAAAGCTAGTTTTAACTGATCATTGGTTAAAGGAGGTGTTCTTTTGTGTTAAAGTAAGACAATCATAATATAAGAAGTAGTAATCTGTATGAAATGTAGTAAAAAACAGTAGTGCATATATTATAATTTTAATTATAAGAAAGTTATGCATTACTTACATAGGGTAGAAAAAAAGATTAATAAGCTATATGACTTAAGAAAAGAATTGAAAATTGTTACACATCACTTAATGTTCATAAGATTCCTTAATTATAACCAACAGCAATTAATTGTAGACGCTTTTGTATTTCCAGTACATTTCTTAAGTAAAAAAGTTATACATACAAATAGTCAGTAGTTTTAGGTCAGTATTACGGTTTTCGACTAAAATTTGAAGGGCATCCACTATTCTTAGAATAATATATTAACATGCAATGGACAGGTTAAATTCTACAATACAAACTAGAAGTTGCTGTATACTCAGAACGACACACCTAGAATAATGAAGTATATTAATTGAAAAAGCCTCAACTATATATGAATTTAGGCATCATGATGAGAACAGTTTATCTTACTCCCTTATCAAGATATTTTTGAGTAGCATATGCGTAAGATGTATTTTTAATTGATTGAACGTTGCACTTTGAAGAACATCAGAATCATAACAAGTCTTGCCATTGTTATACACAACTTCTATGCTGGCGTTCCTTCCGCGCCGTACTTGCAG